CTTCCCATCTACTTTCTTCCTTTTTTGCTATAGAAATGTAATCCTTTCCATAAAAAACTCTAGTAACTCCGTCAATCATAAATAATTTTTATGCTAAAGGTGAACATTTTGCTTCTCTTGGTCTTGAAAAATCATAGGTTCCATTGAACATAACTTACTTTCCACCTGGAATAAATTTCAAAAAATTTGGGTTTGGTGTGGGTTTTGCTTATATAAATAATTTGTAAATATTCTTAAAGTTTAACATTTAATTTATAATAATGAATAAATGGAATTTAATTAAAACAAAGAATTAAATTAAGTAAAAGATAATTGATAATTGCCATATAATCGATAATCTAGACTTATCAGTGACGATAAAGATGATTTTATCAAAAGAATGACAAAATTTAATTAAAAAAATTATTCATGCCCTTTGCTTACACTTCAATTTGTTGTTCTTTAAATCATATCCTTATTAAATTAATCATATGTTCAAATTCTTAACATATAGGGGTTGAACTTGACATTTGATTTTAAATTTTTGCTTTACTGCTACTAATTTAATATCTCTGATGCAAGAATAAGAATTCTTATGATTTATTACAAATGCAGTTATATTTCGGGAACTATCTTAAATGATAGCTATTAGTCCATAATATCTTTTTTGATTATTATTTCTCACATTTGAAACATAGTTAATGAATTTTTTGATAACCAAAAAAACTATTGTAAATAATTAGAAATAATTTTTGATGTTTAATTTTTATCTGTTTTTTAACAAGAATAAGTTCCTATGCCATTAATTCTTATTTCTTCATCATACCCTTTCTCTCCCTTTATCCTCACTAATTTGATAGTTTTATATATACTTTTATCCTGACTTTCGCAGCATCATAAAGGATCCAATCATATTAAATATTTTCTGAAATTGTATTTAAATTGAACTTATTTTTGGGATTTCAATTAATAATGATATATCTTAAAAAGAAGTTAACTTAGTCTTTGATTGAATCATCCGTTAAACTTACATTTATATATTCGGTTTTAATTATAAAATGAGCATCAATACTCTAGAGTTTGATCATATATCTTATATGAGTATTATAATTAAATGCTATTAATTATGATGTTGAATGATGCTTGAAATTTTGGAGCAGCGTACTACTTTTTATTAACAATTTAGTTCCTCTTGATGTTTCCTATAACTTCTTGGTAATAAATATAAGATCAATAAATCGATTAATATCAATACTACAAGTCATTTTATTTAAAATTTCATATGTTAAAAATATCAAGTTTAGATTTTGCATGCAATCCGTCAGCTAGAGAAGCAGTCTAATTTAAGCTCTTTTCATGTCTTTTTTTAATAAACTCATCCAAGGGTGTTTACTATCTCATTTTGCGACCACTTAAGACCAGGTATGCTTATTTTTTCAGTTATTTATCGTTTTCTTCTTTTACTTTTAAATATGGAATATGTGATTTTGATATCTGTAAAGGCTTAGTCTTGAATTCAGATCGATATTATTATTTCAATTTTTCTAGAAATACTACGTCACCAGACCTATTTCAAACCAATTTTACCTTTCCTGCCTTCTAGACAACAAGAAATTACAAAAAGTTATCTTTGCATTATAAACTCAACTATCTTCTCATTGATTCATTAATCGCAATAGATTTGCTATTAATATGTGGAAGGAACAAGAGTTCATTAAAATTCTATTCTATTTTTTTATTACTCTGCATTGAAATGATCTTATAACAATAAATAATTAATTTAATAATCTCAATATTATGTAAATATAATATGATATTTTAGAATGATAAAAATTATTTTCAGATCTATTTTTGTCAATGCTTCTATTCTTAGTTATTTTACTATCTGACCATTTCATTTCTTATTGCGTATTTGTGTAAAGGATTTTAATTTAGACTAAAAGGTTTGGAATTAGAATTTGTATTACTTCCTTGGCCATTGGTATTATTTCCATCAAAATCTCTAAATCTAGATGGCTTTTGTTATTATTATTAATCAGCCCTATTTAATTATCTACCTTAAGCAGAAGGGCTATTAAATCCATTATTTAAAGGAGAATCTTAGAATATTAAATTATAGTACCTATCTAATCAGTATGTCCATTTAACAAAGGACTGTTTTGATATAAACTATCATTTGAACAATCTTTCCTTAATCTAGATGAAGCAGCTATCAAAGGAGAATTAAGTGGTGAATTGCTTAACTATGTTAATCTCTATTTATCAAATTTTAAATGTTCCTCCTATACTTTTAATGTTGTCTCTTCATTATCATCTACTTGTTTCAATCTTCGACCAAAATAGGAATGCCCAAGAGCTTACTAAGCAGTGATTCTTTTATTTGGCTCTTTTTCTAACATCTTTCTTAATAAATCATATGCTTGTTATGGAACATTCTCAAATAAGGCCCCATCGAATAATATTTCGCATTTTCTGTTTTTGGCCAATACATCATTATAGCTTTTTCCAGGAAATGCAGGTTTGCCAGTTAATCTTATAATATAACAGAAATAGTTACAGAATGTAGAATATTAAGCCTAAACTATAAACGTCACAAATTGGATCATATCTTCCTCCATCCTTACAATTCACCACTTCTGGGGCTACAAATCCTGGTGTTCCGCACCTATTAAATAAATATGGAAATTCATGTGCGTTTTAAGCCAACCCAAAATCAGCAATACAAACAGACTATATATTGCTAATAAATGATAAGGATTAGTGATTACTTTGGTTTTCTAAATAAAATATTCTCTGGTTTTAAATCTCTATGCATTATATGTTTTGAATGCATATGTTATAATCCTTCTAATAAAGTAAACATTAGCACTTCAATTTCAAATGAATTAAACTATGGCCTATTCTTTACCTTATCATACAAAGATCCTCCTTCCAGTAAATCAAGTACCATATATAACGAATTTTCAGTTTCATAAACCTCATGTAGTTTTATTAAGGCGTGACTATCAAGCTGTCTCATGACTTATATTTCATTCAAAATAGACATCTATATTATTACAGTGCATGTTTACTTTTCCTTTATCCTAACCATAGGCTACTTCTTTTGAAAATGCTTTAATTGCAAAACTTCTTTCATCCTCCAAACGATCAGCCAAATACACTGAAGCAAAATTACCCTTCCCAATTTTTCGATGGGCCTTAAAACTTTCATGAAATGCTCTTTAATTTATATGTCTTGCCAAATAATCTCTCCATCTTTTTAGAAGTTAAGTGTCATCTGAAAATAATTTTATCTTATGTTCGACATTTTCCCTTTCAATTAATAATCCTAGTGGTTTTCCAACTTTAAACTTCTCCTCGCATGATTCTCTTAATAACTAAAATTTGGTTTCGAATGATAAAGAAATCAATTTGTTCTTGTTAGCGACAATTATTTAATTAGAAAACCCATGCAAAACTCTTCTTTTGCCTTTTGGAGTTATAAATTCACCAACTATATCAGGTTGTTGATCTTGACCTTAAAGAGGCTCTGTTAATTTATAATTCATTAAAAAATATCATTATTAAGATTATTAATCATAGATCTTATTGATTATATCCTCTACTCTATATTAAAGTATTTTGTGTTTCTCTATAAACTTACATATGTAGTTTATGCTCTAATCTGTCATTATTGCCTTTACTTATTCAGCCTTAACTAAAATCTAAGTGCCTTGATATCTTAATTCAGGCTCTAGATATAATATATTATTAATACATTCTTTTATTACTTCCAGGAAGAGACAAATTGTTGATTTTATAGCAAATTCCAAAGTATTTTCTAGGTAATAAATACCCCAATTTACAAAAAGTGAATCTATTTTTTAAGGAGCCTTTAATTAAATTGAGACGTCAACAACCTATCCTGGAATAGCTTCAGGCAATAGTAACTATTAAGTTTTGAAAGGATTATCGATGCATCGTATTTTCATTGTCTAAGGCCAAGTTTTTTAGCCTGAATTTTTTAAAACTAATTTCCAGATAAATTCTTTATCAGGATAACTTTAAACTTATGAGTTCTGAACTACCTCAACTTAGTAAGCTTCTTATTGTACTTCTTATTCCATTTGTGGATATTAAAATTATAGGCCCAAAGGAGCTTAAGATTAACTTTGTTATTTTTAGGAAGGATAATATCCTTATAACATATTTTGATAATTATTTTAAGGTTGTTAAACTTATTATTATATACTTTAAAATTATTAATATTGTTATTATTATTGTTATTATTATTGTTATTATTATTATTATTATTGTTATTACTATTACTACTATTATTATTATTGCTTCATTTAAGGCATATATTAATGTATAGATTACTAGTCAATTTCATTAAGTTTCTATTGATTATGCATTTAACCAATATATTACTGAAATTATTAATTACCTTGCCTTGCTTACTATTATTTTATATTTTAATCTATTTAAATTGTGCTTGCATTGTATATGCTAGACTGCTCCATAAATTTGAGATCTAAATATTTAAATGAAAAAAGTACCTTCTTCTGTTAATTGTCCAATATTATTCTCAAATACAAACAACTTATAGGAGGATAATTGTAAAATTTTTAAAAGTATTACTAATGCATCTTCATGAACAATCTTTTAAGTTAAGTTAAATTCTTACTTCAAGAGGTTCTGATTCATAGAAAAAGACTATGTGATAGTTCTAATTTATTTGAGGGTACAGTTTTTCGATTGAAGATTTTATAGCCTAAACTGTGGTGACATGAAGAGGCAACTTATGTATTTTTCTATTGAAAACAATTTTGAATGCCATTTCTAAAAATTAAATTTATATAATAATATAAAAACTTAAGAAGCATTTTTTTTGTATTGTGGAATATAGATATTGATCAGTCATTCATTTTATATATTTTTTAAATCACTCATTGTCTTTTGTTCATTCAAGAAATCAGCAGGAATTAGAGTTAACGCTAATTTTGTTAAATACATATCATTATCTAATCTTAAAATCCACTTATAAAAGCATAAAATATAAACGATAATTAATGTCAATCCCAAGATATACATATAAATTTAAAATTTTAAGATAACAGAGTCTAAAGTGCTTTTATTTAAATTTAACATAGTATTTGCAATTTGTTCCATAATCTTTCCTTAAAATAGAAAATGATGAACAAATTCTGTAGTATGTACTTATCCAGATAGAAACTTTTCTAATTAATCCTCATCAGTAATAGCAAAATCATTTAACTGCCAGAAAGTTTTCAAAGTTTTTGAAAATTCATGTACCATGTCAACTATCCCTCCAGAAAGATAATCTAAACTATTATCCGAAGAAATGGATTCTTATGGATTTGTACAAGCTGGAACAAGAGTAGGATCGCTTTCACAAAGAGAACTACGAAATGGAATCAATAAAGTGTTTTTTTGTTCTTCTAGAAGGGAAGTACTTGATTCTAACTGATCATAAATGACGGACAATTAATCTTAGAAACCTTCTTATAATGAAAAAAATTCAGCTATGACCCCATCTTAGTTGAAATTAATCGAAGATAATTCAAACAATTGGTTTAGCTTTAAATTCACCAACTAGTCTGTTTTCAAAATTTCTCCATAAACTATTAGAGAATCGAATTTTAATTTAAATTCTATTAATTATAAATTTAAGGCAATCGCTGGTTTAATCGAATGAACCATTGAAAGGGATAATCCTAATGCACCTAACAAATAACCAGCTAGAAATAACCAAGATAAAAATATGAATGCATAATTCCAAATTTAAGGTAATCTTAGATTATATACTCTTGAAGTTAAAGAACTGTTTTGATATCTCTTTTTAAATTTCTACTTATTGTTTTTGGCAGCATCAGATCCACTTGAGGATTAAAGAAAGTTTAAATCTTATTTAGCTTTTATCAAATTGGTTTCAAATATGCATTTAACAAAATTTGTTTATTTCCATTAGACCTATTTTGGATCTTTAAGTATAATTTTTATTTACGAATAAATCTTATTAATTTAATTCACATCATCCTCACTTAGTTTTGTAATTAGAATTAAGATTTTTCTGATTAATTAGTTTACATCTTATAAAACCTTAATGATTAAGAACATGAAAGCAGTTATGATACTAAGTTCTGCAACAATAACATAAATGAGAATATTAACAATTTGTTGCTCATAAAACATTAAGTTATCATTAAGATAATTGATATAGCTTTTGCTTATTGTTATGACTTAAAGCATATTTAATTTAAAGAATAAATTTAATGACACGAAATTTTAATCTAGTTCCTTTTCATTTTGGATTTTCAAGTTTAGGTTGATAGAATTGGAGGAAATTTATTCTAACAGTATTGTTAAATCAAATGCAATTTAAAACTATTTTAAATTATTGATGATCCTTAGATCATCATTTGTAGAGATTACTTAATTTTCAAAAGTGATGATATCCTCATATATACTTTTTAACTCATATTCGATCTTTAATGCTAAATTGCTAAACTCAGTTTTAAGAGCATCATTTACCAATTAACTATAAGTTACTAATTCTAATTTTTATTGGAGAATGTTTGATGAGAACATTAATGATTTTAGAAAGTAATTATTGATTTTCTCAGGATATTGAACATAATTTAGATTAGATTAAAGAATTCCAAATTAACCTTAAAAATAAATTAAATAATTACTTTAAACGATGAATATCTTAATGAAAACCAAAATCAAAGCAATCAGACAAATAAAAACATTAAGGATTATTATAGTCCAAATCTAGGAATCAATCTCTCCAATTTGATAGAGAGTTCTAATTAATAAATAGGGTGACTTTGATGAAGAAGACTTAGTTGTACTGGGCTTAGAGGACTATTAATTTTCATGTTCTTAAACTTCTTAATTATTAATATTCTTTCTTAAAATCTCTAAAATATCACTTTTCTTTTTTGATTTTTAACCTTTTGAACTATCAGACTTTTTTTCTATTAAATCAGAATCATATTTGGGATCTTCATACAATTCCTATTCTGGTTTTTAAACATCTAATTTACTTTCTTCAACATCTTATACTATTTAATGGAAGTCTTCATCTTCATTTCTTGAAATCTAAGGGTTTTAAAAGACCACTTTCAAATCATCTGGTTGTTTTTAAGGATTACAAATAGATATATTACTAATTTGCATAATCTATTCTAAAAGATGTTGGTCTGAGGGACCTTTGATATCAGCTGTTTCATTTAATTAATCTTAATTTTACTAAAGGTTTTTATTTGTGAAGTTTTTTGTGTTCATTGATTCCATACCAGTTTGAGATTCCCCATATTTAAGAGCAATTAGTGTTCTTCTGATTGATTTTTTAAAAGGTATTATGGAACATGAATCAGATCTTTCAAATTCATTCAAAGGTTCTAATTTTAATACAAAATATGGATATTTATTTTTTTTGGTTTCCATTACTTAAAACTCTAAACTGTACTTAATTTTGAGAATATCAAATTGAATAGATTATTCATCATGATACTTCAATAGAAAATCTAGTACCATATTCATTCTTTCTGTTTATAACATAGGGATATTTAGACCTTTAATTTTAACAGATTCTTCTGAATTATTGTAACTTCTGTCAGATATTGCTGAAATATGTGAAGCTTATTAAGATTTAATTGTGGTTAAATTATAGGATGATAATCGTTGATCATATTAGTGTTTATTATCAAATAATTATCCAAATTATAAACAAATATCTAACAATTATTCTGGGAAATAACTGTAATCTACAAAATCTGTCTATGTCTCATTTGCTAGTTTCTTTATATTGACCAAAATGAATGGCATCAACATAACAATATTGCCTTGTTCCACAAATCTTTCCATAGTCATTCCTGGGTTATTGGGTAGGATCCTCTTTAGAAAGAATTCTTAACTAGTACCAATAATTTTGCCATAACTATCGAACATAATTATATCTTAGGAGATTTGCAATCTAAGAATTGAACCTGTCAAAATGAAATCTGAAGAATCTTAAAATAAATTTCCCAATTTTATATAACATTCTCTAAGGTAACCTTATTTTTATAAATAAAAAGTGTGAATGCTTTAAACTGAATACTTTGTAAATCCTTTTGAAATAAATTCATTTAGCTAAGCATCGTGCAATATTCTTAAATCAGGAGGCAGGAAAGAAGAGATTAATGTTTACTAAAAAGTATAATTTTGATTATACTCCTGCTATATCTTGAACATTCTAAAACTCAAAGAAATTCGCCAAAGTCAACAAATTCTTATTCACTATATGACCCTTCTTTCTTACAAGACTAACTAAGATAATAGCAGCATCATCCTTCAATAAAGCACAGTCATCTATAATTTCAATGGATTTCTATCTATCTTCCTTTATAAGTTCCTCAATTTATTTTTCTGCTTAAAATGCCTATCATATATTAATAAGTTACTCTGTCAAAATCATTCAAAATAACGGCATATAAAATAGAATATAGTTTCAAATTTAGTATGTTTATATTCCTATCTTCTGGATCCAATGTTTTAAGAACTGTTTATAAACTTACATCCTTTGACCTGTCAAAAAATACCTCTGGAATTATTAATGAGGCTAAATAGAGATACCAAAAAATTTACTTTTAATTTTCTTATAGAGTTCATCTATAGATTTGCACAGCTACAGTTATTCTTTATGAAATGGCTCTAAATCATCATAGCCTTCTAATAGATTATCCCAAAATTTTTGTTTCTTATCAATTACATCAATTATTTTAGGAGTGATTTCTTAGTAACAATTAACACTCCTCCAAAGTTAATCAATCGTTAATTTTTCTTACTTTGGCATATATTTTTCCCTTCTAAATTGCTGTTAGATCATCCTTTCCTAAAGATACAAAATGGAAAATTCTAATTCAGCAGAAATTTTAGAAGTCAATTCTCTGAAATATAAGGAATTATCGTTATTTTAGTCTTACTAATATTTCCGTAATTCAACATAACCAATCAATGGTCTTTAGGCTATTGATGATAAAAAACTTATATATTATAATTGTAACTATTCGAATTTAGGCTTATGAATTTCTCCATTTTTAATAACAGTTCTACTATGACAAGTCTTAAATATACAACTCACTACATCAATTGTTAATTTTTGTAATTATATATTATCATTAAAATTAACTTTTGATAATTTTGATTTTTAAGAAGGACACTTAGGTCTCATACAATTCTCATTGTGTTTAATCAATTATTAAAAGTAAGTCAATTTATTATATTCACTTGTTTAGAAATAAGTAAAATGACTATAAAATTAATCTACTCCAATAATTATATATTTCTCTTATAAGTTGAAACGAGAATTGTAGTTCGTCATAGCAAATTCATGAAACAGTTAACTTATTGAAGTAGAAACACCACTTATCAATGCAGCCACAAACAGAATCCAAAATAATTACCCATCTACAATTGCCTTCAGCGAAAACAATAAGCATATGAATATACTACTTAAAAGTATCATAGCTACTTTTAAGGAGGGCTCTCTAAATGGATCTCTGTAAGGACAACTATAAAATTAATCCACTATTTGCAAAATTGCGTATAAAAATCCTAAAGCAAACTTAACAAATACAATTTCTTCATAAAATCTAAAAAAAATTAATAAATAAACAATGGTATAATTGAAAAGTTGAACATAAGCGAATTTTCTTTTAAAAGAGTTATTTTCAGCAAATCTATGATTCCTTAATAGATATGTTAAGATTATTCCTTAAAAATATTGTAAAATTGCATTAAAGTATCCGAAAATATAATAATTAGTTAGCATAAATTTAGCACTAATTACAATTATTGGAATTGTAAAGATGTTATAAAAAGTAAAGTACCAGTGCAAAACGGAACTTACAGATTCTATTTTTTTCTCTAAAGCTAATCTCAATTTAAAGTTTGAGGCTACTCTTTGGGTTTCAAATGTTGCAATAAGTAGATAAAATAGTAAAATTATTTAATAGGCAAAAATTCCAAATAGAAAAATTTTGCTTAGTTCATCTGTCAACATTGGTTCAATTAAAGAGAAATGTGTCAAAACAACCACATAATCATATGCTTGATCTGAAGATCTATCCAAAAATAAACTTAATAATTAGACATGATGCAGAAAATGAGGAACGATAAATAGCCCTTGAGGAAACTTTGTAATAATGATGATTATACTTAAAAACGATGCTTATACTCAATTGCAAATAATATAGTTTTAATGTACCCACTACAAAATTCCTTTATTTTGTTCATCACTATCAAGATTTAAAAAATAATTTATTAAAATATATAATATATATCGAATTTTTGTCTTAGAAAACAAATAATATTAAAGACATAAAATATTTCAAAAGAATTCACTTATCTGACTAAACTTAGTTGAATTAAACTTTTAAATCTGATGAAATAATGTATAGATAGTAAATCCAATCATTAAGGAGAAGATAAAAATATATTCGTAAAGATTATCATATCATTTCCATCGATATAACTTACTAGTCTAACATTAAAACTAACAATATCTTCTTAATGATTATTTCTCCCTCAGCTTGAAATTATTAATGAGCTTTTTAATCGTAAAATTCATAATTCTGATTCTCAATGCTGGTCATCTACATTTTTAAACAAAGAACACACTCTTATTTCTTCTAATAAATATTGAGTGATAGACAATTTAATCAATTCACCTTTATAATCTAATTATTCAACAAAGTTCCTGAGTAAATATCAGCCATTCTATCAATGTTTTTTTTTAGTCAAGGTAATAATTTCAATAAATAAAGGATTATTGAAAAATAACGAATCATAACGAGGAAATTGCAATCAAGGCTTTTGGATTATTTATCATTGTCTCTCAATAAATACTGCTTACTTTAACTTAAGGAACATGCCTGCTATTTATAGATGAATATAAAGATTACAATTTCTTAAAGAACTTAATTGAATGTAATCTTGCAATAGAGAACTTTTATTATTAAGTAGGTTCTAATTAAATTTAATAATTTTTATTGATAAATTTTGAGTCGATAATTTGAAATTTAAGAATTTTTATTGGAATAAAAATCCTATTATATTTACATTATAAATGAATGAAGGAAATTATAATATTTTGATTTTACTAATGCACAATTTACAGAATATTCTTGCAGTTTCACCAAACTAAATAAATTCAACTAATTTTTATAATCAAGATTGTTAGATAAGCCTATTATTAACATACTTTTATATATTTAGAAAACAAGATATCCCCTCAGACATATAGCTTAATTACATTCAAAAGCAAAATTATTTTTCTGTTGTACTATTTATAAAATTTTTATTTATCAAATATGGTTAGATAATAATTATCATAAACTTTGCAATAAACATAATTATAATTATGGTTATATCTTTATTAAGTTTAATATTAAATAATCCATAATTTAAATGTAAATTAACTCAGTCCAAAATTTTTAGCACTTCTCTATCTTTATGGCTTTTCAGATTTTCTATCATTTACAATATTTTCTGATTATCTTTGAGATGTCCTACAATAAAATATCTTTCTATACCTTATTTAAATCGTTTTTAAACAATAAGAGCTACTGTGATTCTCACATTTTTAACCGGATCAAGACTGAGAGATACAAATTATTCCAAGAAAGTAGATTCAAATTCTTTAAGTGTAATTAACTTTGAACACATATAAGCAAATCTAATAATTAATAATAATTTGTATACGCTTATCTCTGATTAAAACGATGACTGATTCCATATGCTTTAATATTCTCAATTAAACATTAATAATAGATTTGACTGGTTTCATCTTCAGTATTCAAAGATTGCAAAATTGAATGCATTTCTTTGGCTGCTTATTTTCTTACAACTGCTACAATGTCGTTACATAATTTCAATGTAATTGGCACTATGATTTGGAATATGTTGTCAACACTGTACAAAGGAACCAAATGCTTAATTTACTTAGCGATAAGATGACGAATTCTCCATTTCTTTTGATCTCTCTATATACGATTAGGAATTTATTATTACTTATATGATTAATACAACATCTAATAAATTATCTCTTTTTTCTTCATCAAAAATCTTAATAAATTCCCATAAATGTTGTGCAGCTGCATACTTCACTTCATCATTTAAATCCTTCAAGAACGAATCCAAAATGATCACTAAATCTTTTTCAGCATATCTTGGACCGCAGGATTTAGCAATGATATAGAGATTTTCTGCCAACATTTTTCTGACTCCTTTGTTTTTTACTAGATTTTGTAATAATTTTAATAGATTTGGCCACTTTTCTTATCCATATATTTCGACAACATGATGGAAGGTTGCTGCACAAGCATCATAGATTTCTTAATCAGATGAGAAATATTCACAGACATCTTTATTGATTGATCGACAATATTCATTTAATAACTATTCATTTTTTTGATTACAATCATGTAATGTATGAATGAATAATCCAAGAAGAGAGAATGCAGATGCCTTAACCCATTTATTTGAATCCCTTATATAAATATCAAAATATTACTTTAAAAATTCAACCATTTTATTAGACAATTCATTCTATCGAACTTATTTTGGAGCTATCTAAGCTAATCTCACAATAATCTCTACACAGGCTTTACGAATATGCCAAGATGATTTATCTTCAGACTTTCTATTAAGATAATTTAATTTTAGATGTACTAAAGATAATAGGGGAGCAATTTGGTCACGAAAAATTCAGGTCTTACTGCCTTTGCAATGTGTGGTAATTGTTAAAGAGATTCCTTTCTTACTCTGACACTGATATCCTCACCTGCATTGATAAACTCAATAGAAATGAATGATTCTAAGAATTATTAATTGGCAATATGAGCATAAGAACCAAAAAATTGCAGAGCTACCATCTTATTTTCTTCATTCGATTCATCATGTGCCATTAGAATTAAATCATTTAATATTAACTCATTTATTTCCTCTTTGGTTAGTTTCTATGCAATTCTAGATATTTATTTTTGAACATCAGATTAGATGTCAAAATTATGATATTTTATTAATTACATAGATGCTGGCAATAAATGTTATTTAATTATAGATACATCTAAATGATCTATTAATAAATTTAGTTGATGGATCAGGATTTTTTTTATTTCGTCACTGTCACTAATGAATTAGTTTATAATCTAAGTCAATTGTTATTATGCTTCATCCCCTATCAATATTATCAATTCACTCAAATGCCTAGCATAGGCTTATCTATAAACATAATTGAAGAATTATTCATATTACCTTTCCTAAAAGTTTTACTAATTAATTGTCAAAAGTTTGGCCAAAGCTTTGTCTGGTTCGTCTTCAATAAAAACAGCATCATCTTCTCTTTGTTAAATATTTTTTAGATTGAATGATTCTTCTTCACTAATTTATAACATAATCTTTTTCTATTCCTCTAACGCATTTATATAATTTTTAACCTGCAGATAACGCCTTCATACAAAACTCTTCAACGTTATCCTTAACTTCCGGTTCTTTGTTTTCATTTTGTTTTTCTTCTTAATTCATACTTTTTATAAATAAAAAATTAATTAATACGAAACATATCATTTGTATTACATCATATTTTAGTTGAACAAATAATCCAAACCACTTAATTAAGTACATCCAATCGAAGCAGTGTAATAATATGATTTAATTGTAACATAAAAATATAATCAGATAGCCTAGATGAATGTACTCATTTTGATGTAGTTTCACTACTCTTATGCTCATCATTAATAATTATATAATATATTGATTTATTAATTACAATATACGATTAATTTATAATATGGGATACATTCATAATCATGAAACTTACTATTACTATTAGAGTTAAGAAAACTATAAAAATACGGATTCCAATGTTGATTAATTTATAGTAAAATCTTTGATATAATTTTTTTATTCTAATTCTGTTAACAATTGAAACACATTGAAGAATTAAAATTAATGAGTAGGTATCTAATTGATAATAATAAATATATACATGTATTGATTAATATTCCTCGTGAGTCTCCTAACTTTCCTTAGCCTCTGAATATTATTCCTAGATGATCTTAAGTATCTATTCTCTGCTGGAAGGATTTCTTATGGAAATGTTATACCCTTCTCCATATCTGTCTCTGAGTTCTTTTGGATTGCCTAAACAGAATATTTCACCATTAATCATAATGGCTATTCTATCACACAGACTTTCAGCTTCATCCATAGTATGAGTTGTCAAAACCACTGAACTTTGTCTTAACTTGACACCTTGTCTGAGAGTTTTCCACAAAAATCTTCTTGCAATGGGGTCAACTCCTGTGCTTGGTTCATCAAAGAATTAAATGCTAGGTCCTCCAATAAGTGCATTACTGACACAGAGTTTCCTCTTATTACCTCCTGAAAGTAATCCAGATTTTCGATAAATATATTCTTCTAATTACATGGTACTTAAAAAGTAAGCTACACTTTGATCAAGATCATTTCCATATAAACCTTTCATTCTTCCAAATAGATAGAGATGTTCCCTTGGAGTAAGGTTCTCCCAAAGACAATCAAATTAAGGACAGATACCAGTGTCTCTAAACACATCTGATTTGGTTCTATCTATTTCAACGTCCTTAATTTTAACATTTCCAGATGATTTACCAATTAATGAAGTTAAAATATTAAAAGTAGTAGATTTGCCTGCACCATTTGGACCTAGTAAACCTAAAATTTCATTCTGTCCTACTCCAAATGTTATATCTTTGACTGCCAAGAAATGTGAGGGATTGTATTATTTTTGTAAGTGCAAGACTTTAATGGGAGTATTCTTGATTCCAGTAGAAAGTTGTTGGATTTCTTTGAGTACTTCTGGATCTTTGATTGGAGCAGGAATATAATTATTACATCTTTGATTATTAGTGGGCATCTCTTTGAAGTATTTCATTTACTCAATATAAATATTCAAAAAAAAGAATGCAAAGGCTTAAAAGACCATGATTAAACAATAAACCCAATATTCTTTTGAGATGTAAGGTACATTTCCTCCTTCAATATCATTAGATTTGGTAATAGCCTAAAAAAATGAGTAAAATGGACTGATGAGAGCACATAGCAAATCCACAAATTTAATTACGATTGATTATCCACTTGATAATTCGTCAGAATCATTTCCATTCATAAAAATCAAGGCTACAATAAGCCAAACATTCAAGGGAAGAGCAAAGAAAATAAAGTAATTTAAAAAAGGGAATGTTTTCATTGCTTTTGATGCCTTTTGATAAAGCATAGTTCCAATAAGGAATGAAAACATAATAAAGGATATTCCAAATGAGAAGAATATAAAAATTACTTTACCTATTTTTTCACTTAAGAATTCATAGGTGAGTGAAATCATAATGATAATGAATATCATTCCAAAATAAATAGTGAAATCAAATAGAAAAGTACCAAACCAATAAGGCAATGGTCTACAACCCATAGCTACCAAAGCATATTTCAGGTTGGTTTCTCTTTCTAAAACAGGCTGCATTATAAATAAGGATGAATTGAAACAAAGTGCAATAATAGCAAAGATTGAGAAAAAGATCATTCTGAATACTTTCGTATCTTTATTCTCTTCTCCAAGATCCATTTCCCCAATGACAACTATGCCAGTTACAATCAATGCTAAGGGAATGAGGATAGCTAAATAATTGCTGAAGGTTCTAATAGTTGTGTAATATTTTCTAAGATAGATGGCCAATGTTTACTCTTTAAATGAATAAACAGGTTCTACTTTACAAATAACTAATTACCTCTATTCAAACAATCTGGAACTGGAACTTTGGACTTAAGTTCAGCAAATTGATCAGTTCCAATTACACTATCTCTATCTTCATTGACACTGGTTCTCCCTTCGACCATCCTTTTGGCTCTCTCTAGGAACTTCTCTTCATCCATTCCAATATTGATAAAAGCATCTTCAAGGGAATTAATCCTGAAATTAACTGATAACTTATTCTAAAATTCCCTCTCCAAAGCCTAAAAATAATTAAGTAAGTATTTTTTCTAATTAAATTTAATTTTAAATAGAATAGAAAGTTATGATGATTGAGGATCCAAAACTGCTTATTGTAAATTATCTTATGTAAATTTAACGATTTCTTCTTTATCAATTGATTTATCGACTATAGTGATTGAAATGGAATATCCTTCTCCAAAATTCTGCTTAATGTATTCACTTCTGCCACAAGCAAGTAATTTACCAGCAGCCATAATAGCAATTCTATCAGCCAACTCCTCAGCTTCATCTAAATGATGAGTTGTAAGTACAAGAGTTCTGTTCTCAGCCTTAACTTTCTCCAATATTTCCCAAATTCCTCTTCTTGTCTAAGCATCCATTCCAGAAGTTGGCTCATCTAAAAATAATACATTGGATCCTCCTATGATTGCTTATGCCAAAGATAGCTTTCTTTTATTTCCTCCACTCAATGTCTTTGTTATTTTCTCCTATTCATTAGTCAATAATGTGGTAGACAATATTTGCTATATCTCTTACTCTAAGTCATTGCCTTCCAACCCTTTCACTCTTCCCATGAACTATAATTATTCTTTGACTGTCAATTCATCATATAAAACATCCCTTTGATTACATATTCCAATCCTCTCTCTAATCTCTTCCAAATTACTCTCTAATTCCTAATCAAAAACGTAAACCTTTCCTGCAGTCAAACTCAGTAATCCTGTTAATACATTTATTGTAGTTGTTTTCCCAGCACCATTATGTCCCAGTAGACATAAGATTTCTTTCTAATACAAATTCAAACTCACTTAATCTACAGCCGTAAAGTTCCCAAACTTTTTCACTATTGATCTTATCTTCACTGAAGGTTTAACATTTAAGTAGTTTCTTTGCTCATGATAAAAGGCACTTGAGCCATCATCATTATATGTCTAAGAAGCTATATTCTCTTATTCCTATTATATCAAAGGATTCTCTAAATCAACTTTTCGTTTTTCTGTTTTACCTTTAGTAAAATTTAGAAAGAACAAAGGATGCTTTGCAATACCATATTCATTAGGGATTATGGCATCGAAATAAAAATACAGCAACAAATATACAGCTGACAATACTCCTAATTATATTGCCATTGCTCCATGAGAGAAGTATTCCTCAAGTTGAATATTCAAATATCTAAACACTCCATATTGTGTTGATATATACGAAAGTGCAATACATGTTTATGGAAATAGGGAAATCAAAACGAAAAATAAAGTACTAATAGATTATAAATCACATTGAATACCTTTAAAATTTGTCAACAAATCCAAAAAATGGCAATATTAACGATACAACTAGCAAAAATGTTGTAATTTCATTTGCAGTCTTTGATTTTGAAAAGAATGTTGTTAAAAACATTGAATAATGTATCAAAGCGGTTGCATATATGAAGTAAAGTCCAAATATTATGTACCATGCTGTGTCATCATCAAATCCAAATATGTTTCGACCATGTCTCTCATTCATGATATATCCGAACAATGTCCACGAAAGAATAAATATTGTAAAAGACTAATATATATGTATATCAATTGTACCATCAAAGTTTTAAAGTAAGCGTACAGCATCCATCCTATCAAGTATGAGTTTTGCTTCAAACCCATAATCTACTATTATTGAAATTTATTACCTTCTGAGTTTCCTTAAACTTGAGCTCCTTCTCTTCACATAAATGTATCAATAATGATCTTGGATTTGAAAATATGGCCAAAGCAACAAAAAATGGAGCAAAAAAGGTTATCAATTGAGTACCATCGATATCTTTAGCAGCTAAACTCAATCCACAAATAAATGGAATTAGAGTTTCTGCTAAAAATTCTTTGTTTCTAAAAGAGCATAACAAGTTCTTCTAGAAAATGGCCTTTATTTAGAAAAAATATGTCTTATTATCCATATAAAATAATTAAAATAAACCTATATAGATTTTTTATAATTGATATTTCGTAACAATATAGTATTAATGTGCAATCAAAGGATCTTTATTTATGTATTAAAAATCAATTCAAAATTGATGACTATTAAAAACCATTCGTTAATTGAAATTATTGCTGAGATATCTATAAACAGTTGAATTCAAGATCGAAACTTATTCATGCATAAATCTCATGAATAAATTAATAAAAACGAAAGAAAAACCACAATTAAAGACAAATAAGTACAAACCATCAATGTTTAATTAGAGATTTTCTTTCTTTTTGAGAAGTGAATTATTAACAACAATACTTAATTAAATAACTCATAATAATGTTGAATAATATATATTCTGATTCATATACCAAAAACAAACTAATATAAATAAAAAGTCATGTAAAAAATGAGAAGTATTTATTTCTATGAAATTAGTATTTAAAATTTAATAATATATAATACAACACAATAAAATGAAGAATATTATTAACCCTTACATTAATTATTTATAAATCATAACTTCAGATCATCACTCAATATGCCACAAATATTGTCTAAATTGTCACCTGTCAAATGTGCAAAGGCTCTTAATTTTCCCTGTTTATAATTTGTCTTTTAAACTTAGACTCTTAATTTAGTACCTTATTTTATCACTTCTTCATCTTCTTCTTTATAAGATTCCTAAATTCACATTAAAATTACATTAGAATAGGTGAAATTAGCAGGCAATTTATCTCTTGGGATGATAAAATCGATTGGTCCCAATTTGGCAAAGACTGCCTGGGCTTCACATTTCGAAACTTCAACATCCACTATTTCCTTCTCTTGTATTTTGAATACAATGGCTTCAAATTTAATCTGATATGATATGAAAATTATACCACTACTCTAACTGTTCCATCCTCTTCAATTAATGCATCAATTTATTCATCCAAATTTTTATTGTAATTCATGCATTTAGCAATATAAATGATGTACCCAACATCATCAAAGTACTTGCCTTCTAATTTCTATACAATTTATTCTAAAATGAACTTTTAATCTTTCAATTGATCTAAGTAGTTTGGCTCAATGGACAACTTAGTTTTTAGTCCTTTTATGTGATAAAACATTTTTATTATTGATTTTTTGATAATTAAACAAAAAATTTAGTATATTTTATATATATAACCCCAAATCATCTTTTTGCAGTCAAAGGTCTTTACTATTATGAAGGGGCTTTTAAAGCCGTATTTACAACATAGGTCACTGCCTTTTACAATGTATAATTAGAGGCCTTTCGTTTTAGAAGCTAATAACATATTTTGATATGATAATACCTTCTCTGAGATAGATTCTATGGCTTCCAAGAAACCCAAGAAATTCAGATCTGGTTATAATGATTTTAACTAAATCTTTTTGTAAATCAAATCATAATCTGATTTGATTAGTAAATCATTAATTAATTGAGGATTGTTAGCTAATCTGCAAAATCTCATTTAATTCAAATTGCCATATCTCAAACCACAAAGATTGCTGTAAAGATCAACCAATTTATAGAACTAAAGTTGTAAATAAATATAAAGAAATTACCAAATCTAAATTCTCAATTGGTGGTTATCCATCAATAATCATCTTATAACTGTTACAATACTTCCCCTTACCAATTTATTCAATCTGTTCTTAAGGTGTTTTAACTGCAATAATAAATGCGTCTTCAATGACCTTAGTCTTAACATAAGCATCCAATGAGCTTGTTTCGACTCTTTTGCTTCCATTTGAATTTTATACTACTTGAGTAATCTCCAAACTGGGATTGGCATTAATTTCAATAATCCATGGTTTTAGATCTCTGTCAATTAGAATATCAAAGCCAATAACATGGAAACAATTGGCCTTTTCCCACTTGTCTTGATAGATTTCTCGAGTCGAATTTAACTTTACTAATAGTTAGTATTTATTACTAAGAAGGGGGCAATTCCATATAAGAATCTTACGATGGTTTGTTCAATTCTCAATTTCAATTTAGGGACATCAATGCCCATCTTCATTAATGTTTTTTTGGCTGATGTATAAGTTCTTTTAGTTCCAAGATTTATTTTTTGGAAATCTGGAGGATGAATAATAAAATTTTGACTATCTATGGATATACTATTGTTGTCTTTTACTTTTATTTAAAGAATAATTTGTTAGATGCATATAAACATTAGAGAGATTACTTGATGTGATGTCCTAATAATTTTCAGTGCACAATCTGGCCAAGCCTTCTTCGTTTATGTAGGCGATTAATGGTTTCAGTGAAGTAATCAACACATACAATCGAAAATCGAATTTCTTGTCATCCAACAGCAGGGGATTGCTGATATACTCTTATATAATATAGTTCCTAATTATTCAAATGCTATTACTTCTTTATATAGGAGATATCCTTGACTCCATTGTTGAACAAATCTTCTATCTAGCTGACTATGAAGATGCCTTGACCCTGGGTTCCTTTGTCAGGCTTGGCAATGTAGGAGATGCCATCCTTTTTTTCGAAATCTTCGATGAATTCATGTAAATCCTCAGGCATGGTGTATGTTTTTGGATAAAAATTATAAATAGACGGAAAATATCTATTATAATATGACACATATTATACTATCTCATTTTATCCATGATCGACGTAGTTTCCTTTTTTGTAGAGATAAGTTTAGCTCCAGGAATTCTACTGATGCATAAATTCATAAAGACCATTGCAAAATCGTAAGTAAATTGTTTGGCCTGTTGTACATTATCAGGACCACACCACAATATATCTCCGTCAAAATTATGAGCCTTTTTCCATTCATTCTTTTCCATGATTTTACGAATAATTGGTAATTCTTACACCTAAACAGAGAGATTAATAGACAAAGGTATTGACTTTGGATCAACCTTTATTTATTATCTCTTTTGTGTTTTCTTCTGCAGCAACATTTAAAATATTAGATTTAATGGTTTGTTGGCAGGCTTTTCTTCAAAACTCTTAACTCTCATTTGTCTTTGAGAGTTGTTTGGAACTTCAGTCTCTGTATTCTCATCTTGCTTATCCTACTTGTCTTATTATGTAAATTGTTAAAAGTCTGAATTCAAAAATTACAACATTTGATTTTCCAACATATTTTAATAATGAAATTAGTTAATATTCATTAGTCAAATAGATCTACCTTAATTAATCGAAGACAGATAACTCAAGAGCAATAACCACTGATCACAAATACAAATTGCCCTAATTGATGGATAGACAAATCTCCCTAAAAACATTTACACAATCAGCATTACAAAATAAAATCGAGGAGAATCATCAACTCTACAATACCTAAATTGGAAATTCATCTGCAATATATACAATATTTAATAATAAAATAGAACATGCAATAAAGGACTTTTAATCTATTGATTTTGTCAAACTAATCCTTACTCTATTTTGATTCTCATTCTCTTTTTGATTCACTTATGTTTGTATATCATTCATAAATAAATAAGAGTATATATTGAGATTGTTTCTCTCTTAATTTGATAATATAATAAACTCACTTCACTATATTGATTAGTACAAAATATATATAATATTGGTTTAAATTAATACTGATATTAGAATTAAAATCTTAAGATAAATGAGAAATTTCAGCCTTAGTTATTATATTATACTATTTGACTTATATTTTATCATCTTCATCCCAATTGACTTAGATGAATATCTGGAGCTTTTATTGGTTGCAGTCCTAATAGCTGTTTGTAGGTAACTAATTAATTTGGGAGTTCTGCTAACACTTCTCTTGCTAACTCTCCTTATTATTTAAAATCTCTAAATGGTACAAATTAGACCAGATCTCTTGAAGATGAACCTTTCAATGGACCGCTATCTCCATCAAGCGTTCTCATCTATTAAAACTATTCATCTCCAACTCCAATGATAATTATTGAAAGTGGAATTTTTGCAGCACCAATTATCAATTGTGTTGTCTAATTCATGTCATGAATCTCTCCATCTGTCAGTATCATTAGAACTGTATAAATATTTTAGTTTATATTTTGTTATGCTGTTTAACAAGCGTATTAAATGATTGGGGCAAAATATGTTGGTCCTGATAAGGTGACATTTTATAGTGCTCCGCTATATTAAGCCATAATTCCTTCCAGACCAAAAACCTCCGGTTATTAGAAACTACCAGTCAAAGGAAAGCTAGGAATAGACTCAATTTGAATACCAGTGATCTGCTTAATTTTTTGTATAATTAGGAAAATGGGGTACTCCACCAAATCCATACATGGGTATTTTCTTATCGAAGTCGTAATTCAATAATATTTCTGAGACCTAGTAAAGTGCAGATTAATATTGGTTCATTTGATTTGGATTATTGTAATGTAGGGAGTTTGGAAATTTGGGATCTCCATTAGAACCAGTGAAATCTACAGCAATCATCAAATTAATCTACTCTCCTCCTTTAATATAATCAATGAAGGAAGGTTTTGTAAATAAAGAAAATTATTTTAATTATAACACACCATGATTACTCTATCAAATAATTATTGACATAATACGCCTTTCTTAGAAAGAGATATGAATTCTCTTTTGAGTTCATTCTCAATTTGATGGATTGTGAATAATGTTTCACCAATGTATTGATGTTTTCCATTTGTTTGATTATCCCAGCATTCCACCTTTATTTATTATTATGTATTTCCAGCATTCAATCTACTCATCGATATTTCAAATGGTTTCCAATGTGGATTTTCGTTATTCTTGCAAAATTCAGTCTCGTGAATAAACAACCAATCATTTCCTGACTATTTATAAAATCTCAAAAAGGGATCTGAATTGCCAAACCAACCATCTACATTCTTTATTTTTTTGCCTTCCCATTACCAGAAAATGAATCTATTGTCATCCTTCAATTTATCACCCTTAATTAAAAGAGTTCCTGTTGCTTTGTTCTTCAATTTCAACTATCCTGTATAAACTTAATTCCTAGATCCCATAATTTCTCCAACTGTCGTCTATATAATAATATGCTAATAGGATACATTGACAACACCAATTAAATCATCTTTATCAATGGTTCCATCATCATGGTCCCAAACCTCAAATCTTAGCTCTTATTTAATCTCGAATATGAAATCCATTTGAATGGTTGTCTAATATGGAATTTCATTACTTTCCAATCGGGATTAAGGTTATTTTTAAGGACTTCGGTTTAGCCAATTTATCTTTCTCCTCCATTAATGTCTCTTACGAAGATCTTGCACTTTGGATCACTGTCTGATATGACATCCATGTTGGCAAGCTTACGAGCTGAGATGTAAAGTTCAATCTTCTCTCTGTCTGAGGGTTGATACATGAAATCTATATAAATATACAAAATTAAATGTTTTTATCAGTGAGCGGTTCAGGATTTCACATGAATTATCGTTAAGAAGTTAGACTCCCGAAATTGCAAGGCCATAAAGTACAGGCGTACAGTATGCCTAAGCATCGACAATTAAACAGTCCAGAAGAGAAACCGATATCTCCTGATAGGTTTCTCAAGTACCTGAACAATAAAGTTCAATCACAAGCAGGAGTTTACAGAAACCCTGGAGCTGTTCAGTCTTCGATGATTTTGATTGCAAAACAAATGAAGTTCTCTTCTGATCAGCATACTCACAGACAGAAAGAGAAATCAATAAAAATAATTGAGTAATCGAATGAATATAAATACAATTTGGGATTGGGAAACAATCATGAATTAGTTCAAAGGATTATGGATACCAGAGTCGATTGGTAGTAAACTAAGGATAACTCATCGATGTTTGTTAATTTTAGATGGTAATAATGGCATAGAGGTTACAAATATGATAGATTGATCTTGAATAATTAATACAAATAAATGGTCAATCATTTTGAAAATCATCCAGAACTCAGCAATAAATAATATCTGTTCAGAAATCTCTGTTCCTATTGTGAAGTATTAATTTATTACTTAGAACTTCTTAGTAAAACAAAATAAATGTATATGATTCAGTTCCGATAACATTCGTCTTAGATTTTAAAGATGACTCTGTTGACCAACAATTTACTTAATTTGTTAAGTTCTTTGACAAGTATGCACCCAAGAAAATTGATCAAATGGCAAAAAAATTGGTAGAATACAAAAAGAAATTAAAAGTATTATTACTATAATAAGTCAGATTCCAGTCTAACCTATGAATGATAAGAAAATATAACCAATACCCAATAAGATTCCAAAGACTTAGAATGGTAATCAATACTTATGGTTATTGAAACCCACATTTTTAAATAGAGGACAAGGAATTCATGTTGTTAATGATTTGGATACTATCATATCACTTATATGTGAATATCAGGAAGGACATCAAACTATAGAAGATGATGACGTAAAGAATAACAAAAAGAATAATAATATCAAGGCCAATTCCTTTGTAATTTAGAAGTACATTGAATAACCATTTCTCATCAATCAAAGGAAGTTTGACATAAGAGTCTGGGTATTAGTTACCTAGGATCTTCATTGTTATTTTTTTAAAGAAGGGTACATACGCACATCTTGTGAAAATTATACAACCGATGATGTGAGCAATTAATTTATTCATTTGACCAACAATGCCATTTAAAAGTATTCAGACAAATATGGAGAGTTTGAAGATGGCAATCAACTATCATTCGATGATTTTTAAAATTATCTAAATCAATAAGGATTTAACATTGATTTTTAATAAAATAATGTAGCAAAGATGAAATAGCTAGTATGGATGTCAATGCAATCTGTAAAGAGGAAGCTGAATCTTCATTAAAGAAAATTCTGTATGGAAATTTTTGGATATGATTTCATTATAGATCAAGATTTTAAGACTTGGTTGATAGAAATTAATACAAACCCTTGCATAGAGGAATCAAGTGGAATTTTAAAAATGTTACTACCAAGAATGTTGGGTAATCAATTATATGATGTATGTAGATGATGCTTTCAAATTAACAATTGATGTCATATTTCCACCTAAATAGAAGTTAGAGATAAATGAATCAGTATTCCCAGTCAATAAATACTCTAATACGGAATCATTATGGTATTGATTACATTTATTAAAAGGGAATCGATTGGGAATCTAGACTCACCTAAACCTGCAGTCAAACAGAGTGCTATTGTTTTACCAAATTAGTTATCTTAACAAAATCAGCAGTATCAGACAATCATACCAATATACTAAGGAGATTTATGAATTATCAATTTATTTATTTCTGAATCTTATATTAGAAAATTGTATGATAAGCACTAAATAAAAAATCTATTTATATAAAATTAATTAGCATAAGATGGGATAGATCTGTAAATTGCCTTCAGTAACTGAGTCAATCTAAGATGAGGATTCAAACGACAAAAGACCTCAATCTTAAGATTAATAACAATAGGAGTAAATTTTGAATAGCAATCAGTTGAATACAGTACCTAATTAATACTCATTATAATTGTCATGTAATTAGGAATTTGGGATTCCTCAATTTGGATAAAAGATGCATTCTCTTCAAGATAGTTGTTTCACACCTGAGTTCTTGGGAATCAGTTAACCATTTTAATAATAAGTGAATATATATTAATAATAATTTTGAACTATCGAATTTTTCCAAAAAAGATGAAGGTAACAAAAATGTTATGAATTAAGGAAAGTAACGTCAATCATCTGTGCATACTGAACAATAGAACAGAAAATCCTACAGAAGATCTGCATCAGCTGTTTAATCCGGAAGGAAGATTTCACATAGTGCTATCACTTTGAGGGATAATCAAATTCAAATCAGTATTATCAACAACATCTCACAGTGTTTAGCAAAAAAAGTACTTTTTCTAATCTAAACCTTAGAAAATTTACGTTGAAATTTATTCTGGTCCCTAATAAAATGATCGAAATCAATCAGATTGTGAAGATGAGATTCTTTATGCTCTAGGTGCTACCATAGTAAAAAAATTAAGTAAACATACTCACTATCTCATTTGGCAATGTAAAATCCTATTAAAAATTTAGATGGTTTATTGAGTACATTGGAGAAAGCAAAGGAATGGAATATCAAGATAGTCAATCCTATGTGGGTCAATGAGTAAATCTTAAAGTTATTTTAGATGCCTTACTAAAAAGAGGGAAGTCGATGCTTCAAATTTCCCAATCATTCAATTAACCCCCCAAGAGGTTCAAGAGTTACTCAAGAAAGATGTATTTTATGTATTTATATAGAGAGTTCATATAAAGAAAGGAAAACAATCAAATCAATAAATCTAAGAAGAGGAAGAAGAAATCAACGAATTTAAAACTAGACACATTTTTAGTTAATTCAAGGATCAATTATAATAAATAGCTAAAAGCACCAATAAATCATATGTGTCAATTTCGCATTATAAACAATCCTCCAAAGATATACATGACAAAGTTAAGTAAGAACTAATACATGAAGAATTGGAAACAGAATAATTAGAAGTGTCATAAAAAATGAACTCTCAAATGTTATCCAAAAAGAGTTCGAAAAATTAAAAATCAAAAACATAATAAATTGAGTCAAAATTCAACTTGGTTTTACATAAATCATGTGATTTTAACATATTGAATTTATTTGAATAAATAAATTTGAAGTAAATTTCAATTATAATAAAGAGATTAGTATCAATTAGTTATGGAAGAAGATATGAAAATCAAGTGCGATATACTTGTTATCAATGAGGATAAACTGGTTTATGATTTGGTTTTTTGTTGTTGTTGTTTAAATAAGTAGACTAAAATTATTTCTTAAAAATGGATTATCAAATAGTAACAGAATCAGAAAAAGGAGATATCTTTTAATCAATATCTTTTGAATTACAATATGTAAAAGAGTACTAATAACATTATTACAATAGAAATATTGTTCCCTTATAACTTTTACGTTTATTTCTCCAAACCAAAGACCTCTTAATAAAAGAATATTAATCAAAATTTAAAGTAAGGTTTAGAATAATTGATCTAAAATTTTGGTGGAAAGGTACAAATATTTAATTAAACTAGATAACTTCAAAAGAATTTTGTGATATAATGGTAGTAATGAAGATCATGTTAAAGTCTACTGCATAAACAATACTCAATTCAAACCCTAATATTAAAATTATTCATGCAGAGTGGTTATACAAGTCGATTTAACAAGGTAGTTTGACTGACTTGAATGAATATATCATCTAATATTGATTTTGCATTTAACATAATTTATTAATATAACCATTAATTTCATAAGAACTAAGCTATTTTTTATTATATCTTTCTTAATTTATATTGCATAAGGAATAAAAAAGTATATCATTCAATTCAGTATTGATTATCTTAGTCTATCCTATGCTTTAAATGAATCAATAAGAAGTTAATATTTATTTATATTTATATTTACAAGCATAAATAGTTAACATTCATTCTACCTAATTTTGTTAAATTTGTGACTCATATTCAAGAAGCATTACATTTAATTCAGTTTTTAAATTCTAAATAAATGGATAAATAAATTCCTGTTAATTCTTAAAATACTTTATTTCAATTTATTGGATAAATTCATAGAGCTCTTAAGTAACTTTCTTGTAGTTAATACAATTAAGTTCATTTTTATACACTTGCTAATCTAAATTCTTTATGGAATTAAAAATTGCTTTGTTGCTATTCACAATTTCAAGTTCTTAGGCCAGTTCTTCAAGTAGAGTTTGATTTTTTTCTATCTATTCTTCAACCATCTTCAATCTCTATTATTCATTAGCTAAGTATTCCTTACAACTATTTAAATTACAATATAAGTACATTTCAAAACGCTCTTATATAGCATCCATTCTATTGTTCCTTTATGTCTTACTTAGACGAGATGAGATTATTTCTTCATTTATTGATTTAAATTCTGATCTCTAAGTTTACTAAGTTTGTGATTTAAGTCCCAAATAACAATTCCGTTAAGCAATGTTGCTTCTTTTGCCAAGTCTTTCTGATAGTGGGATATCATTAAATTAGTTGTAGTTGATATCAGAAAATTTAGTGTTGTTGCTAAATGTTTTAACAATGATTTTTTTGTGATCCTTCACAACAACATTATTTTTATGGAGGATAGAGAAAGAGTGATATTATTTGTTATTTTTCTTGTTGGATGTCATAATTTTATTCTCATTATTAAGTTGATCTTTTTCAAAATACTCCTTTACATGTCTTTCAATTTCTTTCTTAAAATGATAAATTATGCAAATATACATCCAGTAAATTAATAAAAACTTTGTCGTCTGTAAAGGCAGCAATATGTACTTTTTACATTTTAAAATTATATTATGAAGGTATTTAATAATAATCATTTAATTTTAATATAATTGTAAAGTATTATACCAAAATAATATTTCCCAATTAATGAAGTACTCAATATTATTTATAAATGCATTAATAAAAATAAGTCGAAATTTGATAATTTCTATTTTCTAAATGTACTTCTACTCACATCATCAGCTACTTATTTAAGCCTCCAATTATCTCCACTTATTTTTATATATAATTTTAATTCTTAAATAATAAACTCCTTTTTATTGATATAGCAAATAGACGATTATTGAAATAAATCTTTATTGCATATATATAATTTGGATTAAGCCACTTAATTTGGTATATTCAAATTAGTGCAAAAAAAGATTGTTAATTTTCACTTATATTAATTTAAAAAAGACATTATATTTGTTTTAAACCATTCAAAAAATATTTATATTTTTGGTCAATTTTTGAGGCTAAAGATGGTAGATGGTTAATCTTTTTAAAATTGAGACATTAGTTATATCAAGTTGACCTATACTAAGCCAAGATTTAACATTTTGTAAGAAAGAAGCTTTAACTATCACTTCATGTGCTTAAATTTCTCCAAAATTTTATCTTTCTTTATGTATTTTTATAATTAATTCTACTATTTAGAACAACAGTAATTTATTTCTGAAGCTTAATCAATTGTTTGTCGAAATTTCGGTAAATTTAATTGCAATACAGTTTTTATTATTAATTTAATGAAAATAAATTATACTTTTGAGTAAATTTGCACAGATATTTGTATTTATCATGGAGACTCAATCTTAAATCAAGGATCTGAGCAAAGTAATAAATAGAGTAAAAAATAATATAAAATAATGAAAAAATTAAGTTAATAAGTGCTTAGAAATGAAAGAAGGCTAAAACCACATTTTTAGATAGAGATGTATCTAATTATTTGATCCGAAGCTTTCAATAATAATAAAAATTGGATGATCAATGTATAGAGAAGTTGTCATCAGAGTTAATTTTATCAAAGTCTTAGAAAATTTTATCAATTGATTTAATAAAGAAGTATTTAGATGCTAATTTAAGGTGGCATTTGGATTTATCTAATCTAACGGATAGAAGTGTAAAGGATTTGAGTTTAAGTCTTTCTTAATTATCAAGATTGGATCAATTAAATTTAGGACTTTATGGGTAAATTCCATTTTCTAATTTGATAGTTGGGGATATTGGAATGAAAATATTACTGATAGTTCTTTAAATTATTTGACTTAAGCAATCTTATTCTAAGATAAATTGAGTGAATTTAAATTGGATTTGAATATGTGGGCTTATGAGAATTAAAGAATCACCGACAAAGGTGTAGACAGATTGTTACATGGAATAAGTTTACTCAATAATTTAGGCAGTTTAGAACTCAATATGAAAGGTTGGGGAGATGGTAACTATGAGATAACAGATAATACAATAATAGGGTTATCTGAATGTCTAAAAAAACTCAAAAATTTATCAGAGATCAAACTCATTTTGTAATTTCTATTATGAAATAATATAGATGGAAAAATATTGGATTATAAGCAACCAAATAATTAAATAGAACATTGTCCAATTTGAAAAATTTAACCAAAATAGAAATTTAATTTGAGAGGTACTTTTAGACAATATCTATTCATTAGTTGTTCATCATAATAATAGGCTGCATAATATGAAAATGTAGATTAGAGGCTTTTTTAAATTAAAGTGAATGCCATTCAAAAACGAAAATTACTATTCTAAGTGGAAGGGATATTAGTCAATCTTGAATAGTTGATACCAAAATGCACTTTATGGGACATTATTTTAAAATTATGATTATAATTATATTTTATACTTTTAATGGCTGACCAAAACATTCCAATTTATAGAAGAGGAGTTGAAGAGGTAGTAAAAAAGTCTGTAGATGAATATGGAAAATAGAAGTGGGACATTGAACATAAAATCTTTGATAAAGTAAGTTTAGCATAATTAATTAGTAAGAACGTGATGATGAAGAATATGATAAGAATAATCCCAGATACACCAAATCATTATAGGCTCGTACTGATTCTGTGGGAATTGATGAATCCATAGGGAAAAAAAGAAATGTAGTCAAAGAGGGATTGAAGAAAGATCAAAGTGGATTCTATTGTGAATTGTGTGATGAATTAGCTACTGATAGTTTATCATGGTTAGATCATTTGAATTCTATTATGCATAATAGATTGCTTGGAATGAATATGAAAGTTGATAAAGTCACTGCACTTGATGTCAAGGAAAAATTGCAATAAATTAAAGAATCAACTACTAAGAGTTAAGTTTAAGCTCAAGAAAAACCCAAATCAATTGAAGAAATAAGAAGGCAATTAGAAGAATAATTATAGAAGAAGAAAGAAAAGAAGTTAAAGAAATAAACTAACAAATAGTAGAATGCTATTACAAAGAATAATGAATAAGAAATAGATGAAGACGATTTAAAATTAAAGCAATTTTTAAAAAAATGAATACAATCATTATAATATATCTTATTATTCATTCATCATATTTATCAACCTGTAACTTATCCATATTATCTTTTACATGCTCTGCACAAGTATCTAAGTATTATATAATAGGTATTACATAAACAATCTTCAAAATTCTTTAGTTTTCTACCTCTTAACAAATTTTCAAATAATTGACATCTCTTGCCACAAATAACAGCGTAATCAGTCACTGATTTATATTCACTTGGAATATTCATTAAAACTTAATAATAATATTAATATAAAATATAATAATATAATAATAAAGAACAATTATTAATATTAAAACCTAAAACTAATTCATTCGACCTATAGGCGTATGAAAATGAAAAAACAGTCTAAGCAAGAACCATTTCATTTTTTTTTCAGAGATTGAATTAAGTATATTTAAATATAATTGTTTCTATGTCATAACAAAACAGGCTGATCCAATTTATTAAATGATAAATATAGATGTAATATTGAATGATTTCTTTATTTTTGTTTGACGATGTACAATATTCCTTGATTTTCAATAACCGTTTAAGTTTGCAAATATCTCTTAATATGGACTATATATGATTACAATTGAGTAATAAGAATGGTGATGAGTGTAAATTTGTAAAAATTGACATCACAAAACAAGGTACCTAAAATATTTGATCATTTGTTTTCATAATATATGCTAAGTTGCATTTATTATGAATTCATATATAAATTATTTATATTGATTAATTATTTATTTATTTTCTATAAATGATTTATCTAATCTAAATTTTCCTCTTGATGTAATATTATGAATGGGTTTTAACTAATTCTTATTAATTTTATATGAATTTAAATAATGATGCATTAAAGTCTTAGGATCCTACTAAATCTCTCGATGAGGTCAAAGAATCATATTTAAATAATAGTAAGGTTCTGGATCTCCATTACATCGATTATTGTAATGATTCAAATAACTTTGCTTCGTTCTATGCATTAAATCGACTTAGTAATCGTATTGAAAGTAAAGCTTAACTAAATTATAAGATAGGGCCACGTATATGCAAAACTCTAAATCTGTGAGGCTGATGAAAATGTACAAAAACCACAAAATTATAAGAACTGTTTTTTTTTACCTATATTTAATAATTACAGTCTTTTAGCGCCCAACTTGGTGCAATTTTGTAGACTATTAAGTAAAAACTATGATATTTTAGTAATACTGCAGCATTTATAAAGGTTAAAGGATTCCAAAAATAGTAGATTTTTATCTTCCCATAAACCTATATTATTGCATTGAAATAATGATCGTTCTATATCTTTGTTTGAGCAAAGTATTGCAAGAGATTATACTTAGGTGTTCAAAACCACAATAATAGATTCACGACATCGTAAAAGAATCGCAATGGTTTAATTCATAATTATGTTGTTAATCATTATCAATGACATCACAGTAATGATACTAGAAAATAACTTTCCCTTCAATATCAGTTTATTAATGAAATCAATATTTATAATACTTTAAAAGTATCTAATAATCACTATAGAGATAGATAAACATTACGTTCCACAATATTTCATTATGGTTAAATAATTAACAAAGGAAAGGAGATCTATTATTTGATGATATTTTCTTTAATATTTTTTGCTGGATTAGGATCAGCCATATTTAAGAACAAGAATAACCCTTAATTTGAAAGCAGTATATGTTAAATAGATTAGCCTCCCTTCTCATAACCAGAAAAATGCATTGTAATAATTCTATTTGTACTTCAAGCCACAGTTAATTCGCCTGATATCTATGTACCATATTATGGTGAGTCTAGGGCTAATGTAGCATATTTTATCATATTTTAATTCATAAACACAACATTGATCATAAATTTAGTGTTAGCCTTCTTTTATTCTTCTTACAAAGATCTCATGCAAAAAGAAACAAATTAAATTTTATCCAAGTACAATCACAGATTTAGTCTTTAAACATAAAAATTTTTTCGAATGAGAACAGAGTCTGATATCACAAGATTAGCAGACATTTCATAATTTGACAGTGTAATATCCAGATCGATATACAAAATTTTAGATAATAAATTTTATGAAATTTTTATTGAAATCATTTCATTAGTCTCATTTGTGATGATATTTTTCAAAATTACCAACCTTAAATTATATGTACTGTTAATTTGTAATTCAATAATGTTGGCAGAATGCCTCTTACTATTATGTTATGTAGGTAAAAGAAGGATTTGGAAGAAGAAATCCTTAATTGTTGAATTTCTATTTTCCATTTCAATTCTTCTATTAGTTATATTAAACTTACTTGGATATAATTCATTCAGAGCTTTACTCATTTTATTATGCTATAGATTATTGAGAGGATGTAAATGGATTTTAAAGAGTAATAGTTTTACCACTTTAATTATTTCAATAACATCTATCTTTTAGTATATAGTTTAATTATTTGGAACTTTATTTATCCTATTTATGCTATATACAGCCATTGGACAATTACTTTTTGGAGGAAAAGTCCTATATTCTGATGAAGATGAAGTTCATTATGAATTAGCAAACTTTAACGATTTTTTATCTGGGATGTGCACATGTTGGTTTTTATTGATTATTAATAATTGGAATGTAATATCTTATAATTATGCCAAAATATTTAATACTGATTTAGTTTACATATTTTTTATTAGTTTTTATATAGTTGTTGTGTTATTTACTCTTAATGTTACTATGGCATTATTGATTGAATACATAGTTTCAAAGATACACCCTAAGAATTAGACAGACGCGTCATAATCAGAACCTTAGGATGAGTTGGTTTGCAATCATAAAATATAGGAATGAAGGGTTTATTAATTTAGTTTTATTTGTCAAATTAATATTATCTAAATTGAAACAAATTGATATTCATGGTGTTTAGAGGCTTATTTGAGTTCTTTTTGGATTTAAAATTTCTATAATGTATTTATGAAATAAATTCGAAAATTCTAGAAGTTAATTTTGTTATATAATAAATATTAATTTGAAGCTTTAAGCAAATTAGAAAAAAATTAATGATTGGCAATCACTATGATATCCTAGGTGTTAAGAGAGATGCTAAATAACCACAAATAAAGAAAGCATATCATAAATTGGCCTTGAGATGGCATCCTGTATTTTATTTAACTAAATTTAGGATAAAAACAGAGAATAACGAGCATTTGCATTAGATCAATTTCATCGAATAAATGAGGCTTACCACACACTTTCAAAATTAGAGTTGAAAATACTCTATGATCATTAATTGTCTCAATATGAATCGATCGAGTCAATCAAAAATCTGATAAACTTGTTGAAACAGAATGATTCAAATGATTAAAATAATGATTTTGATTATTCCTACGATAATTTTTTATCTGAAGAAGAACAAGAACTTCTACGATAATTTAAATAAAGAATCAACGAACCTGGCATTTAAAAAAAAATCAGAAAATCTCACTGATGACTCTGAATAATTCATATATTTGTTAATGCTCTTTTATACAATTTTGTTATCAATTTTTAAATACAACTTAACTTAATTATATTATATGAGTCATCTTCTTTCTAAAAATAATCAATTCAATATATTAAATAAAAAATTGATAATCTAATAATGGATCCCAACAATATCGTTTGTATAGTAGAAAAATCACAGGAGTTCTAAATTTTTAATCCTTAAAATTCCAATTCTTCCATTATGCCCAATTAAAAAGATTAGGTAATATAATATATGATCTATGATGTAATTAGGAATTAATGAATACAATTTACTTTTTATAATCTGAACTAAACGAGATAAAGGCTAACTATTAGTAACTTTTCAAAGACTTCTAACTATACCGTATTAATAAACTTATATAAAAGACTAAAGGTCTGAAGAATTGCTTTCAAAATAATCCCAATATCTCTTGAAAGATTAGTAGTTGTAAAGCGATTATAAAGATTAAATTAAATCCCTGTAAAACGAAATTGATTAACTTGTTTAAAGAAATAAGGAAACCTTAATAATAAAAAATGAAAATGTCAAATTGTTGGAGAAATTACAGAATTAACAAGAATAAATAGATAAACTTTAAACAGAAAGAGATAATTTATAAGTATAAACGTATACTAATAAAATAGGATTTGAATAAAAATTTATAAGAGATGATAGAATAAAGGAGGAATGCGGATTAGGCAGAGAGCAAAAATTAAGAGTTGAATCAAATAATATAGAATTTAGAAGAGGCTTTGGAAAAAAGTAAGAAAGATTATGGTAGTTTAAAAATACCTATTTAGATTTTCTTTTGTTATAGATGAAAGAAGAGAAGGAATAGGAAATCAAATTTCATTTAGAGAGTAAAATAAAATTAATGAAATAGGTATTGCCAAATAAATCATTGAGAAATTGAATAAAATTAATAACTAACATCAAAATTGGGATTAGCAAAAAATTTTAAGAAAATAATTGGCCTAAGATCTATTTGAAATCTTTAATCAAAATTTAAGGTTGCCACTCAAGACATAAGATTTAACATTTAGGCATGAATTTCAAGATAATAAGATAAATGGTTTTGATGAGATTTAGAAAAAGAAAATTTAATGATAATTATTCATATTATAAAAAAAACCTACATAAACAAAAAAAAAATGAATAAAATCAGGCAAGAGATAACTCCTTTTGAAAAGGAGATAATTCTTTATCAATAAACAAGTAAGGTAAGATTGATATCATCTTAGAGTTTGAAATCAATTAAGGATAGTACTAAGCAATTATATGTTGTTTCCAAATAGTGGCTTCGCTAATGGAAATATTACGTTGACTATATATAAGGGATTGCTCAAAACGAGAAGAGAGAGAAGGTACAATATAAATTAATGAATTAGCCTGGGGCATTGAATTGCGATTTGTATAGTAAAGAGAATTTTCTATTAAAATATCCTATGGATGATTCCTTCAATTAAAAAATTATAAAATTATATCCCGAAGATTTTGTTTTGGTAGGATATTATTAATATTATGTCAGGTTAATAAACTAATGATTGATGTCTGGGGAATTGAGTATGGTGTTGGTATGACTATACCAAGAAATGTATATTTCAATTAATAAGGTGTTCCTTCTTTAAATGTAAACTTATTAAGAGTAACATCAATAATTAAATTAGTAATCTGTATACTTGAATGTATTTCACCCTCAAAGAGGAGTTCTATAGGTAGATGAAGACTGCATCATAAAAAATTGGATATATCTATTGTTTTTGGCAATAAAAAATGAATTTGAAATTAACCTTGAATAGATAAGATTATGGAAACATAAGCATTTTTAAGCTGATTATGCTATTAAATAGTTGCAGAAACATTAGGGATATTTCAATGGAGAAATTTTAAATGAAAATCTTACTGTCGGAACTTATGATGCAGATTTAATAATTATTGACATATAAATAAATGGAAAATGGTAATATGATTAATTGGATAGAAAAGTATTATTCATAAAGATTTTAGATTTCTTGTTCTGAGGATTTTAAACATGTTTACGATAAAGCATCCAAAGGATGTGGTAAATTTATTTGTGATAGGAATTATTGTAAAAGTAATCCTATATTTTCTTAAATTGGATTTGATAAGACATCTCTATAATAATATTTAATTGAATAGTTTAAGTAGGATACCATAGATTGGACAACTGTGTGTTGGAATTAGATTATTGAATTAAAGCCTATTCAATAATTACAGGAAGATATAATTGTTACTTTAAGTGAATTGTCTAATTTTCCAAATAGTTTTGGAGCATCTTTTATTCTAAGCTTTAATAATTGCTATGATGTTATTAATTATAAAAATTCAAATCCAGAATTGAATTTATCAGCCATTTAATAGGTGAATGATGCTTTAGAAACAAAAACTCTAAGATAATGGGTGGACAATTTGGTTTCAAATTACAAATAAAATATTTATTTTGTAAGAGCTATTATTCTCATTATGCATTTTAAATGCTTCTATGATTTATTATATTCAGAAGAGAATAGAATAATAGAAGTATTTCTAATTTTAAGTAAAGAACATAAGGAGCTTCTATCAAATTATCTTATAGTTTTACCTGATGAATATTTTATCAGATATACTTAGACAATTATAGAAGTTTTGGGAATTTTCTTAAATTAGCAATCTATGAAGCACATACCATTACTAAAAAAAACAGAAATCCAATTTGTTCAATCAATGCTTGAACTTTTATAAGTATTTTATAATTCTAATAAAATCCATAAAAGATTAAATCTAACTAGATTTCAAATAGCAGAAATTGCTAAATTGTATCCGAAATATGGCAATTAATTAGAATACATTTAATTAGATAGTTATATCAAATAAGACTTAGAAAGATAGTATTTTACTTTTTGTCAATATCCATGGGTGATACCATTGGAATTCAAAAGTGAAATTCTAGCCATCGATTCTAAAATTAATTAAAAGAGCTAATTTGAAAGTTCTTTAATGTTATATTAACCATTTTTATAATTGATGATTGATCGTAATGATGTTGTAACTAGTGCTTTAGTATCACTATCAAGAAAGGATATTAATTTAAAGGCTTAACTTTAGGTTGTATTTTAAGCAGAACAAGGTATCGATTAAGGTGGGTTAGCAAGAGAATTCTTCTCTTTATTAACATAAAAGCTATTTGATTAAAATTTTGGAATGTTTGTTCCAAAAAATAATAACTCAATATTATGGTTTAATAAACATAATATGGAAATGCCTATTAAATATGAGTTGATTGGCACGATTTTAGGATTGGCTTTGTATAATCAAGGTATAAATTAAATTAATTAGTGTGCTTGGATCTCTAATTTCCAGAAGTCATTTTTAAAAAATTGATGAATGAACCCACTTGCCTTGAAGATTTGAAAGAGTTAGATCTTGAAGTTTATAAAGGACTCAATGCACTTGCTGAATATGAATAAGATAATATAGAGGAGGCCTTTGCTTTGAATTTTACTATTTCTGAGGCTATACGGGATAAAATTGTAAATGTGGAATTGCTTGTATAATTTATTGTATTTATATTTAGCCTAATGGAACTAAAATAACGGTAACCCAATAGAATAAGCATGAATATATAAGATTATGCACTAATTATTATTTAAATGAATCAATTGAAATACCATTTAATTCTTTTAAAAAAGGATTTTGGAGGGTGGTTGAAGGAAATGGAATTAAATTATTTTCAGGCTCAGAATTACAATAATTAATAGTTGGATAAAAACATTTAAATCTTAAGGAATTAGAGAATTCAACGGAGTATGATGGGTTCGATTACAATTCTGAATATATAAAGTAAACTTTATGATTTATGTTTAGATAATTTTGGACATTTTTACAAACATTAAATGAAGAATAATAAAAAAGATTTTTGTTTTTTTGCACTGGGTCAGATAGAATTCCTATAGGTGGTTTAAAATCATTAAAATTTTTAATTTAAAAACATGGAGACAGTATTGTTGATTTATATTACTTAAGATTCTGAATAATTGCCATCAGCTCATACCTGTTTTAATGTATTTTTACTGCCATAGTATGATTCAATAGATAAAATGATAATGAAACTCCAAATAGCATTATAAAATTGTGAAGGATTTGGATTGATGTGATGTTTTCAAGGAATAAAGAAAGAAATATAGATATATAATAATTTTATATTTCAATCTTATTTTTAACTAGAAGCTCTATATTTTTAAGTTGCTATTTAAAAGTCTCGGATAAAATTAATCTTCTTAAATATTTTTTAGGCAATTTTAGAATCTAAAGTATCAAATTTCAATTCTTTGTAGTCATCTAATAAATAAATTACTAAAATACTCTCTTATTTAAAAGTAATGTATAAAAATTGATGAGCAATCCTAATATCTACTATATCTTCTATCAATCTCTATGGGAACTTTGTACCTGAATTTTTATTGTTTAAAATCCTCTCAAACAATCCTAAGATAAATCTTAAATGAGAAGATACCTAAATTTTCCTTTTTGTTCATATTGTAAATTCTGAATTGATCAATTCCTAATATTCTATCTTATCTTTTTCCTCTTTCATTGATTTTAACCACTGTAAACTTTTCATATTTAAATGCTTGGATATGATTTAAGGGAGCGTCGGCGTGGTCGTCGTGCTTTGTAATAGTGTCTCTTCTTTAACTATTAACAAATTATTGTTCAGCCTAATCTGCCCAAGTCTTTTGTTTTATTTAAATTTTTTTATTCTATAATTAAACTACTGGCATTCTTAAATCAAGATCTATAAGAGTGTCATCATCATTTAATTGAATGATATAATTTATTTAATTAATCTATAAGTTAGTTTATAACATTTTACTTAATTATTCTTTTTACTAATCTAAGTGAATATATCTTGAACAATAGAATTTTTCTCTAATTACATTTTTGTAGTAACATTCTTTTCAGGTTTTTAGTCGATAATCAGGACCTCAATAAGGATCATATTTGGATTCATTTTTTCAAAGATTTGTATATCATTGGATTGTGGTTTGTAGTTACTTATTTCAATAAGGGAGAAACATTGGTTTGAGTTGAAAGGATTTCTTTTTTTTTGTCAATGGCACCAAAAGCCATTTCTGCTTTGAATTCAAAGTCATCGTCAACAAATCTAATTTCATATGCATCAACATTGTTAGGGTATCTAAGCAATCTCTACTCGTAATTATTATTATTATAATAATCAGTTATGCTTATTCAAATAACTTATAGGACTGTAGTACTTTTGGTAACATTGATTTGAATGTGTTATTGAGTGTTAAAAAAGTAGATCTTAATAGGTTTTCCTTGGGATTGCAATAGCAAACTGGTTCCTTTAGTATTTTAATGGCTGCTCCCAGCATTGATTTGCGTTCTTTAGCTCCTTCTAATAATTACAAGACTTCTTCAGGAACTTTGTTGTACTCTGTCATATCTACAGTGGTTTAGCTTTTCTAGACATGGATTTGGATTTGAGGATCAACTTATTATTATTATTTACATTTTGGAGGAGTGGATCTCCTTTCAATTGAATCTGAACTGTCGAGACTATCATGTTCGCTACTTACACTTTCTTTAATTTTAGCAGATTGAACATTCTGTTTTAATAATTTAAGCATTTCATCTTCATTTAGATTAGGTTCGAATTCTTCTAATTTTATATCAGGAAGTGTTTCTAGTTCATAGACATGTTTCTCAGGGGGAGTGTATTGATCATAGAAATCCTGGATTAGCTCAGATAAATACATCTTCGATGAGGCCAACTTGAATACTTTTGCTATAAGCTATCAATTTATCGATGTCTTGGCGATTGCTGATTTCCATTAATAATAATATATCCAAGGGAGTATAAATAATTGATGAATAAATGTGGTTTAAACATAGGATTTAGAGATTGAGTTCTGTTGTATGTCTGTGATATAATAGAAAATAATAATGGTATGATCTACAAAAGGGAATGTTTAGTATGGGTATATAATTAAATATCAATAAATATAAATTACTATAGGAGTAATGATTGTCCAATCCTACAACTTTTCGCTTAAATATGATATCATAATGGCTACATCAGGTAAGCTAATTGGAGACTCGACTTCGTTGATTGGATATACTTCCATAGGAAGCATTTTACTATTTCAGAATAATACATCAAATTTCTTAAATGTGAAAAGGGAATTCAAGTCATTGGGTGTGATCAACCAATGTCTTGTGATGGCAAGTGAGAACACCTTAACAGTTCATGATGTTGAGAACAATTTTGATCAATGTTTTATTGAAGTGCAAGATGGGATAAACACTCTGGCAATTGGATAATATTACAATGGCGATTCTCTTTAAGAATTGATATTCGTAGGAGGTAATTGTAGTTTATAAGGATTTAATGTGTAAGGCGAGGAGGTTTATTGGAATGTGGCAAGTGATGAGGTTGCTGCTTTATGTGTTTTCGGTTTTGAGAATGAGAATTATATTGCTATTGGCACAACAGATAATTGTGTTAGACTCTTAAAAGGGGTGGACATCGTATTCTAATTTAATACTCAATCTTTACCTATTTCTTTTGCTGGAATCATCTATTTCGATTAAACTTATCTTCTGACTGGAATGGAAAATGGATCCATAAAATTACATAGGTAACAATTGGAATTGTGGCACAACACTGAAGATTAAGAAAAGATATTCAAACTAATTTGCAATGATGAAAATCATTTCATAGTGGGCAGAAGAAATGGATAGATAGAATTAAGGTCTTTAATGAGTGGTTAATTGATTTAAAAGTTAAATTTGGATGAACAATTGTGTGGATTGCTCTATTCTGATCTAAGAGGCGTTGGAGTTAATCAAATCATTGCAATATCCAAATAAGGGAATGTGAGAGGATACACCGTCGTGGACAAGGATGCAGACAATGTTAATCTATCTTAAAGTAGAATTCTCGCTGAATTAACCTAAAAGAAATAAGAATTGCTCCAATAAATGTAATTAGATAAAATGCCTGTTGGGTTAGATCTAAGATGTGGATTTTAGAAAAATTAGACTAATTAATGTTTAAATTTAGTATTCATCTTATCAGAACCTGGATATTATATCACTTAGGCTATCATATTTCATGACACATATTATAAGGAAGGATACATTGTTAATAATCCTCAACCTTCCAATAAATTATTCGCACCTCTGAAATAATTGGTTGATAATTAGAAGGTTATTTTAAACTGTAAAGTGTTTGTTTCATCAAATCCTCATGGAAATTACTTTTTGATTTTGGAAACATCTCCCACGTTTTCTAAATTTGCTAATTTCTAATATGTTGAACAAGATCTTAAGATATCATCATTTGTTGAAGCCAAAATTAATGAAAGAGTTCCCAGATATGTTAAATGGATAGACTAGTGTTTCAATATCAATGAGGAAGTCAAGAAAAAATTTGAATCTACAAATGAGTTCATATTCAACACTATTAATATTATTAATCAATAAAAATTACAGATTCACGTAAATTTAGATTATCAATATAATAGTTTGATTCTAAAGAAGGAAAGGTAACTATCCGTTGTGACTCCATAGCTACATGTGGTGACATCATACAAGATCTTTGTGACTTCATACAAATCCAAGATTTAATGACTGTCGGGTAGTTCCCTGTTGAAATGCAGGAGTTCAAAAAGGTACTTGAGGCTGTCCAATAACATAAATCTTCAAAATTATAAATTTCAGGTGATGTTGCTGAAGCCATGAATCTTGTTAAATCTTATATTGTTAAAGCTGAGGATTCTAGAATGATTGGTGATATTAAAACTATGCAAAAAATGTATGCAAATGTGATGGTTCAAAATAAAGCCATTTAGAGTGAACTCTATAAAAAGAAATAAAACAATGATGTCTTGATGAACAACTTAAAAGAAGTTAATGCCATGATCAGCAATGCCAGTTAATTGAGAGTTGGAAATGCTAAAATAGCCATCACCAATATGTGTAGAAATGCTGTTAAAAAGAATAATCTATTGACACTTATTGAAGTTATTTAACAGGGAAGAGAAATTTGATTTGTCATATTTTATATCATATTATGAAAACCTTTAAGCTGTTAGACTATAAAATCAAATATCATTTATAAATAATTATTTACTCATTCACTAACCATCTAAAATTTCCTCTATAACTTTTCTCTTCTCACACATCTATATATTACAAATAATTGCGAAATAAAAGTAATCATTATTAAAATTAATGTAACTCTGAAAAAATGAGAAATTTCTTCCCTATTCTACTTAATAATCCAGAATTCATCAATGCTTTAATTATTCTTAGATAGTTTGTGCTAGTACAAGAGATGAGTTTCATTCTGAATTTTCAATTCTCCAAAACCTATCTCTTGAGATTGAAATGCAATTTCCGATGAATTCAAGTAGACATTATCCCAATTCATATCATTCCCACTTATTCCTTCAATCACTTGAATAAATGAGTTGAGATTGCTTTGCATATACCTTTAATAAATATTGGCATAAGAGGACAATACTAGATCAACTTAATACTTGTTGAATAGGGTGATTAACTCTTGTAATTTGTTAGTGAATAACTGACATTAAGAAATTCCAAAACATTGCAAGGGATAATGAGTAAATACTATAATCCAAGGTTTTTGATTTCTTCTTAAGTCTTCATCAATTAGATCCAGGATTTTCTGTCCCTAAATATCTAGAACTATTTATTAGAAGGGATTGAACTAAATGAAATGAGCAAACCCAACATCAAAACTATAAAATTCAAGTAAATCAAGTTTGTAATCTGAAATAATAGGCATTTTAAACTATTACTTTATAAAAACAAACTTTTTTGATTGTCCTGCATCATAATTCCCTGGAGCTATCATAAAAGGGTAATGTGAGGTAAATGTCGAAATGTTCTTTAGAAAATAATCACCCTGTAAACAATTCTCATCCTCTAAATTAAAACCCATACTTCCTAAGTAAATAATTCCATCTAATTATTCATAAATTTTCGCAGAATTTTCTAGGAAGTCGAATGTATGTTAAGAATTGTTTAGTTTCCACTGTGAATCCATGTTACCTAGCACAAGGAATCTACTTGGATTCCATAACCCTGCATACTATATCATAAATGGACCATATATAGATTTGCCTTCTTGGACATAATAATTGCTTTGATTATTTTATCGTAAGTATTTGGTCCCAATTTAGAAGGTGTGAGAGAAGGAATGATAAGTATTGCAAAATGACATCCCAGTTGTTTAGATAACATTAGTTTCATATTCGTAAAATGTATAATTATCCAAAAGAACTATGAATGCAGATTTACAAGGACCCTATTTTTCTAAGTAGTATGTCCTACCTCGGAATTGAATGTTATTCTAATGACGTCTGATTAGTAATTTAAAATTGAATAATAATGTCCCAAAGACTATCGGAAACCATAAGGATTGCAGATTCTTCCTTCAATTTCTTAGAATTATATAAGAATATTTAATAAAATAATCATTACATAAAAATTCAACTGACCACCATAGTTATTGTTTCATCCAATAGTTTCTTTTTGCTTTTCTTTCCTTAATTTGACTTATAATAGATAGAAACGCCAGTAATGACCAGCAAAACAGAGAAAATTACCCACATAGCAATCTCAAAACCATCATGATTTGATATCTTAGTAGTATCAATAGAACGATCTAACCATATTGCATCTATAACTTTGTTATCTGCAACAGTTATATGTTCATAATATAAATGTGTTGAGTTCTTAACTGTAATTATTCCTACTCCATGATTCGGATTCTGAATCTCCATAAATGCTGCCTCTGGAAAAGTTTCGTTTTATTTCCCAAAATCTGTACCTGCAACTCCTTCAATTATCGATACGGGATATTAATATTCTGAGATGATATTACCTTGTTATTTGTACATTGCAATATTATTCTTATAATATGGTTTGTTTCTTTAATAGGTATGTACATGTCCACTCAAATACATATCCACCTTGTACTTTACAAACAAATCTTCAAATTCTGATAAATATTTAAAATTGTTTAAGCATTGATCGCTTTGGGGATTCGAACAATATATTGGATAATGAGTGTACACGATGATCCAAGGCACTTTGTCTCGATTATAATTTGCGTGAATTAAATCATTTCTCATTTGTTCTACTATAAGAGGAGTGACGTTATCAATATCATTTTGATAAACTACTTTTATTGGATTATATTATATAAAATGCACCATTCCTACATCAAAACTAAAGAAATCATTAAGATAACTTTAGGTGTTATATTCAGTTAAAAATAAAGCGCCAAAATTAGCTCTGAAGAAATCATAAAAAGTATTCTTTCCTGTATCGTGATTTCCTGGAGCTGCCATAAAGGGATATCTATTGGTAAATACCGAAAGATTTCTTAACCAATTGTCTCCCTGTTAACAATTATTTGTTTCTAAATCATATGCCATATCTCCTGTAAATATGATTGAATCGTATCGCTTATCCGAGTTTACCTAATTTTCTAACCAATTAAATGTGTCTTTAGAATAATTTTAAACCCAATTAGAGTCCATATCTCCAAACACTAGTAATTTTTATTCGTTTTATGCCAAAGGAATATCAAATTTATATGGACCAGATAATATTGAATTTTATTTGGAAACAATAGTGTAATTATAAGAAGTTGATACTTTGATGTCTATGTTATTTAAGCCTACCTTAAATGTGTGAATAAATGTTTCATATTTATAATGAGTAGTCTCATTCTTTTCATATATTTATGTCATGTTTAATAATTGAGTATCATAATATGTGATTTAGGATGTCATTACTTGATTTCCTGTTTTGTTATCCATCAACTCAAGAACAAACTAACCTTTGCATTCTTTCTAGAAATTATCAAAATATGTATTATACTTCAGTATTGAAAACTATTCGAATGACATCCTAAGTATTTCTCAAATAACTAAAGTAATGCCCTAAAAATAATCTAATTCCATAGGGCTAACATCCTTGTGATTGGGTCCCTCCCAAAAGAAGGGTGAGAACAATAAATATCATTTTAAATATTGATTTTGGTAAGATGAAAAAATATTAAAAGTCATTATTCTTAATAAAATGACTTTTATAGTATTATATAGATTTTGGTTATATCTGATATCATAAACTAAAATTTAATGTCATATTTTTGAATATATTTTCGATACTCAAAATCATCTATTAAGTGATAGATAATTTAGGGTATACTGATTTTGATTTATATAAAAGTATCCCAGTTTGAGAATTGTGTAAAACAACCTGTAAATAGTAATTGATTTAAAAATGTGAAAATAAACGATTAGAATCATTCTTGAGATTGGTGAAAATTTAATTGTTCTTTTATTTCATCCTTAAAATCCATAGTTTGTTCAACTCCAGCCACACCCATCATTTAACAGAACTCTTCAAAGCTAATTTTGTTATCATGATTAGGATCGATTTCATAAATCATTTCTTCTATTTTCTCATCTGATAATTATCGTCCATGTCTGGCTAATGCTTCTTTGATATCTTCTTTCATAATAAAATTGGCATCTTAAGTATCAAAATATTTGAATACAGACCACAACTAGCATATAAAAATAAAGAGTACTTTTTCTCTGGTTAGAACTCTTCTTTCATCAATGCATGCAGCCAGAAAATCACTATATTTGATTACAAGTTGTTTGCTTGATTTGGTTGTAGACGCACAATCATTATCCTCTTTGTCCTCTTCCAAAACTTCAAATCCAACTAGTTGGATCAATTATTCTATCTCTTCATGACTTATATGTGATCCCTAAATTTAATGTTTGTTTATACTTCCTCCATTAATGCTTCTTTCAATTCTTACACAGTGATAGTTCCTGAATTATCAACATCTATTTTCTAAAATACTTTTTTTAATCTCCCCAATTCTTTTTCATTCATTTGATTTACTAACACTTTCATTACCTCCTTCTTAAATTTAGCACCAATTCTGTATGTTTTCAACATTTAATATATTGATCTCTGATCCTCAAATTAAGGGGATTTCATTGATATTATAGTAGTCCTGCCTCTTTACAATTTAACTGGATGTTAAAATTTTCTACGAAACCAAAGATGACGTAGACAATCCTTAGCACTTGGTCGAATATTCGGATTTTTATTCAACATCTTTTTAATCAAATCTTTAGCCTCATCACTAACATTATTCCAATGTCTCCTATCGAAAATCAACTACTTTTAGATGTTGAGATTATACATTTTGATACTAGATATTTTCATAAAGATCGGCTCTATTCTTGCCATAAAATGGTGGATACCCGCATAATAGATGAAAGAGTAAAATGCCTAGACTCCAAACATCGCACTTTTCATTATATTTTCCCTCGATAACCTCGGGTGCCAAATACAAAGGAGTACCTACAGCTGCCTTCAATTATCTAAGTCATTTAATTTCTGAATACTTAAGATTGCTTGAATCGAATTTTATAGCTAATCCAAAATCGATTAATTTTGGCTCAGCATTTGGATCTTTCGTTGAAAATAAAATATTTTCAGGTTTAATATCCCTATGTATAATGCCCTATTCATGAATATACATAATCGCCGAGCAGATCTCACTTAGTATTCAATAATTACTTTAAATATTATGTTCTGCACTTGACCTTCACTAAGATTTTTTTGACTTTTTTGTATCCGCTCCACCAGTTCTCCTCCTTCGCAGTAATCCATTATGATGTAGAAGTAGAGTTCATTTTGATATACCTCATAAAATTTAATTATATTAGGATGATCTAACTTCTAAAGCACGTAGATCTCATTTGCCAGCATTGCTTCTCTTCCTCTTACTTTCCTCTTATCGATCATTTTAATTGCATATTGCTTGGAATTGTTGTTTCTCATTTTGGCAACCAATACCTTACCAAAAGCACCAATCCCTAATACTTTACCAAACGAATAAAGCTTATGAATATCCGCAGTAGAAGTGAATACGAGATCTTTATTAGTGGTTTGCATAGCCACTATCCTATTAAGTTTTTTAGGTTATAAACAACCCATAACTTTAATTTTATATATTAAATATCAATATACATTATGATTTCAGTATTAAATCTTTGTGGAAATTAATAATTAATTTTCTCTTCTACAAGGGCATAGTTGTCATGTAGTAACTTAGTTCTGACGAAATCTCAAAGATTAGTAATGTTCCAATTACTATTTTATTATTTTTAACTTTTCAAAATAAAACTTAATAAATTCTAATATTCTTATAATAATAAAATCACGAACATAGATAATATAATTAAACTGATACAAGTCTGTAAACAATTTCTATTACGAGAAATGGTGAATAATCAATATTTCTTTCAAGCTGATAATTTAACATTTAATTAATTTATTTCTGTGGTTACTTATGCTTTGTTGTTTCCTTTTTACATTTAAACTACCATCATACTCTAAATTCTAAAACAAACTAAATTCTTAGTATCTAATTTAGATTATTCTAATCATCATTTAAGTTAAGGGTGCTAATAAATTGATATTTGTATTCCATTATAATACAAACTATATATCTTAGTAGAAGTTTATTTGTTGAAACAGAGCTTTATCAATAAATAAATAAATTTATGCATCTATCTATGATACTGTTTTTGATATTCAGATTGGTTTGACTCTACTAGAAAGAGAAAAAATCTGTTTACTATTTTAATAAGATTATAAATAGCTATTATAGGTTAATCTAAAAAAGGAGAATCATTATAAAAGGCAAGTTTTTTGGATAATCAATTATAAGTAATTGGTTACTTCACTTTATAATAACTCTAATTCATGTAAGATGAGAGTATAATCAATTTGATTGACTGATATTTTTTAGTGTGTGAGATGTAAATGGCTTAAACTGAGAGTAAAATAAATGTAAATATTATAATCATTTATAAAATAATTAAATTAATTTTCTTTGTTATCTATTTTTAACAATAGGATTGTTTTTCTGTAAGTATATGCTACTAATTATATCTGCTTGGGATCCAATTTTGCTTTGTCCCAAAGTTTTGATTGATTACAGATTTGATTAACTTGTTTGCATACTCAGTTTTTTTGAATTGTTATTTACACTGTGGAGTGTATGAAATTTAATGGACGAATGAGATTTCGATTGCGTCTTCTTCATTTGTTATTGTTGTGGCAATTATTGTGGTATTTATTAACGAAGATCCCCATTAAGAATGGATTTAAGTTTCCTACTTAATTATTCACTCTATTTAATCAAGGGCTTTTGAAATAATTTAGATGTCGACAAACTCGATTATTGAGTATATGATTTTATTTATTTAGGCATTTTAGTTTGTTAAGGTTACAATTTATTGAGGAGAGAAATCAAAGATTGTTATTCTTCTTCTTGTTTACTCATTGTTAATTGCAATAATTGTGTAAATTGAATATCAACATTATTGCGATTTTAGGGTAACAATATTTTTAATTTATATTTGATTTACGTGTAATGGTATTCTCTAAATAGTGAAAATGATACTTTCGTAATTTATTGTAATTTTTGATCAATTTAAATAATGGAAGCATAAACAGATTAGGCGTGTCCAATCTATATTTGTAATATTCTGTTAAATCAATTAATTTAGAGATGATCTCATGACAATCATAGTATTTCTTGAGAAACTCTTGGTCCTGTATTTCTTGTGATTTCTCATAGAAATCTATGACCCATTTCTTATGGGAATGTTTGATGAGATCATCAATAGTCATTTCATCTTGAGGATTGTACTTCAAGTAAAGTGCCTTGATAGAATGGATTGATACTGTTTATAAAAGAGTTGGGTAATGAATGGCTCCTTCTAATCTTTATTTTTCGCAAAACAAACAATTATTATTTTACATTAATTTATTAAATATTATTAAATGAGACCCATCCCATGGTTTGTTAGATTAGGCATTGATGTCACAATTTTCACAGTCCCCATATTGATGTTGGCAAGTACGATGATTTCTTAGATTGTCTAGGTTATCCAAGATTGGGCACACATTTCCTCAACAATAGAAGAAGAAAATACAGAAGAAGAAGTAAATAAACCTTTTGAATTTACATATAGATTTTGATGAAATCTAATACAGAAACGATAGCACATTGTCAAGTGAAGAAGTGATAAACTTTAGAAAGACACTCGGATTTCAGGACCTTATTTGATTTTGATCAAACATATTAATAAATAAATAACAATCACAATTATTCCTCTTCATCAATACCACCATAATTCTCGATCAATTAAAACAAATCATATTTCAATTGCTAATCGTCCTCAAAGGATTATTTTTCATATTACAAAAATCCCATTTTCTTAATACTATTTAATTCTTTGTATAATTTTAGAATCGTAAACTTATAACTCTCATTACTAAAAATGCAGCTATGAAATGGTAACACATCAACATAATCATATATCAAAGGCACTTAATAAATATAATCCAAAATTCTGATGTCTACTCCATAAGATTTTAGATTTCTTTCATTTGGAAATGGTGAAATACCTCTTAAAAAGTATGACTCTCCAAATGACTCCCTCTCTGAATTCAAATTTATAATTTCTTATGAAAAGTAAAACCTATCAAAACTCTTGGCTTGTTTGTAATTCAATATGTTATCCTCTGGCTTGTCTTAAAGTGAGGGAATTGAAGCCAAAACATTGAAGATATTATTTTAAGGAACAGGGGTGATTCTTTTACAGAACTCATGCATGTTCACATATTCTTGAGTGCATTTGTAAGCTGAGAGTATGTTATTGATGATGAACGAGTACTATTAATTAAGTTCTAATTGATTCGAATGAATTTGCATTTCTTTCATTTCTAGAGGAATCAATAAGGTGGAATTTTCCCTATATTGTGTCAAAGTTAATGATCTTAATTTAATAAATTTGTGTACCTGTTAATAATTCTATTTTTTGTATTATTGTAGGAATCGACAATAGAAAATACTAATTTAGGAGTTTTGCTATTTCCTTGTAGATCGTTCAAGGAATCAACTATCTTCAATCCGATCTCCCCATAACATGTTTCACAATCGACGATTAATTCAAAACCATCACATTAGTCTGCTTTTTCTAATTAAGTTTAAATGTTGTCTTAAAATGATTCCACTTAAGCAGAATCCAAATTGGTAGTGAATAGGTCATTTTCATTTTCAAAATTCTTCTTATAGTTGAATATCTGCTTTGAGTCTATTTTCATTTGATGTAAATATTTTTAAGTTAATTTTATAATCTATGGTTCATCTTCATCGTATTGATTTAATATAGGGACCTCCTAAGTTTCTTGCTTTAATGAATTCATATTGATTCTATTTAAGGATTTAGATAGGTCTAAATCATTGCCGAAGTATAATGCATGAGGTCTATTGTTATGATCAAATTGATGTAAAATAGGGTCTTCTTCCTAGAATTTATTTTATAACTAACTCAATCACACTAATAAATACATCAAGATATTAGGAAGTGACTCCCAAATTGACAGCTCGATTGCCTAGAAATAATGATAATATCATAACTTTGTTTATTTTTTTATTTAATCAAAATCGTCTTGTGATCTATCTAATCTCCTGAATTATTTGACTCCCAAAATCGAATACACTATTCTTCTTACAGCTTCACCTCCAAACGATCTCTTATTCTACTCACATTAATTCATATAATATTCATCCAAGAATTCTGGTGGCATAATAGTTCCCTTCCTAATCTGATTCTAGATAAATGATTCATCACTTTCAATCATAGTTTTCAATAAGGCCCCACAAATAATTTAATTATTGAAGATGTTTCCCATAGTAGGTATGGGTGATTTGATTTCACTTCCAACTGGAAAACGAGGTAACCAATCAACTTACACTTGGATATGACACTATTAGAAATTAAAGATTTCATGTTTCTTAAGACTAAAGATCAATGTTTGTCCTAATCTATCTCTTTCTTATTCCAATTTAGATAAATTCACACCTATGTTACTTGCCTTTATTAGTCTATCAGCATCAACAAATGGCAATACTACTTCTCCAAGCCATGCAAATTTCTTGCCCTTCAAATCAACCACAAAATCAGTTGGATAGAAATCAGCTATAGGTGATGAAGTCTCCAACATCAATTATTAATAAGGTCTGGGTAGAAATTAGGCTGATTGAGGAGGTAACACTGCTAATAATTATTAATATGGTTTAAAAGGAGTATTGAGTGAAAATTCAAACATGCATTAATCCAAATTGGTCAGGTCTTAAGCAAATGGTGCATAATGATAAGGATAGAACCATCCCCAATCTACACATCCTTAATAATAATATTTTAATGTCCATGCCAATGCTTCCAAATATGATATCTTTATTCTATGTTGAAATTCACTGAATTAAGCAGGTTTTATTCCAAATTTCTCTTAGTAATATCTTTACTTGTAACTAACAGCTTTCCATTTTTTCAATTCTTAGGATGATTTTGCTGATTATGCTTAATCAATTTCTTATTGATTAATTTCTGTCAATTTCTCCTTCAATGCAGATTTAAACTTCGATAAAATCTCTTTCTATGTATCTACAATACTGAACTCAGGAGCCATCAAAACCTTTTATTCTCTCATTTCTGCATTTCTTTCTCTTCTATTCTTAACTATTTCCTTCTTTTTCTCCTAACCCTTGATGAGTTCATCTTCAATTAATCCAACATGAAATAGAAATTAATTCGTCTATTACAAATTCAATTCTCCACAATTTGTTAAGTAATCTCCTATTTATGACAGAATTGTTTTATATATAATCAGTAGACAATCAATACCTCCTTCAGTTATCTTCAAACAAGGAATATGAGGTAGAAAATCATTTCCGACTAAAAAACACATAAATACAAAATCATCAATGATTCTTTCTAAATCATATTAGCCTTTCAATGAAGCTTGTAAATCTCTAGTCTCAAAATATAAAAATTCCCTAACTATGTTAAGTTGCAATATTTAGAAATCAACTTAAATTAATTTAATCTTTTGTTGTTATTGAATCTAATTATATTGCTTAATTTCCCCATTCAAATCATCGATCACCTTCTCTCTTTTTTTACAATCAGTAAAGAAATGACCTTTTTATTAACAAATGGAGCATTGTTTATCATCATTGGCCATTATTGTTTCTCTTATCACATAAAAATATGGCTCATGTGTACTCAAACCCAACATTATTAAATCAGCATCTGCTCCATACAAACAATGTCTAACTGTTTTATAATTCATTTGTTTTCTTTGATCTCTCACAAATTAAAGGATTTTGTGTTCTCCTTCTCCTGGAATGCTTGAATCATTAAATATGATAAGAATGTTCCTAAATAGAGGATTCTAATATAATGTGAAATTTATTGTTACATTGTTCATTCTATCGTAAATGTAATACTGCAAGGCAATGTTTAACTTTTGCATGAATTCAGTTCCTGGAGTGATTTAGTTGCTGTCGAAGTTTTTCTCAATATAAGTATTCAAAGCATCCGAATTCAAGCCTTGAGTTCTCCAGTAATCTCGTAAGCGTTCCTTTTCCTTTTGAATTCTTATGGATTCTTATGCTGCTCTAAATCTACGACCTATAGATTTATTGTAATTTTTAAACTTCTCTGCTAATTCAATTTGGCTCTTGGTGCTACACCGTCAATGGCCATGTATATCAATTCCTTTGGACGAACAATATCAACTAAACGATCTATGTAGTGAAATACATTCACAAACATGTCATCATATGTGACTGGGATTGGAATGCCTCCTTAATCAGGATGAGAGCAGGGATGGATGATACCATTCATATCAAGGTACAGATTATCAATATCTGGGTTGCTTGATAAGCAGGATTCATCGGAATTTTCCAAGACTTCTAAAAGAGCCTTTGGATTTCTGGCACATAGCCATCTAAAGAATGCGGGGACTCCCATTTTAATTAATTAAATTTCCAACACAAATATAATCTAAGATAGATGGCTGCCTAAGTAGAATCGTTAAAAATGCTTATAAGTCTTGGAACAGCAGGTATATTCGGCATAGTCTTGGTTAAAAATTGCTTTTTCACTGTCGAGCCTGGACATTGTGCTATCAAATTCAGCAAGTTTTTTGGACTCCAAGAAGAAAAGTACAAGGAAGGATGGCATTTCAGAATTCCCTACTTTGAGACCCCCATTGATTATAATATCTAGACGAGACCCAGATAAATCAAGGCCAATACAGCCAATAGAGGTATCTCCTTTTCAAATTATTCTAAAAGATATGCAAAATGTTCTATTGACTCTCAGAGTACTCCATAGACCTTACAGTGATGATCTTCCAACCATATACAGAACTTTGGGAATTGATTATGATGAAAAAGTCTTGCCATCCATTGTTAATGAAACAATGAGATCTGTTGTGGCCTAATACACTGCCTCATAATTGATGAGTCAAAGAGATTAGGTTTCATTCAGAATCAGACAAGCCCTAGACTAAAGAGCAGCCTAATTCAAAATTGCAATAGACGATGTATCAATCACAGAACTCACTTTTGGAAAAGAATACTTGGATGCAATTGAAGCTAAATAAGTTGCTCAACAGGAAGCTGAAAGAGCAAAGTTTGTTGTTGAATAAGCAAGAGAAGCCAAGAAAAGTATTGTTATTAAGGCCTTGGGAGAAGCCAAATCTATTGAATTAGTAGGAAAATCTGCCTTAACTAATCCAGGTATTTTGTGTATTTAATGATCTTTTAGCCTTCTTGGATGTCAGAAGAATAGAATATGCAAGAGAAATATCTGCCATTCTAGCTGAATCTAGAAATCACATCATGTTGCCATCAGATATTCTTAAAATGGATGCTACTGCACATAAATGAGTTTTTGATTAAGTTATTTAAAATTTAATTGTTAAATATCATAAATTCTTTTAAACTACATCCTTTCATTTTCCATGTAACCATTCCTTTCTCTTCTATATCTATTCTTCTCCATGAAGGATTGCCCTTAATTTTTGCTTTTCAAATTAGTTTTCCTCCACCAGATAAGCTTTCAAAGCATCATCAGCTTCCTTTGTCCATAACAAATTTTCTTAATGATTTAGATAAACATCCAAAAGTGTATTCAAATCTCCTGAACATTAAAACATTCTTTGGCATAATTCTTAATATGAAATTTTTAATGTTTCAGACAGTGTTTTCAGTGTAAATTTCAGCTCCTCATGTTCATGTTTCTACTCTGAGTCTAGAACTACCGATTCTTACTTAAAGGCATTCATTTTTTTGTTTGAAACATCATATTTTGAACTAGATTATAAATATCATTTTACTTTGCAGACAATTAAAATTTGTTATTAGGTTTTACCTTCTTTTAGGATTCTGGTTCTATTAATTATTGTTATTGTTATGGCTATTATTATTATGACTATTAATGTGAGGGATTTTTCTATTCGTTTATCACAGGTGCATGTGAGGTTTGCTTTGTTAATTATTTGATTGGGGTTTGAATTGGAGTCTTTATCGGAGTTTCCTTTTGCTTTAAAGGCTCTATATCTAATAATTTCTATGTTCCATCCTCAAGAACAAAAATTAGGTATCCATAGGCACCATAATGTTGTAAATAGGAAAATATTACTTATAAATCCTCTTGATTTATATTTTTCAAATACTCTTGATATCTAAGCTTATTTGATTAATTACCTTCTCCTTAAGACGGCTTTAGATCTTTTAAGTAGAGCTGCTATTCTATCAAAATGTTATGGTTCAATCTAGGTGACTTTAGATAGTTCTAAGATTAACTTCAAATCCTCATATAGAGTGAATCTATCGCTATCTTGCTTGGGATATGACTTTTGGTTCTCAACTTCATATTTGGAAATTGCTTTTTAGAACACTTCGAAGAAAGTTTGCCCAGAATCATCAGATATATGTTCGGCGTGTCTTTTAATTTTCATTTTTAATAATTTGGAGGTTTATTATAAATATCAAACTTATTCGCTTAGTACCAATTATACTTCCATTCTACCTTTATATTGCTTTGCTGAATAAGAATACACTCTCATAAATTAAGTTGTAGTTTAAAGAATGATACAAATAAGATCATTATTATTATAAAATCCAACCTTCTGGCATTATTTAGAAATTTTCATCCTCTATGGAGCCCACTAATTTTCCTTCTAACCAAGAACCTATCTTTTTCTTACCATCTTTCCCTATCATTAATCCTTTCCCATGCTGTCTTCCATTAAACCATTGACCTTAGAACTATTTTCCATCGGGCCAATAGAATATGCCGAAACCACATTTTTTATCATTTTAGTACTCTCCATCATAACACTTTCCATCTTTCCATACATATTTCCCTCGACCGTGCATTTAATTTTTAATCCAACTCCCAGAATAAGACTGCAATATTTACTATACCATACCCTTCCATCAGGCCATTCATATTTTCCTACACCATGTATCATATTATCCTTCCAATCTCCATTATAAACACATCCTTAATGCCATTTATAACAACCTTTTCCATGTTTTCTGCCTCCTTTAAATTCTCCTTCATATATTGATCCATCTGGCCAGGTTTCTACCCCATAACCGTCTGGTTTATTTGACTTAAACTACCCTTCGTAAATTGGACCTTTCAAGTAATTAAAAGTTCCATTTCCTTCCATCATATTCTCTACAAAATCACCTTAATAAAAGTCTCCATTTTCTAACCATAACTTTCCAAACCCATTTGCTTTTCCATCTACTATACTTCCCAAATATCGAGATTAATCATCGAAAATTATTTATTATTCTTTCTGTTCCTCTACGTAGTCCTCTTCCTTCACCTTTGAGATAATCTTTTAAAACTGCAGTATATCAGCTTCCATCGTTTTACATTAATAAGTAGAAGGAGGACTTTCTCGACTATAATAATATAATACTAGCATCAAACTCTTAACTGTCGTCTAGGTCTTCTTCTGCAAATTAATCTTTCAGCTCAATACCGTTTTAGCCAGGAGTAACTTCATCTTTATGCTAGCAAGATGCACAACTCTAGCCCATCTTTTATATTAATTTATATTTATTGGTTAAACCTAGAGCAGAATAATTAATTTCATAATTATTTAGGGTAATTATACTGTTAGTGAACACTACAACTTTCATTATACCTTAGTTCATTTTCCTACTAAAAAATAATATACTACAATTTAACATAACATACTTATTTAAATTCAGATTATTATTATATAAATTTAGACTAATTAGTATTGTAATTATAATTCGGTTCCACAATTGACTATTACTCTTAGATTCACCGTTTAATTGATATTTCAAATTTATTTCAACTTTCTTCTGTGCGAGCTTTACGTTCTTCAGAGCTAGACTAAATAATTATCTCTATCAACTTCCCCTCAATCTATTTACTTCATTGTTAATAATGAATTTATAAAATGATTAGCAAAAGATTTTCTTAAAAAATATAAAAAAGAAAATATATTTACAGAAATTTTATAATTAGCACTATTAACTTAGTTGATTAAAATCATTTCAAGAATATAAATAATCGAAATAATTGTAATCAATATGTAAAATCTTCAATAACCATTTTTATATGCAGCTTGTGTACTTGATAATGAAAATAGAAATTATTTATTCTACTCTTTTTAATGTTTATAAATCAATATCACTCACATAGTATGATTTAAATAATTTAAGTTGCAAATTAAAAAATTATTTAGATTAGTAAGAGATATTATAAAAATATTCCTTAGGATTACCATAAATATCCAAAGGAAATTACAATTCTAATAACTTATAATTCAAATGATTAAATCAAAAAATTGTTCAATTTAATTATCTAATAACACATCTTACAGTTAAATACTAAATTTAAATATATAAATATCAAAATTATCATTCTTACTATTATAATTATTAAGATTTTAGCTATTACTATTGCGATTGTTGAGAAGTCATTTTTTTGTAATGAATGTAAGTACGAAAAATTCCATATAGATCATCATATGAAGGAGTGTCAAACATTTCTGGCTGCATCATATTCAAAGCAAGGTCAACTACTTTCTTAGTTTTTATAAATAGTAAGTTTACTTATTTTTAATCTTTTTCTCTGACATAGCCTTAAATAAATTGTTGGCATTTCCTTTTTTTCTAACATAAAAAATCTTCCATTGCTTTTTATAGTGCTGAGCTCTTGATATGACAATTAATTACCTATCGATGATATATGTTCGCTTTTTTGGATTGGTGAAGTGTGCTCCCAAAGTATGAAGTATTTCTTAGGCATATTTATTTAGAATTCTCCATAATCTATCCTTATATGCTTTTTCTTTTTATTTTAGATTTCTAAACACTCTTTTTACATAATTTACTAAAACATAATGATTGCATACCTTTATATGTTAGTTCCTGATGTTTTTATATGAAATGGCAATATTAATGAGTTAAAGTCAAAAAGTATCTTAGCACTTTAGACACATCAGTCTTAATTCTCTTTTTGTTGTGAGATGCAAACATACACATAGTCATACATAATTTAAATAAGTTCCTCTAATCAACATTTTGCCCACTCTCTTTTATTTTGATCATCGTTGTAGTTCTATATTTCCATACGATTAGTCTTCCCTTGGCTAGATATTTACTTCTTTTTTTTGCTTCCTAATTAAAAATATCATATTAAATACATCTAACATAGATTTCATATTTTCAGCCAGATGTATAAGTAAAAATACACCAAGCCAACTGATTTGAAATTTCGTTATGGCCTATCTAATTCTTTATTTAAGCTTTTATTGATTTCTAATTTCTTTTAAGGCTTCACTTGCTTAATACTTTGACAATAAATCCATTTTTTTATCCTCACAAAGCTCTTTTTTTTTACTCATTGCATTTTTCATTCTTAGATCTAATTAATCTTAGGATTGTATTAATTTCTCTTTTCTAGCTTCTCTTGAATATTATCTAGTATCAAGATTACTGTTGATCTTATCAGTTTCGCAACTCATATCAAATTTTTACTGCTGCCACCAATATTTATACTTATCGTAATTTGGCTTTTGTCTCTTAGGCTTTTATTTTTTAATGCTTTGATTTCCATATAGAAATGATATTGAAATTTCACAGTCTTCTTCAGAGTATATTGCTATATATAGGAACTTATCCTAGAATTTATCATTATGCTTTTTGTCTTAATATTTAAAATATTTAGATTATACAACAGCTTCACAATTGAATTTGGTTGGGAATGAAGCAGTTGTAGATATATACATTCGATAATTGAGCAATCTTGATAAATCACATTTTACATACACCTGTATTGGTGATTCCTAACCTTATATTTTAATTGAAAAGTAATTAAATCTAAATCTATTAATTGAGATCCAATTATTGCTCTCTTGTTTTAACTCAAATATTCTTAACTTTGATTCATTAGGAACTATTTCATTGTTTTAGGATTTCTTTTGTTCTTCTACTGGAAAGAGTTTTTACAAGTCAATATTTTCTAAAGGTTCTGATTATTATATAATTTCATAATTATTTGAAAATGTTTGCATCATTTACACTATCGAGGTTCTTTGATTAAGAAAGTTTTCATTTAAATCAAATTATCTAGCAGATTTTATTTAAGAAGTTGGAGATTTCACTAATTTTTTAAGATGAATCGATGAAGATTTCAAAGATTAAAAAGAAGTGAATCCAGAAGTTTCTCTATTTGTAGGCGATTCCAACTTGAGTTCTAAACCCTAGGACAATGTGTGTCTGTGTGTAGTTTAGACTGAATTAAGAAAGCTATTTTGTTTTGAATTACGCAAAGTTATTTTAGTATTCATATTTAATTTAATCATTTTTTATTTGGTGTCTTGTCTCGACTTGAAAAGTGACTCTAAGTTCCATTTACAAAAAGATTTCGAGAACTAATAGGTTGAACATCATCCAGTACAGATAACTGTCTTTTTCTATGTGTTTTTAATTTTACTGATTTTTCATTGTTCACATAATAATTGCACTTTTGCAATTGTAAATTAAATTTATTGATCCATTCAAACTATTTACATGATTTAGACTCATTTTAATTATATTGACTAAGCCTTCTTGCCATATGAATATTTTTTGAAGTTTGTAAATCCTTTTTCTCTTTGTTTTATTCGATAATTGACACTTTCATTTTGACTTGACTCGGAAACATCAAATTAGCCAGCAATGCTCTTCCTTCAACTGGCTTACCTAATAGTTTTTTAGGAGCAGGAGATGAGATATTTGGGTTTATTTCACCAACACTTCGATGTGAATTTATTTACTTTATTTACTTTGAGTTTGAAATAGCTTTTGTTGATTTTGAAAAATTGTATTAGAGAGACGGAGATTTTAGCTTTGTTTCTCTGTAGATTAGATCTTATAACTAAAAAGCAAACTCAAAAGAGGAAGTCTATACGCATTAATTTTATTACATTATATAATAAAATAGCAAATTATATACTGAATTAACCTGAGCTTATTGTTTAATCATAAAATAAAGTAAACATAATCAAATATTTAAATCTTCCTCCGGCATAAAATAGAATTCAGACCCTGATAACAAAATTTCGGCTAATTACTATAATTTTTTAATAGTGCTTCTATATTCCTTTTGATATTCTATCGTTGTGTCGAAATTGAATCCTCCATAAAACTATATTGCTTGAACAATCTCTTTATTTCTAATAGTCTCACACAAAAAGAGCTACATTTAAAGGTTGGCCTAAGTATAAATATAACAATTACATATTTGAAATTCTTGCATATTATATATATCAGATTTTATTCTTAACATTAATATTTCTGTTTGCAATATTAATCAATGTCATGCTTTTCTTGTTTATTATTTTATAAATACATTTAAATGTATTACAAAATTATATATTCCTAATGAATGGCAAAAGCTTTTAAGAGTAAAAGTAAAGGCTAAAATAAATTTTGAGAATAATTACTTTAAAAGGAATTGATTGCTTGTATTTAGTTACAACAAAGATGATTTCAACTAAATATGGAACCAGAGGTGAATTTATTAATTTTTCATCTAAAATTGCTCCTTCGCATAATTCAAGTATCCTTATTACTTAAAAGCTGCATGGGTCTGTTTTAAGATAGTCGAGAATTTATATCAAATAAGTTGGAGTTAAATTCTTTTTAGATTTAAGTTTAGTTAATCGATCAAATCCATCTTCTTCTGATGTATTTTCTGTTTCAATTTTTTATCTGTTTCTTCTCCTCTTTTTTGATGAATTGGATTAAGTTATTTAACATTCCTAATCTTCCTAATTCTATTAAATTTTTATTCTTTTATCTTCTAATGTTTTCATTAAATCATTTTTTCTTATAGTTTCTCTTAATAAATCTCTTTTTGTTTGTAGTAGTTAGTGAATAGAATATTATGATTAATCCATGTCGATTTTAAAACAATAAATTAAAATTATTGGATTTTTATATATATATTATATATATTATTTATTTCTATTATCTTGAGAATCTAGATAATTGCATAATTTTGGCATTTGAAGATTTAAAACGCTTAAATAATCAATTAATTAAAAATCGGCCTAAATATAGGTGGAGACTTAAAGTTATTTCTGAATACAGTTTAATATTTCCATTTGATTTCTAATCATATATCTTTTAGGTTTACTTTATGAGAGGATTATAACTAAACTTTTATTGGACTAAATTCTAATCTTTGATTTTGTTCGCTCTTATGTTATTCATTTCTATTTTATGTCTTTCTTCTAGTGAACAATGATATTAAGCTCTTAAATATTATTTAGAATAGTTCTAAGAAAGAGTTAGGTGAGGTGATGATAAAATTTGATAATCAAATAATAATATATTTTCTATTAAAAAAATAACAAAAATATAAAGAAATAAAACATATATATTATTAAAATGACAGAATAGTAGTAATTAAATAACCAAGGCAATCGAACAAGAATGATTGGGAATTATGTAATAGGTAATCGAGCTTAGTGTATAGGGAGGTAAAACTTTGGGATTTGGAACATTTGGGAAGGTCAAAATGGTTGTTCACGAGCAATCACAAGAGAAAGTGGCAATTAAAATATTGGAGAAGGATAGAATAGTGGAAACTGCAGATGTAGAAAGAGTACAGAGAGAGATTCATATCTTAAAGTTAGTTAGACATCCTCATATAATCTAACTATATGAGGTAATGACATCTTATATTTAGATTATTGAAACACCAAAGCACATATTCTTAGTAATGGAAATGATTAGTGGTGGCGAATTATTTGATTATATAGTCTAAAATACAAGGTAATCTGATTGAATTAATAAGATTGGAAGAAGTTGAGGCATGTAAGTTATTTTAAGAACTAATTGCTGGAATTGAATATCTACATAAACTAAGAATAGTCCATAGAGATTTGAAACCAGAGAACTTGTTGCTTGATCACCATAAGAATCTCAAAATTGTTGATTTTGGATTATCCAACACCTACAAATCGGAAGAATTATTGAAGACTGCTTGTGGAAGTCCATGTTATGCTGCTCCTGAAGTATAGAAAAGTCTAATTATCTAGATGATTGAAGGGCAAAAATATTAAGGAGTGAAAGTCGATTTGTGGAGCTCAGGAGTTATATTATTTGCATGTTTATGTGGTTATTTGCCATTTGAAGATCAAAATACTTCTGCTCTTTACAAAAAGATATTAAGTGGATCATATTAACTTCCATCTCATCTCTCTAAGGAGGCTTAATCAATGATTTAAGGAATCTTGACAGTCAATCCAGAAAAACGATTTACTATCAATGATATTCGAAACCATCCTTGGTTTAAGATCTATAAAAGAACTTATGAGATTCCTCCAGGAATTGTGGTTGGATACAATAGAATTCCAATTGACTAAGAAATACTTAAATAGTTAAAATAATACGGAATAGATATAGATTATGCCTAAAAGTGTTTAGATGCCAATAAACACAATGAAATAACGACCTTTTATCATTTGCTTCTGAAAAGACATTTGACAAATGGAGGTAGATCAACAGCTGATCTTAATTCTGAATCATTTGATATTACCCTTTTAGAACCTAAACAAAGACCCTAAAAAGGTAATTTTGATTTCTCATTTCATAGCTCCAATTAGTTCATTAGTTAATAATGAAGTCATCAAACAGCAAATGAAAGATGAGATTATAAAATAACGATCATATTCAACTGATAAAGATAGAGGTAGAATTACTAGGACAGCTAATTAAAATAAAATATTGGCCGATAATGATTTAAGTGTCAACAGAATAGGAAATAACGGATAAGCTCAAAGTGTATAAGCAAGATAGAAAGATGAAAACTATTTTGAATAGTCACCAGTCATCAAAAATAAAAAGGTTCCTTATTCCAATATGCTGTGTCAAAAATATGGCATTAAATTCAAGAATAATAATGTGACCTCAATTGACTATCACCATAAGGATGATATTAAAAAAGTCAGTTCTAGAAATAAAAGAGAAATAGATATCATGAATCCTTATCGAAGCTCAAGCAGAGAACAATAATAATTAAATAGAATGCTTTAAAGTGGAGGAAGATCACAAAATAGCAAAAAAGAAAGGGCTTATATTACTAGTCATAACAATCAATCGTTTGATGTACCCTTGAATTCAAACCAATCAAATAAATAAAGGGCAATAAATTAATAAAGATCTGCTCATTTTCATCATGATTGATATTTAAGTATTAGATCAAATTTTTCTAAATTTTAAAGACTTATATAGTTTTTATACCGAAAATACTATTAGATATCTTCTAAAATTATAATGCAAATATCAAATAAATAAAACAAATTATAAAAATAATTGAGCAATAAAATATATAAAAATAACTTGTTAATATAAATTCATGACGTCGCAACAACTGGTCCTATAATTACTGCTAAAATTACTACACCAATTAAGATAATACAACATATTTTCTAAAATTCATGAAATGGGTATATACCTTTTTAGCTGATTGATGATCTTCCTTTGCATCCACAAGACTTTTTTCTGCCTTGCCGACATAAGTTTTAGCTGAGTCAAGATTAATTTCTATGTTATCGATCTATTAGCCTTAAGCATGAACTAAGATAGCTAAATCAACAAATAGTTAATATACTAATTAAACAGACTAATTAATAATTAAAGAAAATACTCTTTCCAACTATTGTATATCTTTGTATTTCTCCTATATATCTGAGACAGTATTTGTGAGAATAGCAGAAGGAGCTTCTCCATAGAGTTTTCCTTGTAATAATTATGTTGCTTTCTAGTTAGATATTCGTTAAAATTCGCATACTTATGGATCATTGCATATTTCATCTAAAAACTCTTCGGAGGCGTTTTCATCTAAGATCTTCGTTTACCTCCTAATTTTCTCTCTAACACAAGTCTTGTATTTAATGGAAATTTGAGAAGAAGCATGCAAAACTTCTTGAACTTTACTAGTTAATGCATTTCTCTGATTGATTTTCATTTGTGTTTCAGGTTGATCCTCTTATAATGCAAATTGGTTACTGATTAATCTCTTTCACTTCTTTCAACATCTTCTTTTATATCATTCATTGCATCTTTTAATTCTTTACTATATTGTTAATTTTAGGCCATAATTTACTCTAATTCTCGCGACAACTCTAATCAGATCAGATGATGGTAATACCTTTTTCTACATTTGATGTAGTTGCTCTAGCATACTTCATTGACATCTCCTACATTCTATTATTATTTTCTTTGATTCTCTCTAAACACTATAGTGCCTTTTTTATTTTCTGAAAGAATTGAGGCATAAAATCATCATCCTAAGAGGAGTTGGAGTTGTTCAATTAAAATGAGTCCTGTCTGCCAGACATCTAGATAACCATGCTTGTACTTTATGTAATTCGATCAAACGATCATCCATGTTAATTGATAATATAAAATAAATAAATTAAAATACTCTTTATTTATATTCTTATTCATATTAGAGTGATATGATAATAACGTAATAATACGTAACTAATGATTACATACAAAATCCTAATTAATTATCATGCCAAGGTTGCTAGTTCAGTATTAATAAGAAGCTTTTCTTTTTTTATATCAATCTCTAAACTAAACTCTTCGCAATTCAATTAATCGATCATGGTTGCCCTCGAAGCTAAATGGAAAAAAAATAATGCGTAAATTCCTACTCCACATGCCCAAATCAAATAATAATTATAATTGGCTAATAAATATTCCACGAATCCTTCAAATATAAATTGAAAGTTAATTCCAGTGGCTTAAAATATAACAAGCATTTCTACTTAACAAAGCAACGAAAGTTGCAGCTATTGAACTTTGAGTGCTTTTGTAAATGAACGATTGGGCCAGAGTGATGTTTATCAGATTTAACAACCAAACACTTATTAATGATATTTTCAATAAAGTATCCCTGTATGGAAATGGAAAGTTCTCCTCAGAAGCAAACAAGGTTATGATAAACACTCCTGATATGGCTATTAAAATTAGATTTATATTATTGATATACCAATTTCATAGATTGAAAATACGATTATGAGTCTAATTTCCAACACTCTTGTCTTGATCATTTTGGCCATATAGTATGGTAAAATGCATGCAATTGGAAAGGTGAGTATTTCTAAAAATTGAATTTAACCCTCTGTCAATTACCCTCTCATCAAGTGAATATGAGCCAAATCAATAGGCATTTACCCTATTCTGAAAAAACAAAAAAATAGAAAGAGAACAATCAAATGGCGATTCGAAAATGCTCCAAGAGCTGATTTGTAAGCTTCGATTATCTAATATAATGACATTCATACATCTTAATTAGAGGTTGTTTCATTATGAATGATAATAATACATGCAACTGCAAGTCCTACAGATATGTAAGACAAATCTTGGAATGCAACTAAAAATAAATCTATAATTTAACTTTAGAGTGTAATGTATGGGATCTCTTGAGGAATGGCATAAATATATGTGTTACAAAATTCAAGCGAATTGAACATCTTAAAGATGTATGCTCCAATAAATCCCCCTATCAAAATTCCTAGAAATTGAGCCAATGCTCCATACCCTCTGTCATGCTTCTCCAAACTTTCAACTATCCAAGCTGCTATTATGATGTCGATGCACGCCAACAAACATACAATCCAGAAGGCCTTCCAAAACCATGTACTAGGATCTAGCGATTAGAAATTTGAAAAATATAACAGAACTCTAAGAATTTTCAGCAACACTATACCCCAATGCAAAATACAAAATTGCCAACTAACTTCTTCTTCTACCCATCTTGTCCCAACTTACACTGTCAATCAAGGGTGCAACTATGTATCTGAACAAATAAGGTAATAGCACAACGAATGAAAAGTTATATCTATTTATCTCAACGCCTTTATCTATCAAATTAGAAGGAACATTGTATAAAATCAGTCCCAACATGATTCCTTCGAAACAATACAAAATTGAAAGGGGTACTAATCTCTTGATGAAAACCATTATTTTATAATTTAATATTCATGTATAATACGGGTCTTGTATATGCTTCTTTCTTATAAAGAGATCTCTAGCAAACTCCCTAGAATTCTTGCTTCTCGCAAGTACGAATTGATGTTCCTCTGATGTCTATGTTTATTTGCTTTATTACCTTTGATAAAGATTTTCTTCTCCTCATATAATCATAATTGAAATCGTCCTCCTCTGTGTTACTGCTTAACTCAGATGATGAATGGGTCACCTGAAGATCATATTATGGCCTAGATTGTTACTTAACTTCCTTCATTATCTTATCAACCATCCCCTTTTGACACATGCATCTTCCTTACATCATTTCTAAAGATTTCTTAACAGCCAACAAAGAATTCTCATTGTCTATTTTTTGTTTCACCAACAACTCTTCCAACCATTCATTCTTCTATATCAATTGACCCAACTCTAATTAATACTCTTTTTGCAATATTTTAATCTTATTTTTTAACTCGATCTCCTTTTATTTATGTCGATTGATTTCACTTGCCAACAATCTATTCGAAATAGCAAGTTCCTTTGCTTTCTTCTCCAAATGCTAATTCTTTTTAATTGTAGGTCTGAAGTGCAATTCAGATTGTTTATGATATTCTATTGCATTCTCCACAAACCTTAGAAATTCAGATTCAGGCTGCTTTAAATCTCTTTACACAGAATCTCTCATAAAGTCGCTGTCGCTTTTGGAGTTGTTAAGCTTAAAAAATTAATCAAACAACTTCTCTCCCTCCACTTCCTCTAAATCTGTTATAGGAGTCCCTTATCTATAATTATTCTACAGAGTCGACTTTGCTCGTTGATGCTTCTTTGTTTCAGCAGGCTGACGATGTAACTATGTAAAATCATGATATTCTTAACGTAATCCAAATGATTGTGAATCATTTGGAGATCTCATTTATCTGAGCTCTCTTAAATTGATTAATTTTATAGTGTACTTGCATAATTGATTGTTTATTTCCCATATAATTGGCTAAGAGACATTTTAATTAATAAAATCAATACTTAATAATAATACTCAATCTATCTTTATGTTTTTACTGTTTTCTTAAGTTATTGCTTTCTCTACTTCCTTAATGTCAGCAATGGGTCATTCTCCTGGCCTACGCTGACTATTGATGTCAATTTTCATACCAAATCTAAAATTTATTCTTTGAAACATAAATTTTTGGATCATTACATTAATTTTATTTTTTACTTAAAATAACAACCAAAAATGAATTAATCTAATTGTTTTGCACCTAATCTGGATTTAAAAAATTAAATTTAATAAAAAGATATTTTCATGTCACTTAAACTCACTTATACGGTTGGTAATCCAAGAGTTGGCAAGATAATAGTGGCTGCTCAATTAGCCAATGTTTAAATTATTAATGATTTTGTAGAATTTAAAGCTTTAGAAGTACAAATCTTTTATATGCATTAGACACCAGCGTTTTTGGCTAAGAACCCTGTAGGTAAGATTCCTTTGTTAGAAACACCTGAAGGATATCTAGCTGAAAGCAACGCCATATTGTAATATGTTGCCAGAGGAACCCCTTTGGTTGGAATAACAGATTTTCAATAAGCTAAAGTAAGACAATGGTTAGATTTTACATCGCTCGAATTGGAACCTGCTCTACTTGGTTTACTATTGCCAATCCTTGGTTTTGGATTGACAACACCCTAAAAATAAGAAGAAATAAAAAAAGAATTGAATTGGAAATTAAAAATCTTAGAAAATCACTTTAAAACCAACAATTTCTTGGTTGGCGAATTATTGACAATTGCTGATTTAAATTTGGCAACATATTTCTAAAGATTATTTTCCTTTGCATTTGATAAACAATACAGAGCTACTATTCCAAATATATCTAGATGGTACAAATAAGTATCAGAAATACCTGCATTTGTGGATGTAAAATATATCTATAAATTAAGTATTATGGAAAGACGAAATATTGCGTAAAACCTTTTCCATTATAATATGAGTAATAATAATAATAATAATAATAATAGTAAAAATAATAGCCATAAAATACTTAATAATAAAAGGCTTCTCCAAAAGATGAAGATGAAGAAGAGAAACCAAAAAAATAATAATGTGAGCTTGATTTATTACCTCAATCAACTTTCAACATTGACGATTGGAAAAGATAATTTTTAGCATCAAAAGATTTTGCTGCTGAATTTAAAACCTTTTGGAACATTTTTGATTCTTAAGGATGGTCTATTTGGAATATTAAATACATTAAGGCTGAATAAGAGGGGAAGGCTTTGATTTCGTTTAGAAATAATTGCAATGGATTTCTATAAAGAACTGATCCTCGTTTTAAAAAATGGGTATTTGCTATTCATGGTGTCTATGGAGATGTTCCAGATCTATAAATCAGTGGAGCTTGGATATGGAGAGGAACTGAAATCCCATAATTTTTAGTAAAAGATTAATTAATATTACTTAGAAAGATCATCCAACATTTGAATATTTATAATTGACTAGGCTTGATGCTTCTAACCCAGAAGACAGGGCCTTATTTGAAGAATATTGGCTTAATTAAACCGAAGATGAATCAAAGGTTTAAGGACTTACAGCAAGAGCATTATATTATTTTAGATGAATTAAATATGTATAAAAACAGATATATTAATGTACACAAATTTATCAATGGTTGATGTCAAAATTTCCAATTTTATCTTTTACTACAGATTATAATACTCCTCCTCTACCCCCAGGTTATCTGAAATTAGGTCTTTAGAATGCCTAGTCATAGCTATGATAGTAAAATTCAAGGTGTACGTCTTTTTATGAGCAAATTCATGAATGTTAGCAAATTTTTTATCCATAATAACTCCAAAAAACATATTCAAAGCAAATCCCACAATTATTTCCAATAAGATCTATCAGATTTATAAATGTATTATTACATCCAAAGGTATATGATATTAATCAGCCATGTCCTTGTAGATTAAATGTTTTCTATATCTGATTAATGAGATGGCTGAATGTATCAATAATAAAAATCCAATTACCTTTAGCATAAATTATATTAATTTATATATATTATCAATAATCATCGTTTGTTAACATTAGAATTTTATTAATCTAACAATGTGACTTCAGTATTTTTCTTTTCAATTCTATCATCAAATTGAATAGCCTATCCTGATCTCTTAAGATTTTCGTCAATTTTCATAGTCAAAAAATTAGAGCTACAAATTAAGATTAACATAAAATATCATAGCCAAAGTGGAACATAACTAATTGCCTCCCTAAAGAAATCAAGGACTCTAGATACCTTAAGGATTAAGATTTCAGGAATTCCTTTCAAAAATTAAGAAGGTTACCAAAGAGTCCCAACATAGCAATTGTAGTATTTTCGGAAAACAAATTCACAAGAGAATTCAAAAGCCAAAGCCATAATGGCAGAGCTTCCACACAAAAAAAAATAAACAATAAAGAAGAATACTTTGTTTACATGCAGGGCTAGAATGAGCATACCAAATTGTACAGTCACTAAGATATTACAAATTCTCAACACTTTTTTATAAGTTTGAGTCTTCCTTATGGCAGTTCCAACGCAAAAATCACCAATTAATCCAGCCATCACACCCACCAAAACTAAATTACTAAAGGAGATATAAAATATTCCATCTGCAAAGTAGACAGTGTTATTGTTCCTAAGATGAATGTAAAACTAATTGTCAGTAATATGAAATCAGGATTGCTAGTTACTATTACATGGCTTAGTGATAATCTTCTCTAACTCATTCCTATTGATATAAGATATTCATACATCTGAAGCACTATAACTAGTAGGAGTGACTGGCTTACTTAGGAAAAACAAAATTGGTGATACAAATGATAAAATCATCAACCCAAATAGCAAAATCATCAAACTTCCATTTAGAGCACGTCCTAATTTAATTTATTCATCAGTTGGATGATTGTAGATCTAAAAATCTCTTATCACAATTAGACGGGATTCAAATAGAGATTCCTGAACTTGCATTGAAAACTAACACTATAATCACCATTATTTGATTCTATTTTCTGAAAAAAACCAGTTAGCAACACATTTAGAAGCGCTTTTCAATCTAAATGGAAATCCTATCAAAGAAATTAATTATCCAATAAAGAAAAACCAAAAAGAAACATTGATTAAAATTGCAAATATTGAACCTATAAAAGTTAAGACACAACCTTGAATACTGTAATGATTCTTTATCCCTAACATAATACTAATTCAATTCCATATTTTTCATTAATTATATTTCCTGGTATTATCATAATTACCGAAAAGACAGTAAAACAAATTGTGAAAATTACAAATATCTTTCATTGTTTAATAATTTTTTACCTACTATTGACTTGAAAAACTAATAAAATTTCCTTAACAATGGGGATAGTGAAAATCCAAACATTAGATTGGAGAGCAAATTTACACAAAACAAGATTAATTGTATCCAACGTTGAAGATAATCAACATATTGAAGATGTATTTTATCTGTTGGGTATAATTTATTAATTAATCTATATATTAAATATATTCATCAAAAATATAGTTTCTTTTTATCATTAATTTATGCAATTTCATCCATTCTCTATTTTGCAATATCCTTATCTTTCTTAGCATAAATCGAATACCCTTTCAATGTAGCATTCCTTTAGGCATTTTATAATTCTCTTAAATCTTATTATGCACGCAAGCCTTGTTAAATGCTATTTAATTATTCAGAATTTTATTCTTTGTCGCCAGTCATAATTTCAAAACTTCTACTATACACAGCATTTAAAGTAGTTGTGTTCTTACGAATAATTTTTTCACTCTCCTTAATCTCAGTTAGCAATGTCTCTTTATCAAAAAAGGGTATTTTTTTAGAATAATTATTCAGAACACTAAAATTATCTGCTCTTTATCCATAAACATTTAATTTTTAAATTTCATCAATTGGTTTATAATTATTTTCTATAGATTTTGTATCTTTAGTCTTAATAGATAACTTTCTTGTTGAAGGTCTTTTAAAAAATATATCTTTGCCCAACTTTGGAATTTCTTTCTCTTACTAATCCTCAACAATTTGATTTTGCTAACAGTTTAAGGATGCATTCTCAATCTTTATATTTGCTTAGTTTCCAACATTTATTTATTAGGTATCTAATCCTCTATTTAGACCAAAGGAATTAGGAATTACTCTTCTTTCTGATATAGTTGGGTTTGAATTTAAGTTCATCATGCCTAAATTCGTTCCTGAAGGATTTCTGTCATGTTCAATCTTTGTATCAGTTCTTAAGACTAACCCTTCTTGAAATTAAAGTGTCTAGACATAGAAGTACACATCCGATATGGTTTTTAGTTCATCTAATAGCACAGTCTTAAATTAACTAAGTCTTTATCTAGTTAAAATTAATGGATCCTTAATAGTGGGAAGTAATTTATTTAAAAATTCACAGATGCACTTCTTTAACAAAAGTATCTCATCCTAAGTGTTCATTAATAATATTTTATATATATAAAATTTCAGTCAATCTGATTTATTAAACTGTTCAACATATCTTAAAATTCCGTATTATATAATATTTTAATCATTGATTCTCAAATTTAATGTTCTTTCCAGTTGGTTGTCTGAGTTAAGAACCCAAAACTGTCTTAATGAAGCTTAAAAATTTCCAATTTGAATGTACAAAAATATCAATAGTTCTCATTTTTCAATTATATCTATAAATCGATTATCATTCCTACCGTCATAATACTTGGATTGGTTTGTCAAATAAATATTGAATATATATTATTGAATGTTATTTTCCCATCTCTATGAGAATGATACATATTGAAAAATACTAAAATTTGATTATAAAACACTTTGTCTATTTTGAATCTCTAAGTATTTACAAAAAAAAATCTTTGTGAAAATCCCTGCTCTTATACTAATTTTTAACGATAATGTTCAAACTACATTTTTGAAATTATATTTCTATCAAATAGTTTTTTCAATTATTTCTCCTTTAATATTCTTTACTTTTCTTTCTAATTTCAAAGCTGCTAAAAAATTCATAATATCAGTTTAAATTTTATTGAATAATCTTGGAGCAATAAAAATTATGAAATCAACTTTCAAATGTCCAATTTAAACAAAAATTGCTTTTGTTTATTGAAATTATAAAAATTCAACAAGTAAGTTCTAATTTTTTTTTAATGATTGTGTCATCACCTGCTTTTATGTATTTTTTATTGTTCTATTTTTGTAAAAATGAAAAATAGCTAAGAATCTATTTTGTGTATTTTACTACTATCAATTTGCTATACATACCTATTAGGTATTTTTTAATTAGCACAGGTTCTGATTTATTTATAATTGATTGCTCGGAATTCAAATAAATTTATGATTGTAATCTTATAAATATTTTATTTGTTAAGTTTTCATTTGAGGAGTAAGTTATAAGTCATTATGAGAAGGTAAGAATTTCCTTATTTTAAATTAAATTTAAATTTAATAATACAAATGTAAAACTAGGAGCTTTATCAATAATAATAGATTAGACGAATAAAATAATTTGAAAAATATAATAAATATGCTGGTAGCACATTATTTATTTAACTTTTAATAAAATAAACAGCGATCTTTTTAGTTCTACTTTTCATTTACAATCTAATGTTATTTAAGCTTTCAAAAGTTAAGCTTATAACAATGCTTCGGCTCTGAAAATTATTAAAGCGAAATTAGCAACCTATAAATAAAACCTTATTCACAAAGAATAATTTTTTTTTATTTTATGAAATTAGACAAAGATAGAAATCAGACATAATTTATAATTTGTGCAAAATAAATGAAATTATGAATTAAAATTATGCTATGTAAACTTATATATTATAAATACCTAAATTATAAACCTCCTTTTGGAATCTCCATCGCTTTAAAGTGAAAAAAGAATTCAACAAAAATGAGTAGAGTGAGAAAATAAAACATGAAATCAAAAATAATATAAATTGAAACTCATTTTGATGATCTTGCCCATTTGTATATGAATCAGGAATAAGATAGAATAAAATCTTATGATAATTTATTTGAAATAAATTTTATATCTAACTGAACAAATTTTAATTAGAAGCCCAATTAAGATACAATATTATTTAATTCTTTAAATGTCAAGTGAATTAATTTAACATTAAATCTCTTCAATTGAACTAACACTTATATAAAAAATATGATAAAAGTATTTGAAATCTATATTTATATTTGGAAAGATGATTTAAAATAAAAGAGGAAATTTGAAACTACAGCTAAGATAAACATTATAAATTTATTTCCATTTATTTTATTAATAAATAAATATAATCATTAATGGGCAACATTTGTCGGTAAAGTCCAATTAATGATAAAAATGATATAGAAGTGAACACATCCTAACCTCCTCCTATTTAATAAGTTCATCCCCCAAAACCTGATGAGGTTAAGGCTCAAGCACCTGAGAAATAGGAAGAACCAGCTTAATCAATCGATTAAGCAAAATAAGAGAACGAAGTATTTATTAAAATTCTATACAACTTAGCCTAAAAGAAAAGAGCAAAAGAAGATGGCAAAGATAGCTGCAGTTATCGATCAAGAAGTTATTTATGAGAATGTGCAAAAACAAGAGAAAGTGAAAAGTCCATTTGATTTTTAATTGCTTTTGAATGCTTTTGGAAATAGCTTTATATTTGGGTAATTACAACCAGAAGACAAGTATATAAATAATTTTAGTAGTTAAGAGTGAAAGTAATTGATAAAATGTTTTATTGCACTGTTCATGATGGTGAAATGGTTTTTAAATAGGGAGATAAGGCAAGTTCATACTTTCTAATCGAGCGTGGATAGTGCTAAATTATCATCAATAATGAATTAAAAAAAACTTTAAAAAGCGGCGAAGCATTCGGAGAGCTGGCCTTATTATATAATGCACCAAGATCCGCTACCGTTAAGGCAGTAGGAGGTAAAAAATGTTACATTTTTAGATTGTGCATTCTGGGCAATTGATAGAAATACTGTGAGAAAAGCTATTGAATCAATTTCATAAAAGGACTATGATTAGAATAAGGAATTCATTAATAAAGTGCCGTTTTTTGGTATTTTAACATATTACAAATAGAATCATTAACTGATGATTAAAAAGCAGCAATTCCATCGGCATTAATAAATTTAAATTTCAAAGCTGGAGAGATTATAGTAAATGAAGGAGATCAGGCTGACTCATTCTTTATCATAAAAAAGGGAGAAATATAGATATCTAGAGGAGGGAAAGAACTAAGAATAATGAAGGCAGGGGATTCTTTGGGAGAATAAGCATTATAATAGAATTCAGTTAGGGGGGCCACTGCGAAAGCAATTAAAGAGGATGCCACAGTTTTAGCTTTAGCAAGGGATGATTTAACAAGAATTTTGGGAGACAAGATATAATTGATTATGTACAGTAATCTTTAGCGATGGGCATTTGAAAGACATGTTGTGCTTAGCAAGTTGACTAAATTGCAAGTGGAAAGAATTGTGAGCAATATGCAACAGACACAAAAGAAAAGTGATGAAGTAATCATAGAGAAAGGTTAAGCGTGTAGGGAGATAATTATTGTATTGTAAGGGTCAGTAAGGTACGGAAAGGAAATCTTAGAGAAAGGATAAATGTTTGGAGATAAATTTTTAGATCAAGGAGAAAATGTTAAGTTGGGAGAGCCTGTTATAATGAAGGATGAAGGAATGATAGCAACAATAACATTTAAATAGTTCTTTGAGATTATTGGAGGATCCTTAGAGCAAATCTTTGCTAAGAATGAAAAAGCCCATGATAGGTTTATAAAGAAGGAGGAAGGTCAAAAATAGGATGTTTTTAAGCATTTTTAATTGGATCAATTGATTTATGTGAAGAAATTAGGTTCGGGATAATTTGGAAATGTTTATTTGGTGCATAACAAAATGGATAAAAAGATATATGCTTTAAAATGTATCTCGAAAGCTCAAATTATTGAATAAAATCTTGAAAAGCATTTGGCCTAAGAAAAAATAGCCTTGGAAACTGTTAACTTTCCACTTATAATGCACTTTGCTAGAAGTTTCAAGGACACAACTTATATATATTTTTTGGAAGAGTATATCAGAGGAATGGAACTTTTCGATGTAATCAGAGACATTGGATTGCTTAATACATATGATTCTCAATTCTATATTGGGTCTCTGATTTTGTGCATGGAATATTTGCATTTGAATAATATCATATACAGAGATATTAAACCAGAGAATATCATGATTGATGAAAAAGTATTATAGATATATCTATAAATATTAGGGGTTCATGAAATTGATTGATTTAGGAACAGCTAAGAATTTAAAGAGTAAAAATGGTAGAACATACACTATTATTGGAACTCCTCATTATATGGCCCCAGAAATTTTAACAGGCAAAGGATACACATATTCAGTTGATCTATGGTCCATAGGAATCTGTTTGTATGAATTTATGTGTGGAAATGTTCCATATGCTGAAGATGCAGATGACCCGTATATTTTTTAATGAACCATTTATTAGATATGAAATATATGAGGAAATTTAAAAGAAATAGTTAACGTTTCCCTCAGTATTGAAAGATAGAAAAGCAAAGAAATTGATTGAGTAATTGTTGAGTAAAACTCCAGAGCTCAGACTAGGATCCTCTTATGCTAGTTTAAAAAACAACCCTTTTTTCGAAAGATTTGATTATGTATATTGGAATGTATAATTTAGGATCTTCTCATTAATAGAGAATTAAAACCTCCTTATTTGCCACCCAAAAATAAATTGCATAGTGAAAAAGATATTTAAAAGGCTATCCAGGTTGGTAAATTGATTACCGAAGAAATTAAAGTACAGTGTAATTAGTAGACTAGAATGATCTTGCCACTGCTTAGAATGTTTACAAGCCTGAAAAAGCCCGTGATCCTAATTGGGATAAGGATTATTGATTGCTTAAATTTTTTCTTAAAATTGATTTATAACAAAATATTCCAAAATATTATAGTTGTTGGTTGAATCTCTCCTTTTTGTTGTTAGATAATATTTAACTTGTAATATGGTGTGCACATTTTAATTTAATTTAAATAAAATAGTAAAAAAAATGATGGAATTTTATCAATAATATAATTAATTATGTTAATTTCAAAGACAGAGAATGAAGAGTAATCTGAGACAGCAGTTAATTCAACACAACCTGTTTGTCCTAATTGTGGTGCAGCTAGGGAAAGTATTTTAGAATAAGTGCCATCTCCAGCTTCATTTATAATTTCCTTTGTTTCTTTATTTTATTTCGGAATTTGGTGCATATTTATAATCCCATTGGTGTTTCAATCAACAAAAGTAAATAAAATAAATAAATGTCAAGATGATTATAAAGAGATGCTACTATTGTAATCAAGAATTAGAAAAAAGAAAATACTTTTAATTACCAAATATCAACGATTAAGTGCTTTAATTTAGATTTGGCAATTGCATAGTGGTAGTATCTAGAAAATATGCCTTGGTTTTATTGACAATCATACTTTGTTTGTTTTTTTACTTTGAATATTTTACAGAGAAGGAGCAACCATAAATTGAAGCAAATATCTATTCGAACAAAACGTGGGTGGATTTCCTATAATTTTGTGGCAAATTTTAATTTGTTGATAATGGTTTGAAAGCAAGACATCAATTTGAAACCTATTTCAAGGATAAAATAGTTTCATGGAAAGGGTATGATAAACAAAATTAATTTTAGTGATTTTATTCAAACAAAACCTAATCATGATCCAAATTTCAGTTTCAATTATTGGGTGTATTTAAAGATGGATCCAACTGAATCAACTGATGATTTGCCTGATATTATCGTTGGTGTAAGGGACTCTTAATATTAAAGTGAAACATTTTAAAAATTGGAAAAGGGTAAACCAATTCATTTTGAAGCTAAATTTCTGTTTTTGGGATCAGAATATAACTTTCATATTTTAGAATTAAAACATCTTACTGTGATACCATCTGAACTTGTGGAAGATATTAAATAGCTACATCAATTCACCTTAGACATGGACTAATTCCAAAGATTAAAGAGATCAAAATTATAAGAGTCTCTTAAGCATAAGATCCATATGTATAATCCAAAACTAATACCAGGAATTCAAAAGATAATTGAATCAATCCAAACAACAAATGAAACTATTGCAAAAACCACATAAGATAATGTTCAAAGTGAGGAAAATAAACAAGAATAATAGAATTAAAGTGAGAATGTAATTGATGAGAATGTGAATGAGAATGAGAATGAGAATGAGAATGAGAATGAGAATGAGAATGAGAATGAGAATGAGAATGAGAATGAGAATGAGAATGAGAATGAGAATGAGAATGAGAATGAGAATGAGAATGAGAATGAGAATGAGAATGAGAATGAGAATGAGAATGAGAATGAGAATGAGAATGAGAATGAGAATGAGAATGAGAATGAGAATGAGAATGAGAATGAGAATGAGAATGAGAATGAGAATGAGAATGAGAATGAGAATGAGAATGAGAATGAGAATGAGAATGAGAATGAGAATGAGAATGAGAATGAGAATGAGAATGAGAATGAGAATGAGAATGAGAATGAGAATGAGAATGAGAATGAGAATGAGAATGAGAATGAGAATGAGAATGAGAATGAGAATGAGAATGAGAATGAGAATGAGAATGAGAATGAGAATGAGAATGAGAATGAGAATGAGAATGAGAATGAGAATGAGAATGAGAATGAGAATGAGAATGAGAATGAGAATGAGAATGAGAATGAGAATGAGAATGAGAATGAGAATGAGAATGAGAATGAGAATGAGAATGAGAATGAGAATGAGAATGAGAATGAGAATGAGAATGAGAATGAGAATGAGAATGAGAATGAGAATGAGAATGAGAATGAGAATGAGAATGAGAATGAGAATGAGAATGAGAATGAGAATGAGAATGAGAATGAGAATGAGAATGAGAATGAGAATGAGAATGAGAATGAGAATGAGAATGAGAATGAGAATGAGAATGAGAATGAGAATGAGAATGAGAATGAGAATGAGAATGAGAATGAGAATGAGAATGAGAATGAGAATGAGAATGAGAATGAGAATGTGAATGAGTAGGAGGAAAACAAAAATGAAACTAATGAAGATATCAATCAATAGGATGAATAAGAAAAACAATTTGATCCCTCTAGTGTTAATATAAAAATTGATGAATCTATAAGGAATGAGATTCTATCAAAAGATTCTGGAATAGTTGATGGAGTTATTGATGATGATGATAAAAGTGCCACAAATTAAGATTGACAATTAAATTTTAATCAATTATTTATGTTAAAAAGTTATTTTCTTAATATTGTATTGTATGAATTAAGAAAAAGCACATATATAATATATTTGTAGAAAATATTATTTCATTCAATGAATAGTTACTTCTAAATAAATGAATAGATTTCATAGACAGAAAACATTATCTTACCAGATGACACTCCCATGAAGAATAAACCAAACATTATTACAACAATGAAGGCCACCTGGATTACTTTTCTTCCATATGCTTTTATTAAGTAAATTACGTAACCTGCCAATATTTATTTCATTGTTATTGGCATATTATAGATCATTCCTGCCACTTCTTATACAAATGGTGTTCCAACTATTTATGGACCTTTGGCAATGATGATGAGTATAAGTATTTTGAAAGATGCCATAGAAGAATATTCGAGGTTAGAACTCTAATTAAAATAGATATAAATCTGATCAAGAAGAGAACAATCGTAAATCACATAAATACTTTGAAAATTAGTTTATAGAATGCAATTGGAAGGATATCTATTAAGCAGACATTATATTGGTCATGGAAAATGAAAGTATTCCATGCGATATCTTGATATTGTCATCTAGTTACTAAGGAGGTATAGCATATGTGGAGACTAAGTAAATTGATGGTGAGACAAATTTAAAATAAAAATATTCAATCTATGATTTATAATAAAGATACCATATAGATAATGCAATAAACTTTGTATTTATATAGTAATTAATCACAAGGAGAAAAATAACAATGTAAAGTTTGTATACGATTAGAAGAACCCAATACTGTATAAACTATCAGGAACCTATCAAATTAGTAATTCTTAAGTGGATTCATTAAATTATGGTAACTTTATTGAAAGAGGTTGCATGCTCAAAAATACAGAGTGGATAATAGGCTTGTGTATTTACAGTGGCATGAACTGTAAAATTATGTTGAATTGCTCTCAAGAAAGGACGAAGAGAAGTAGATTAGAATAGTATATGAGAATCTGTATCATTTCTATATCAATCAGTTTGGTATTGTTTTGTCTGATGTCCTCTATTTATGAATTCATATGGACAAACAATCATCTTAATTATACCTATTTGGGACTAATAAGAGATGACGTATTCATTGATTTTGGATTATGGTTTTCATTGCTTTCATACTTCATACCAATATCTCTGGTAGTAAATGTGGAATTAGTCAAGTTTGGTTAAGCGAAGATGTTGGAGTCAGACAAAGTAATGCCAAATTCAAAATCACATCAATCTAATTTGATTGAATAATTAGGAGAAATCAATATAGTTTTCACTGATAAAACAGGTACATTAACTAAAAATTCTATGCAATTTAGAGAACTATTTGCTTAAAATGAAAAAGAAGCCTTATTGTGCATGAGTTTATGTCATTCTGTTGTAAAATCAAAAAATAAATTGATAGGATCTTCACCTGATGAATTAGCAATATTAGAATATTGTGAATAAAGAGGGTATATATTTTAAGGCATCGATAATAATAATCATCTTACCATAAACAAAACTCAATTCCATAGAGTGATGAATTTTGATTTTAGCAGTGAAAAAAAGAGAATGACCATTGTAGTCAAAACAGGAAATGAATATGTGTTATTTTGCAAAGGTGCAGATGAAGTATTACTTGAATTAATAGGAGAATGCAAACATTAACAGGTAATTCATCAATTCGCAATTCAAGGATACAGAACATTAATGTTAGGCAGAAAGACATTCACTTAAACTCAAATGGACATATACTTGGCAGAGTATCATTCTTTATTAATTTTATAGATATAAAAAGGCATAAGAAGACAAAGATGAAGAGATGATGAATAATTTACAAAAGAAACTTGAATTGAATTTGGAATTTCTAGGAATTACAGCTGTTGAAGACTTGTTAGCAGATGATGTAGGATAAACTATTTCAGATTTAAAGTCAGCTGGAATCAAAGTTTGGGTTCTTACTGGGGATAAAGTTGAAACTGCTATTTCAATAGGATATTCATGCAATCTAATTGACAGCAAGGATATGCTCTAAGTAGTTACTGAAATTACAGTTGGAAGTATTGAGGAGGTGTTTTTGCACTATTGCAATGAATCAGCTAATATTGCATTGGTACTTAGTGGATAGGCATTGACAGTAATGTTGGATAATCCACAACTTAAATCAATGCTAATCAAGAGAGCTTTCTATGCTAAAGTAGTCATAGTGGCTAGAGTGTCTCCAAAACAAAAACAATAAGTTGTAGCTTTGGTTAAAGAGAATCTCCCCAAGGCTTATACTTTGGCTATAGGAGATGGAGCTAATGATGTTTCAATGATTAATGAGGTAATTTTGATCATTTATCTCAAAGGCTCATGTTGGTGTGGGAATTTAAGGAGTCGAAGGAACCCAAGCTGCAAGGGCTGCTGACTTTGCAATCCAAGAATTCAAGCATCTTAAGCGATTAATGTTTTATTATGGGGTTGAGTGTTCAAGAAGAAATGCACTTACCATTCTATACATTTTCTTTAAGAACTAGGTCTTCATCACTCCCTACTTTTGGTTTGGATTCCTCAATGGTTTCAGTGGGTAATACTTATACGATCAATGGCTATCTTCATTGTTTAACACTGTTTTTGCTGCTCTCCCTTAGGTGCTCTATGCTCTCTTTGATGAAATGCATCCCTCTTCAGAATATTTACAATGGAGTAAAACTTAGCATAATTTGCTGGAGGATAAACCAGATGTATATGTTTAATTTAGATAATAACCAATTTTTACAATTATTAAGTTCTGGCTCTGGGTTTTTAATGGAATGGTTCAAGGCTTGATCATATTTCTAGTCTGCACATTTTCGACAGAAAACTAAAACATGGATGATGGTATGACAATGGAATTTTTTGAAGATGGAGTATTTATATACGGAATAGTCATTATTCTTGTTAACCTTAAGATCTTCACTTTTACTTATACTAATTATAACTTCACCATATTTTTCATCGTACTATCAATTCTTGTTTATTGGCTAATATTGATTATGGTGAATGACCATGAATTGTCTCCATCATTTAACTTCTATAGATATCTAGCCTCGTATATATTTCATTCTATATTCTAGACCACAACTATATTTAGCACTAGCTTTAACTTTTATGCTATTTTTATTTGATCTGGCAATTGAGAGATTTTATGATTTTTAAATCTATGTTCGAAAACCGGAATCAATAGAATTAGTTTGATTTGTAAATTTTAAATTGTATATTTTAATATATTAAATAAGTATTTACTTAAAATCTGCAAGAAAGACTACCATAGGTATTTTTATCAGAAACAGCAAAAAATTTATTCGGCATAATAATTCTTAATATTCCTGACCGTTTTATACTCACATTTTCCAGAGTTTTGACTGCTGAAAGATCTGATGTTTATTTATAGATGTACATAATTATGCTTGTATAATTAATTTGCTCATCATAGATACCTCTACTCATATCTTTATCACTTTATGACTATTGTATTTTCTGTATTACTATATATTTTGATAACATACTTGTGTTTTGATGTTTCTTCCTATTTTTAAATAGATTCAATATCTTCTGAAATTAATATTTAGAACTAAAGTATTATAGTGTTTATCCAATTGAACCATAAAAAACTTTATGAAGCAAGAATAATTCATGACTTTCTGTAGACAGAGCCTTTTTTTGATTTTTTTATATTTATTATTATTAAGGAATATAGCATATGTATAAGATAATTCTTGAAGTTGAATAATGTAGTGATTCTCAATTTCTAATTCATCATCCATATTGTTCTGAACGATATTAGTTGAAGTTTTGATAAATATATATTTTTAACTTTATTATATTCCCTTAAATTATGCCAGAGTTCAGAAAATTTGTCATTGGAGATTTCAGTAGTGAGCCATTTCATTAGTTCTTCAAGTTAAGATTGATTAAAACTGGATAATATTTTGTGGATAATAGAAAGTATAATATTTTAATCATTTTTAAATTGATATCAAATTAATCACTATTTTTTAACCTCTATAATGGAGGAATTAAGATTTTTAAAAGTATCTTAATATCTCCAAATGAAAAAGTTACATTACAATTATCAAATTTTTATCGTTAACATCAATATGATACAATAAAAGTTGGTCATTGATATAATATAAATTATCTCGATGATCCTTTAGAATATAAATATTAACTCATTTTTTTTGTTTTTCCTAGGCTATAATCTCAATATTCTGCATTTCCGATGCATTTCGATCAATTTAAGATTGAAAAAGTTTATTTCTTCTCTGTATTATCGTACTATAATCTAGTTTTACTGAATGTTAAATAATACCTATGGAGCCCAAAATTGGTATTGAATTTGAGAATCTGCTTGCCTTTTTATGCTTTTTGAGTTCTTTGTCTCCATTTATTATCACAAAATAATAAGTTTTTTGCTCGTGTATATTGATAGTTGAGATTTGTTTTTCTTTTTTTAAGGAGCATCCCATTTGATTAAATATTAATTATATGATTGCTCATAATTAAATTGTTAGAAAAATCTTAAGAAAGATATTATATTGAATTATACCCCCATGTTACATTTATCAATATTAATCTCAGGGATGCTCAATCAGTCCTAATCTATGACCAACTAACATTTGAATGAGGATTTAAAAATGATAGATATAACTTATTTCTTAATAATTAAATCAATAACATTAATAATTGTGAGCATTCATAAATTAATTAATTTAAAAAAAAATGAATGTCGAAGAGGACGATCTCAATTTCTTGAAAGGTATTCATTCAATTACTAATTCCAGCTTAACCCTTGTGGACAGGATGTAGAAACACACCTTATATAATCCGAGCTGGAATCAATATAGATAAGTGCTTAATTTGTACTATTCATAAATAAGATATAGTCATAACAAATCTCAGATAATCATGGATTTGCAAGCTCAACAAAGATCGCATTTAAAAGGATAAGGAACTTTACAACAAATCAATATAAACTACGAATTTCTAAGGAGTGTTGGATTTATTAGAGTTGGCCCTCAAATTTGACCCTTAAGCAGAATACTCATTCAAGTTGAATGACTCTTCTTTGTATTATGGTTATAGTAATGTAATCAAGATCTACACTCTAACATGGGTGTTCGATTGCAAAGTCGTAGATGACCAATATCATAACAAAATTCTCATAAATGACATTATAAATCCTTTGTTATTGACCATTCATTCCTTAGAAAATAGATGCAACAATTATAAATCAGCATTTTCATAATTGGAGTAGGATTACATAAAGAGATTAAATGAAAAGGAAAGAGCTTAGTATAAAGTAAGGGATAAAGACGAAGACTTGAGTGTCTACATTTTAGATGATCAAATTGACCAGGAGAAGATATGTTAAATCAACTTTACTCCTATGGCAAATTATTTCATCTAATATTATGCAATTAATAAAGTGAATAAAACATTATAACAAATGAAAAAAAGACAACCATAACAGCAATAAAGTAAAAATGAAAATGTGTCTTCAAACATGAAAAAAAGTAAATTAAAGATTTCTACTATTTAGAAGAAAATATATGGTAAAGTTATGAAAATACATTATCTGACATGTTTGAAGGAAAGGGATAACAAATATTAGAAAATGATAAAAATGAACCAAAATAAGATCGGAGCAAAAACACCAAAAAAAAGGTTGGATTTTTATGATTATATGCTATTTATTATATCAATTGTTGGCTGTTAAGACATAACTTTAAGAGTTTGTTTAAAGGAATTTGTATTGATATTCTTCAATGCACTTTTGATTTTCGGTGTATTCGATTGTTTTTCCTATTTATAGAACTATTAAAATACCATTATAATCCATTTCATCAAAGAGAATGACTTTGGCTCCAGCTGGGACTTAAATTGATTTGATTTTGCTAGGATATTTAGCTAATTAGAAATTAGGTAAATCTTCACACATGTTAAATGATTTTCCTATTTAATTAATGGAATACAATGATTACCTGTATAATTGCATTCTGTATAAAGAGTAGCACAAGCATCTGGTTTTTCATAATAGAGTTTAAATCCTTTAAGTGCAAACGAAGCATTATCATTGCTTTTTCCAATAGTGGTAGATATAAGTAAATCCAAAGTGGGTGTTTCATGTCCAATAACAAAATCAACTATGGCATAATTTTCAAATCCATCTCCACCACAAATATCAGCAAGTCCAGGATCTCCAAATCCAAATGTTCTTTACCATACATTTAATCCATCAACTTTAACAAAATAATCTTCTCCATTCCAATTATCAATTTTCCAAGCTTCAAATGAAATTCTAATTCTTTTATGTGGAGGTAAATTGAATTTTCTAGTGATTTTAGCATCTTTTCCTGTCTTATCAAAACCACCAAAGAATTTGAATTCTCCGCATTATGATGTAAAATCAGGTCCATTTTTACCATCAGCTACTTTCCAATCTGCATTAGCTGTCCAACCTGCTCCTTAGAATTCTGATGTGAATTCAACCCAATCTCCTTTCAATACACAACCAGATCCATTTCCATCTTCTGGGTCCAATAATACGTAAGGAGAAACACAAGCTGTGCAATCTTCAACACTTGGTCCAGTACAAGTTGCACAATTGCTTGAACATTATGCAACATACAATTGGAATTATCTAATACCCCAAGATGCCTATTTTGATGACTTCTTGATTGTGGATGTCCATTTTACAAGGGCAGCACCATAATTATGTGGAGTTTCAAAGTTAACATTAATAACCTTTTCTGTTCCATCAACACCTCCTGGACTGATCTTATCACAAATGAAGTATTCCTTATCTTCTACTTAAGCTACATTTTATTTCCACTTCTCTTGATTATCAATAGACAAAACTGCATTATCATTATCCCAATTATCAATCTTCCAAAATTATGCTATCACCTTAATTCTATAATGTGGAACAAGTTTATCAAAGATTTTTTATATTGATACATTGTTACCAAAATTACCAGGACCACCAATAATTGGAATTCCTGCACAAGTACTTGATTTAATAGCTGTTTAAGATCCTTTTGCAATCCATCCATCAGCATCTACATTCTTTATCCAACTTGATGATACTGGTACCCACATTTAACAAACAATTGCATCTGGTCCAAGACATGTACCACATTCAGCTGGACATGGCAAATAAGATAATTTCAATTTTCTAATACCCCAAGACATCTAAAGATTTGTAATTATTATACTTTATCGGCAGCCTTATCAGCTGATGATGCAAATGCAATAAATAATGCTGCATGATTATGAGTAATTGTTTAATCAACTGAGAATGAATTCACATTACCACCTGCTGGAGTTGCACATCTCTTTGTTCCATCACTTCCAGTCCACATAGTTTCCCAAAGGTAATTATCCAAATAAAAGAACTATCTTTAAGTGTCCCAAGCATCAAATCTAAAATTAATGAATTGTTATACTTCCAGACTTCAACTTATACTTTAATCTAAAAATGTGGAGGTAATTAAAATTGTCTAGTCACTATGGCTCCTTTACCAAATGCTTTAGGTCCTCCCAATACAGCTGCATCTGAACAAGTAAAGAAATTATCAGCTTAAGCTTTTGCCAATTATCCTTGTATTGTCCAACCATCCAATTAACCTACGTCTGCATTTGAAAAAGCAGAGTAAAATTCTACGAATTCTTGTGATGTTGCTAACATCACTAACATCGCTAGTGCAATGAATTTCATTATATTATTATATTAAAAAACGTATAATATTTTTATATTAATTAACATCTACATTTATTAGCTCTATTATTAGATCTTCATTAAAGTATATTACCTTGTGAATCTATTCGTGTCTCTCCTATTTCTCGACTTCTGGTTTGATTAAGAATAAAAAACTGTTCATTTTTAGTGATCCAATTATACTACTTACAATTTTATAATTAATCTCAATACGAATTCTATGATTAACTTCATTTTTTTAATTCATTAGATTCTTTAAATAATAATTAATAATCTATGGTAATTCATCATACCCAAATAATATAGTTTACATTTTATATTGAAGAAAAATTTATGAGAAGTTAAGTATTAATAAAATGAAACTCATTTCCTAAAAATCTTTCTAATTGAATAATACTAATTTTTTAAGATTCCTTTCAATTCAGTTTTTTTCTCATTCATTNACATTTTATTTCCACTTCTCTTGATTATCAATAGACAAAACTGCATTATCATTATCCCAATTATCAATCTTCCAAAATTATGCTATCACCTTAATTCTATAATGTGGAACAAGTTTATCAAAGATTTTTTATATTGATACATTGTTACCAAAATTACCAGGACCACCAATAATTGGAATTCCTGCACAAGTACTTGATTTAATAGCTGTTTAAGATCCTTTTGCAATCCATCCATCAGCATCTACATTCTTTATCCAACTTGATGATACTGGTACCCACATTTAACAAACAATTGCATCTGGTCCAAGACATGTACCACATTCAGCTGGACATGGCAAATAAGATAATTTCAATTTTCTAATACCCCAAGACATCTAAAGATTTGTAATTATTATACTTTATCGGCAGCCTTATCAGCTGATGATGCAAATGCAATAAATAATGCTGCATGATTATGAGTAATTGTTTAATCAACTGAGAATGAATTCACATTACCACCTGCTGGAGTTGCACATCTCTTTGTTCCATCACTTCCAGTCCACATAGTTTCCCAAAGGTAATTATCCAAATAAAAGAACTATCTTTAAGTGTCCCAAGCATCAAATCTAAAATTAATGAATTGTTATACTTCCAGACTTCAACTTATACTTTAATCTAAAAATGTGGAGGTAATTAAAATTGTCTAGTCACTATGGCTCCTTTACCGAATGTCTTAGGCCCTCCAAATACAGCTGCATCTGAACAAGTAAAGAAATTATCCGCTTAAGCTTTTGCCAATTATCCCTGTATTGTCCAACCATCCAATTAACCTACGTCTGCATTTGAAAAAGCAGAGTAAAATTCTACGAATTCTTGTGATGTTGCTAACATCACTAACATCGCTAGTGCAATGAATTTCATTATATTATTATATTAAAAAACGTATAATATTTTTATATTAATTAACATCTACATTTATTAGCTCTATTATTAGATCTTCATTAAAGTATATTACCTTGTGAATCTATTCGTGTCTCTCCTATTTCTCGACTTCTGGTTTGATTAAGAATAAAAAACTGTTCATTTTTAGTGATCCAATTATACTACTTACAATTTTATAATTAATCTCAATACGAATTCTATGATTAACTTCATTTTTTTAATTCATTAGATTCTTTAAATAATAATTAATAATCTATGGTAATTCATCATACCCAAATAATATAGTTTACATTTTATATTGAAGAAAAATTTATGAGAAGTTAAGTATTAATAAAATGAAACTCATTTCCTAAAAATCTTTCTAATTGAATAATACTAATTTTTTAAGATTCCTTTCAATTCAGTTTTTTTCTCATTCATTGTTTCCAATCTTTTTGCGTTTTCTTTGGTTTCCTTGTGAATTTAGGATGTATTTTACTATTCTCTCTCAATCGATGAACTTATATTTGGCTAAGCATAAGATAGGTTTAAGGCTGGAAGTTATTTTAAAATATTGTAATTATTCCTAAGTTCAAATGAATTAGGATAAATTTATTAAAATTTTTACTTTTACAATTATTTTGTCGTTTAATTTATTTTAGGATTGATCAGATAGGCTTCATCCTTTTCTAAAATCGTTTTTATAGACATAGTATTCTGTTGAAGCTTCAAATTTTGTTTTAAATCTTATTGGTTTTATTTAATATAAATTTGTTCTGTCTAACCTTGCTTACTATTAGATTTTTAATTTTAATATGGATACTAATCATACTTGATTCTTTCCTAATATTACTTGAAAAGTTCTTATTTCTTAGTTACACCTTGGTTACTTAGCTAATAATCTCTTAAATAAAATGCATCCTCTTAGTCTGTTAGATCTTCTTCTAAAAGTAATTTTCTAGGGTCAAAATCATAAATTTCATCTCCATAATCGTATTTAACAGATTATCCCTTATTTCTAATAGAGTATATTTTAGAGTTTTTCTGTAGCACTTAAACCTAATTCAACTTAGATATTTTTTATTAATAATTAATTCTATGGTTTTGAGATTTTGTTTTATTGTCTACTGAATGTGTTATTTTAGGTTCTTATTTAATATCAAGAGCGTTTTGAACTTGCATTCGAGTTTAATTCATATCTTAAACATTTATTAGCTACTTTGAATAGAATTCTGGATCATGAACGCCTAAATACTAATAAAATGCTTATAATGAGTTTGAAACTGGAAATGCAATATCTGCTATTTTAATCAATGAATATAAAAACTCTTAAAAGCTTAATTAATGGATATTTGAGCATTTCTAAAAAATTTCCTCAAGGATTTTTTTTGAAATTAAGTAAGAACCTCCGATTCTATTTTTATATTTTATTTTATACAAAGGTTTTTAGACATTGTGACCAGCATATTATTATATAAATTCATTAGTCACTTATAAATCTAGTATTTGAAAATCTTTGCAAAAATTCATAAATTATTGTAAATTTAAAACTTATTTTTATAAAATTTAATCTTTTGTTTGTTATTTATTATGAGTTTAAAATTATTTAGTATAAAATAAAAAGATTTGATTTAAATTAGATTCTATCATCTAATTATATTATTTCTCATCTCTCCTGAATTTTTATATTTATTCTTGATTTATATTTTTATCTTAAGGAGTATCCTCTTAAAAAATGTGAGGAGTTTCACGCTTTATGATTGATACGGGTTTTTCTGATTATTAAAAACTCTTTTGAATATTTTTTTTATTTCTTTATTATTATTCATTTTTCAAATCATAATTTTATTTTGAATTCTATTCGATTGAGAGATTCATTGACACTTGTTTACTATCCTTAGTTTTGTAATTATTATTCATTTGGGCATCATTTTTGAGCTCTTTCTCATCATTTTTTTTCAGAATTTTCTTTCGATGTATCTAATCTTCAGCAATATTTGATTCATTTTCAATAAATATCTCTCCTTTTTAATGAAATTATTAAAGTGAGATTTATTATTATTCACCTTACAGGTTATCAATAATATTTTTTTTTTATTTTTCTTGTTAAAATAAATTACAGTCATCATCTTGATTCTCTTGACCTATCACACTCTATTAATGAGAAAAACCTTAAATAGAAGATGAATTTAAATTCTTTAATTGAGGCTTATTGATTTGTTAAATTTCATCTTACTCATTTTAAGATTTTAAACTTCTAAATTTTTCTTATGATCTTTATGGATTTTAATGTTCATAGTTGAGAATTTAAGGTTCTTCGATCAAATATTAGTTATCCATAGAAAATAAATATTTTTTATCAATTAAATATTATGAAATAATCAAAATATATTAACAATCATGAGATTTATCCATTTATTAATTGTTTATTTTTGATCAAAAATTAATGACAAAATATTAACTTGTATTTTTTTCGCCTGTAAAATTTGATTATATTGAATAACAAATAATGGTACTTTTGTTTTTTCAGACTTTAAATTTAAGATAAGCTATAAAAAATCAAAATTTTTTCCAAGAAGTAAAAATATCTAATATGGAAATACTGGATTATAATAGAACAGATCTAAACTATAATTGTATAAAGAATGATGATTTAAAATTGCAAATACATTAACTTGAATTTTATGATAACAACCTAATTATAAATATTAATAATAAAATAAATTATTAATTGTTCAAACAATCAATGATCTCAGTTCATTATTTAGTTATAAAGATGTGCTCTACTATTTTAAAGTGTCAAATAAAATATTCCTTATTTAATCTTAAGGGTCTTGGTTGAGCCAAAATGTGATTTCCTTATTAGATTAAGGATTTTAAATTAACTTTTGACAATAAGATTAGATGACTTCTTTCTATTTTTTAAAATAATATTCTGCAACTTTGATGATTATGTAAATACATTCTGATTCAATTATTTCCTAAAAATCTTCTTTCACCGACTCAAAATCGAATTCCTTAGATATGATTTATTTATATATCTTATCATAAAATTAATATGGTTTATTACCAATTACACACTACTTGATGAAAGATCGAATTAATTATTTCTCTATAGGAGTGAACCCATAAATTTCTTCATAAATAATAAAATGATATCGTAAATCTATTTTGATATTGATTATTTCAGGTATGAGTTTAATTTAATTTTTGATATAACTTTTCAAACCTTATTCATTATTTAAATAATATTCTTTCAGATCAATTTATTGTATTCTCTTTAGAAAATTTTGAATCTTTAATTATTAAAAGTTTAAATCCTTAAAATATTTGAATTCCGGAATAATATTATCCAATTCTAAAGTGTCCAATCTTTCTATAATTTAGTTTAGTCTTTCATTTTTATTGAAGATGCATTTTTTATCAAAAATGTGTTTATGTTAACTAATGACAAGAGCTTAAGCTAAATCTTCAAGTTCCTAGTCATCTCCCTATAAAAGATTGATTACATTAAATGGCTTTACAAATGTTTGAATATAATGAATTAATATTTTTTCTGAATTCAATAATTGGCTTTAGACTAACTTTTGAATCAACAACTTAGTGTTTTAGGATTGTTTTATTTACAGCAAAAAGAAAGCCTCTTAGGGATCTTTTAATAAAGTATCCAGAAATACAACATCAGTTATATTCTCAGTATAAAATTTTTTATATTCTTATTCAAACTTTGCTAAACTTATTGAATTTTCTAATGATGCTTCTATTAATTCCTTGGAAATTATTTCAATTTTTTATGGCATTAATTAGATTTATTTAGTTTGTTTTTGCTAAAACTTCAATAAAGTTTAAATTGTATCTACAGATGACGATTATTTCAAGACCTTCCAGTACTGTTCTCTTTTCTAGTTTTCATCTTTTGAGAATTATAATAGAATTATTGATACTTCAGATTAAATAATTTCATCTCCATTTTTAGAAAGATCTTCTAATATAAATTAAGCCTTTTGTGGTTTAATTGTAAAATTCTTTTACGCTAAATCTATCATAAATTTACAAAACTCTCTGTCATATATAATCAAATCGTTAGCTTTTGCTAATTTCTTTTTTAATCTTATGTATGGTAAATCTAAATTTTAGGTTCTTCGATAAATTTAAAATAAAATCTGATTGCATTTAAATTAATCTAAATCTTTATAATTTCCCACTTCTTTTGATTCTATAATGAATTTATATAGACTCATGGTTTTCTTTGTTTTTACTAGTTTTTCTTTTTTAATTTTTTGCACTTCGTTTGCAATTTCTAAAAACTTCTTTCTTTCATCTTCAATATAATCAATTTTCTTTTGAAGCTATAGATATCTAAACATAGCATCTGATATTGCCTCATCAAATTAATTGGTGCTTAAATTAAAGGATTGACAAAGAAGCTTAGCATCTCTGTATTTACCAAATTCAAGATTCTTTCTAAATATGGAGATTTCTATTTTTTTTTCATCCTTTATATAATTTTTAAATCCATATGAAAAACATTATTTTAATTCATTTTAATTTTATAAATTGAAGGTTTTATCTGAAATTTTAAATTACATTTATTTGACTCTATTAACATGATAATTTTCAAGTAATTACTCTATGCATTTCTAGCATTCATCTGAATTTAACATAATCTTATTTATGATTGTACTTAATTAATAAATGACATTAAAGTTTAAAATAATTTACGCTAGAATATTTGATTATTGCAATTATGAAATTAGATTTTACAATTAATCATATTCATCCTAATCAAATGAATTCCTGATAAATATGAAAGAATCTAACAATTACTGAAATTATTGATGATTATCTGACGTGAAGGTCAGAATTCTTTCAAATGCCAGATTCACTGGAATTAGATATTCTTTAGTACTTAGGTTAGGACAGTAGTCTAGAATGGATTAGAAAACCTAAACTGGATATTGAGTTTTTCTTAATTGATTCAGCATTTCATCAAACCAATTTAAATTATGTTATTTATAATATGAATTTAATTCTCCAAAAAGAGATTCTATTTTTGAACTATATGTGAAAAGAGTATATATTTTATCTTACTCTTGCATAAATTGCTTTAGTGTTAATCTTGACTATCCGCCTTTAACCAATAAATCATATAAGAAAAATGTAAAATCGTCCTATTGAAAAGGTAGATAATATATGCCATGACATTAAATTAAGAGTTGTGTTGCAATCTTTTAATAATTGGTTTAAATTTTTGGAACATTAGAACCACCAAGAAAGCTCAAATCATTAAGCTTATTTTATTTCGAAAGACTTCCTTGTTCAAGAGGTTCAAAATTTTGAAATAGAGCCCCATTTGGTAAGACTTCTTCAAGAAATTTTGGTTTATGCTTTAATATTAAATTCAAGAAGTGAATATAATTGTAAATGACGTGATTCTAAAACAATCTAATTATTTACTACAGATCGCAAGTTTCAGATTAAATACAATTAATAAAGGATAGATTGTCTAAGTTTTCAGTCTCATAACATTGTAATAAGTTTAATTTTCCTTTTAATTTAGCTGACTTTTTCATTCCAACTAATACATTGAAGATTTCGATTAATTGAATTTTGTTGATGCTTTTTTATTTCCATAATTTTTTCACAGTTTCTTTAATAAACTTTTAATCATTAATTTTAACTAAGTATTCTGGTATCTTTTCAGGTGGTATTTAATTATCTTCTAACATCATTTTCAACTTTAAAGACTTGGTTATGATTTACACTTTAAGCAAGACTCCTGTGATTTTAATAGTAAAATCTATGGTGTTTTTTACTTGTTGCTCATCTATTGAAATGTCTCTTAATATAAATATTTCAGATCCATCCAAGTAACACTGTCCATGTAATGCTTCTTCATATTCAACGCCGTGTTAATTAATCATTTGTAATTTTTCATTATTTAATAGAAGGAAATAGCCATTAATATAAGATAACTATCCTTCTAGATAAAGCACATCATTGTAGAATGGTACCTGTTTATTTTGGTGGATCAAAATATTTAAACATTTTTCCTTATTTATTTATTGTAAACAATAGGTTTCCTCTGATAATTTGATGCATCTTATTTTAGAGTATTTAATCAAAGGTTCAATTTTGATTCCTAATGGTATTAGCTGATTCTGATTAATCGCACAATTCATCTCTTCTATATAATATGAATTTTGAGTAATCAATCTATTTGGCTAACCATTTAATGTTCCTTCATGATAGTTGATATAATTTTCTTCATTTAGTTAAATTCTATGAGAAACATTTTTTCTAATTCTAAAAGTATTGAAGTTCTCTGATACCACTCTAATGATGTCTAATGAATTTCTTAGAACAATGTGACATCCTCTTTTGTAAAATGAACAATCTTCAATCTCTTCATCAAAACACGTAATGTCCTAAATCCAAGTTTTTCCAATTACTCTCCCATTTCTAAATGAAACAGATTTGTCTCTATAGATATCCAATTTAGGATTGATATTCTTAAAGAATAATCCCTTATATTATTAAATGCTCTTTTTAAATGTTCTATTGTATTCTTACTTGTGATAATGAAATTGCATTTTTATTTATGTAATATTTATGATAAAATAAGTCATAATAATATAATGCTTAGTGTCTCGATTTTTACTCTAAGATTCTAAGTACTATTCTATCTTTATTGCTGATATCTTGACATAATGAAATCATCATTATTTGTCATATATAACCAGAAAATCCTGTTGTACTTTAAAATGTTGAAAAAACAAAAGATAAATTCAAGGATGAAGGAAAAGCAATGCCCTCAATATTTTAAGATAATGAATAAAATAAAATTAGGAATCAATATAACAATTAATTTTTTATCTAAATTATTTAACATCGTTAATGAAGAAGCTAAGTCAGTAGATGCAAAAAATTGCTGGTCGAAATAGTTTTTAAGAGTCCCCACAAAGACAAGAAAAGAAAAATAATAAGCCGAGTGTTGGAACAGTAAAAACAGAAAGGCCTGTTGAAAAAGGAAAAGCAAAATTACTTGATTATTTTAAGAGGGAACGAAATTCCTTAGCTTAAGCTGTTAATACAATGAGAGCCAAATTAAAAGGTAGCAAAAGTATTGATAATGTGTTTCTGCAAACATTAAAAAGTGATAGAGTTAAAACTTCATAACCCAATGTAATATTGTGATTATTACAATGCTATAGATTGCAGAATTACGAGTTCATACTGACGAGGGTAGTAATTCCAAAAGGGCAACTTTGAAAAGCAAGAATCTGTCACTAGCAGCAGTCTCCCTAGAGGTAATCATCGAATGAATATTATTTAGAAGAAGGAATTCTTTAAGCATCCTTTAACAACTAAAACATCACACAATTAAACACCTACAGGCTAAAGCAAACCATAATTAAAAAAACAGAAATAGAAAGACTAATACTTATTCGATATGGTACAATACTTAATATATTAAAGTTGAAAAATGCTTAGATGATATAAAACTAATACCAAAAATACTTTAATTAAAAATTAAATAAACAATCTATTATTTCAGATACATCCACTAATCAAAGATAATCTATCGAGGATATCCTGATTTATTAAAAAGGCCACAAAGGTCCTTCATAAATTGTTTAATAAAAACCTATAAAAAAAACAGATAATGAATCAAAATCTTTGAATTAAGGACATTCAAAAACTGAGCAAACCCCTTAGCCAAAACAAATAACAAAAACAAAAACTGATGAAATATTAGATTACGATCCTAAGCAGAAACTTTAAATAATTTTATTCTACAAAAACTCAAAGTATCGAGTTAACTTATTTTAATAGATACTATTACTTATTTGATTTCGCTAATTAATCAACGTGCAACCTATATAATTATTTACTCTAATAAGTAGCTAGCATTGAAAAAAGCAACGCCCAATAAAATGGATAGATTGAGGATGACTAAATTCAAGCTGGTAGTATTTCCTTAATACTTTAGAGATCAAAACCATTTGTTAATTTTGCACAATACAAAAAAAAGTTCCCTTTGATTATTACTTATCACTTCCTGATTTGAGTTTGTCAGTATTTTAGGGGATCACACTCTCTTTAGAACCTATGTATTCTTAGCCTTAAACTACAAAGAAGGTTGGGTTAAAAGATTTTCAATTAATAAAATGCATAGGAGTTGGAGGATTTTCAAGAGTGTACTTAGTTAGAAAGAAAGACACTGGAATATTCTATGCTTTGAAATTGATTGATAAGAAATTTATAATAGACAATAAGAAAGAAATTATAGTATAAAATGAGAGGGATATCATGGTTAAGATGGAAAATCAATATGTTATACCTTTACACTATGCCTTCGAATCAAAGTTTTACATAGCATTTGTCTTAGAATATTGTGCAGGAGGTGAGTTATTTTATCATTTAAGAAAACTGAAAAAGCTAAATGAATAAGATGCTAAATATTACTTTGTTGAAATCTGCATAGGAATGGCTTATTTGCATTCTCAAAATATTGTTTATAGAGATATAAAGCCAGAAAATATTTTATTAGATTTATAAGGTCATTTAATGCTAAGTGACTTTGGACTCTCTAAACCAGATATGGCAGCAGAAGATTTCGCTTATTCATTTTGTGGCTCTCCTGAATATATGGCTCCTGAAATGCTCATGAAGACAGGTCACAATTATTTGGTTGATTGCTATTGTTTAGGAGCATTACTATATGAACTAGTTTCAGGCTTGCCTCCCTTTTATTCTCATAATACTCAGGAAATTTACAGTTCAATCTTAACAGAAAATGTTTAATTTCCTGATTACGTTTAAATTTCAAATTAACTAAAAGATTTGATTATTTCTCTTCTTTAAAAGGATCCGACAGAAAGATTAGGATAAAAAGAAGGCGTTATTGAAATACTAACTCACCCTTGGTTTAGTGATGTAGACTTTGAGAAAATTGTGAATCGACAATTACCAACTCCTTATAAACCAGAACCTTTAAAATATAATTTTGATGAAGAGGAGTTCAATAAAGGGGATGCTGAATTCAGGAAATAATTCACACTCAATATGTTGAATGAATTTCAGGTAATCATATTGTAAATTTGTATTAGAATGTTGACACAGCAAAGTATCATCTATCAAACTTTTACTATTAAAAGGTTAAGCAGGATGAATATAAAAATAGAACAAGCAGAGTGAATATCAATAAGTTGTGCTCTGAATTCTTATAAAAAGAACCACTTTCTCCATCAAAATAAATTTTAAATAAAGGAAAAGTAAGAAAAAATACGATATTTTTTTAGCATTCTCCTTATGAAAGTAAAAAGTCGTTAAAATCAAATACAAAAAGTGAATGTAATGATTATTTCAAGAAGCATAATCTTTTGACTAAGCCTTCTTAAATAATGCAAGAATCTCTAAAATTTGGTCATGCTTATTCAAAAACACAATAACAATCTCAAATTTCGAATTAAGAATTAAAAGTATCTTAAGTCTAAATATTTTAAGAAATTGAAACTTATGTTTGATTAATCAAAACAATTATTAAGTTCAGACAGATTAACTACAATCCCAGATTAAAATTAAAAGAATTAAATTGAAAGAATTAAGACAGAACAATTTGGAAATTTGCCATCTCCAAAAACAACCACTCATAGTACTTTGAACAAATTAACTAAATATCAAAAGTTATTTGGATCAGAAAAGAGGAAAAAATGACATCAATTTAATATCTTAATTTAAATTGTGTTTATGAAATACAATATTTTCTAGGATGTACTATTATTATGCAATTTAATGTATTGATGATGAAATCACTTCTTCTTTTATTCGATTTTCTTAATGTAAAATTCTAATTCCTTTCCTTCCAAGATATAGCCATCGGCTCTTCCTGATTATCCTGGTCTTGATGTAATTCTGACTAACAATCTTTGATTGGCAAATTATTCTTAGACGAATTGATCAATAACATTTTCCTTAGCTCTTTTCTCTTACTTTGAACTTAATTTCTTAGGTTATTCTCCAGTTGTTTCCTATGAGTATGATGATTTAATTTACCTTCTTCTTCTTTGATCCCAATTCAACATTGTATTTCTTGGCATACCATTATTTGAATGGAGTAGCATCTACTTAGACAATGACACCTCTGGTCAAAGTTTTGGTTCTGACCAATTCATTATTGGATGGATGATAAACCACCTCAACAATTTTAGCTTTTTTAGCAACACCTTGGCTTCCCCAAGAGAAATTGCCTTCTGATAAACGGAGTGCTCTGAATTTGAAATTTCCTCCTCTCACTCTTAATCTTCTGACTCTCTTTTCTCCTGATACTAATTTAGTCATTGCAGCTTATCTTCCTTTCTCAAAAGCTCTTTTCTTCTTATGGATTGGCATACGACCTCCAGTAAGTCTTCTTTTGTGTCTGCTATCTCTTGAAATTCCCATAATTTATGCTTGCTTAAATAAAAAAAGATTTTATTTAATTTTAAAATGTGCTTATATCAATCTTAATATATTCCTATGTTTCAGCATTCTGAACTACTATTTGATGCTTGAGTTTTATATAACTCATAACCTTATAATCAAGTAACAAGGAATTCGAAAATGGAATCAAAATTCCGCAAATATTTATAAGTGATCTTTAATTGTATAATTTTATATAGAAAGGAAAAATAAATAACATCCAAAACATAAAAATATATTGTATTTGTAAAATATTACTAATTTTAAACAATCAATTTAGAAAAATTAACATAACAATAGAGTTTTATTACTCAATAACTAATAAATAGTAAATCAATTATATATATTATATAAATATTTATTAAAAATCAATTAGTATATGGGTTCCTAACCTTAGAAGTCTAGAAATTAAATTGAAAATAGGTACCAACAGCCAAGAATGCAGACAAGCTAAATTCCATAGCATATACAAATGTAATATCCTTAACCTAGTTAATAAATGAATATGCCGATGCTATATTCTTAAACATTCTAATACAATCATTCTTCAACATTCATATACAACCAATCAATGGTACAATAATAACCTCCATAATCACAAGTAATTGCAATTTATTCATTTTATAGAGATCACAAAATGTAAATACTCAACCTCGTGTTATCAAAAATGAATTTTGTATAGAAAAGCTGAAACTTGTTGGAAATGACAATTTAAAAGTTGAATTCACTTTGTTTGCATTAAGTCCTTGCAAAATTTAAGTATCTCTCCAAAATAATTTAGCTATATGTGTAATGTCTAGAGATTTGTCATCCTGTGAATAAAATGTTTCAAGAAATTAGAGATAAGCTATTATATGATGAATTTTTAATTAATGAACCTTAAACTATGAATGTTCTAAAAACTAGTAAAATAACGATACCTAAGAGTTCTTTATAACAGAAAAAATCGATTAATGGCTAAGCTTATTAGAAGCTTTTACTAATGATTTAAAACAAGACAATGATTATGGCATACTATTACGATTACGAAAATGATCAATTAAAATTAGTCAAATAAAAGTTTTAAAATTCTGATTATGGGGCATTCGAGGTTGAAGAAATTTACGGAATTAATGATTCTAATCTGATTAGATCAATGAAGCATGATTAGGATAATGGAGAGTGCATTATTTGTTTAAGTGAGAAAATCAATACGATCATTATGCCCTGTAGACACATGTGTTTATGCGGTAATTGTGCAAAATAAATCATGGATAAAAAAGAACAATTAAGACATGAACCAGCAGAAAGATAACAGCATGCTCCTGATTACAATCTCTGTCCTCAATGTAGAATGGGTAATACTTTCTTCTTATTTTAGAAATTGATTCCTTCATTAAATTACAAAAAATTTCTTGATTAAATATCATATCCTTATTTATAAAAGGAATAGTCATTAAGAAAAATAATTTTGATATATTCTCGATAAGAATTTTAATTCTTAAATTATAGATTCCAATAGAAGTTCTATAATATTATGTACCATATTTCGCCTTTACTCTAATCATCTTCTTCAATAGAACTTGGTTATTGTTGCAATTCCAATTGAATTAAGAAATCATCCTTAGATTCAATTTATTAAGAATATATTATTATTTATATAATAATGAATTAATTGAGAAATTAAAGAGGAACAGACACAGATGAAGTATACATTGATCCAGAAAGAGGAATAGCAATTAATGCAAGGTAGATGACAACGGAATAGCATTTCAAATATTACAAATCATCTTTTAGTACATTAAGACCTGATTTGACTGAATATGAATATGAAGCATTTGCTAAGAGATTAAGAGTTGGTATTACAAATATTTAGCGATAGGCGAATCCTTTTTAAATCATATGAGGGTATTCCTTAATCATGAATCAGGTAGAGTTACCAATCTCTATCCTGTTGGTGCAAGATTTGATAAGATGTTTGTATTATGTTCTCTCAATTTTAGAACTATTAAAATCAATATTTCCATCTTAGACCACCTTTCATTCTTGGACATAGATCGAATGCAAATAGAAATTGGGCAGATGCTTCTAAAGTTGTGAATTATGTCGAGAAGCAATTACTCAAAATAACAAAATATGGTAATTTTATATATAAATTTCATCAGGATTGGATTATCCAAATTATTATGCTCCAAAAACTGAGAATGAACTCAAATAAAGAGAAGATGAAATATATGAACGCTTCATTAGAGAAATGAGAAAACCCCCAGTTGTTGCAGCTTAATGAATTATAAGTATAAATCATATCAAGATAAATTTATAATTATTATTTCCATACTCTTCTCAAAATTATTGAGCACTCTAAACAAATAGATTGATTGCAATAAAATGTGCTTATGTAATTATCTGTGCATCTGAAGATATTCTTTTTAATTAAAATTCAATTAAAAATAAATTATGAAATAATTCATTATCATTGTTATTTATATTATTAATATCTTAAACCTTTTAATTCATATGAGTCAACCATTATCTCATTAATAATACCGAGAATTGAATTCCAGCACCTAAAGCTCCGAAGGTGAAGATTATGTTCCAAAAAGAGTTGTTTCTAAATCAAATACTAGGAAAATCCACAAAATACCTATCGAACAATAGAAACAGCTATTTAGATAGGTATTCTAAGAAGGAAAATAGATAAAGGAGGTAATTTATATCAATATTACTTTTAGGTTGCCAAAACCTTAGATCTCAATTATTCTAGTGCTAAATCTCTCATTCATTATTACAAAAACAACAAACGTTCTGTTCCAGTTGCTATTCTTGATGTACTCAATACAAAAAAAACAACTGGATATAAGGTTTCTAAAACAATACCCTAAAATAATAAGAATCTAAAAATAGAAGTAAGGGAAAATAATGAACTCATTCATTCTTATTGCTTCTATGAACACTTAGCATCCATCAATTGATTTAATTATATATAACCTCATTGATTTCAAGAACTTTTAGAAGTTATTTTTTTTTGTTTTTAATAACTAAATTTCAAGGATAGTTTTATTAATAACTTATAAAATCATCATAATCATTTCGTTATCTTCTAGTTCGTGACTCATAAAATTTTCTGATAATCCATTGAAATGTCCATGTCTGATAGAAATGTTGATCTTAATTATCTTAATTAAATCTAGCATAACAAATTTAATTTGAATATTTTTAATTCTTTATTTATCGAAATATTTATATTAAAAAGAATTATTAAATTTGATTATTTATGTATATAATTGCTTAACACAAACATTCAATTTTACAATGTAGAAGGCAACATATAAATTAATTTACTAGCCCTAGTAGTTGTATTTGCAAAAGTTTTTAGTGTATCCTTTATATTTTTCTATGAGTTATATATATATCTTACTTCTGAAACATTTTGGAATTTATAATATTGCTTTATCTCTTAATAATTTGCTCCACTCTCCCCCTTAGTTCTCAAGAATTCAATTAAATTTATCTTTAAAGTTTATTTATTTTGAAATTCTACTGGGGGTTTCTCCTTAACTGGCTATGGTTATTGAATATCTAAATCGATATTATTCTAATACCTTTATGAGACAAGTTTAGTCTATCATAAACTTAATATTCCCAATATTCCTTCTCACTTTCACTTTTTTCAATTTCATGACTGCTGGAGAAATTTGAGTTATCACTAAAAAAAAGTTAGAAGTGTTATTTACTAATCTCTAGCATCTTTTTGATCTTTTTCAATTTTTGCTTTTGCTTTATAAGGCAAAACACCTATATTTTAAACATCTCTTTAATCATTATAAGGAGGTGATGGTATTAATAAGTTGCATTTATTCATTGGTTATTTTAATTCGCTTATATTCATTCTAAATGATTATTTTTCATCTTCTAAAATTAAGAAATATTCATTGTTTTTTATTTCTAAACTAGCCTTTAATTTTTCTTAATATTTATCCTATTTTTCTAACTTTTTTGTCCACTTCAAGAATTGAAGTCTCCATTCAGATGGCAATTCAATTTCAGCCAAACAGGTTTCTTAATCAAAAAATGACTTATTTTAGTTTTACATATAAATAAATAATAGATGAGAATATATACACTTATTTTAATTTGCTTAATAAATATAGGATATTCTCTATCTATTTAGATCAATAATAATCCAACTTGCTTTTATGTAAAATCTAACGAAAACCATTGTTAATTGATAGTGAATTTTCAAGTTTCAGGAATGGATGAGGATAAAACAGAAATAATCATAAAATCTGAAAATGCTGATTAATTGCTGCAAAAAACGAATGGAAAAGAAGGATCTTTAAAACAAACATTAAATGAATTAGGAACATATTTTATTTGTTTTAGAAGTCTGAATAGAAGTTATAAAACAGTCAGCTTTGATTTTGATCTAGATGGAGATGATAAAGAGTATGCTTAATCTGAACAATTTAATTAAATGTCTAAAGAATTATCTAGAACTAATAGAAACTTTTAATCAATCTATAGAAATCAAAATTGGATAACTGATAGAGAAAACTCTCATAAGATTAGTAAAATTTTAATAATATTTTTAATTAGTTTTAGAAAACACTTAAAATTCGATTTATTTGTGTGGGATCGCAAAAATAGGAGTATTAATATTGATTACAGTAATGTAAACTATTTTTGTGTACAAATTTTTCAAAGGAATAGACGTTAGTTCACATTCTAGTTGTTGAAATTATTAAATATTAATATTAATATTATTTGTTCGTTTGTCGTGAATTTAATTAATACTGCTTCTCAAATTATCGATGAGATTGAGATTTATATAATATTAAATAAAACTAATTAAGTTGCTAGTTCATAAATTAATATTATAATGTTTTCATAAAAATGAGTCTATAAAATACTCATAATCCAATGGATTGAGTGCTGTGCTATTGTAATCCACATATGGGTTTGGAGAACCAATTTTTGATTCTTAAAAACAATCTTCCTTTTTGTCTATAAATTTGTTTGTAATAGGTTCACTTTTATCTTACATTTATAGATTCAATTCTTACTCTCTTGCCTCAGTTCTTCATTTATTGCATGCAACATTTATCCAACTTATTTGAATTTGACTTCTATATCAACACTCTAGTTATAAACAAACTATGGTGTCTTATTTAATAAATACATGATTAAGATTTTGCATTTAATCAATTAAATATGAAGATGTTTCTTATAATAATTTCATATCCTCTTTTAGTTTATTGTTCGTTTCTTTGATGTCAATGGCACACTCCTTAAATAAATTCTATTCCTCCTTGATATGGATGACTATTTAATATATTACAGAAATACTTGGCTCTTCTTAGACTAGAGGGTTAGAACCAACTGCTGATTCATCCTAATTCTTTCTTTTTATAAACTATAACATTGATCTAAGTTTAAATTTTTAAAATTACTTCATGCCTTTGCGGAAACATTTATGTTTGAATATTTAACCTTCATTTGATTTCACTTTTTTAAAATTATATAAATTCAATTATCTACAATCATATTCTACTTTCTATACCTTACAAAGCTGGAATAATTGCTATGCTTAAAGAAATTCTATAAGACTTCTTTTTCCAATAACACTTAATTGTACACTATAAATGCAGTTCCTTAGGAAGTCCAACTAATTACATTTGTACTCTTTTGATCCTTTAAATTAGGCAATTGATTTCATACCTCCAACATTTGATAGGTTTTGAGAATGAAGGTGGGGATAGATGTCTTTGTATTATTCATTTTGATCTATATTATATATTTTATTATCAAATTTTATAATTCTTATAAAATGAAATTAAATATTAATTTGTTAAATCAAATTCATTATGAGCATCAACTCATATATTCTTTTAATAACAATCGTAATTTCGATTAATCTCAAACCCTGATTAAATTCTTACTAGTTTAAAAGATTTTCAGAAATAATTATGCCTTTATCGGATTTCTCGGAAGTGTGCTATTTAATTACTATTCTTCGAATTAATTAAAATATCTGAACTGCTGGGACTATAACTTAATTTTAAAACAGAATTAAGTGATATCATTCAAATATTTTAGATGTAGATTGAAATGAAATTTTAAATTCTAACTTTAAGGAAAACATTTAATCATATTTAAATAGCTTACTATTTCTTTTTCATTTTTCCAGTTGGTTTTTAAAGATTAATAATTTAGCCAACATATTTCTGTTGTTGTATCTAAGATAGAATTTATCACTTCTTCCTATTCTTTATTAATTCCAAACATTTGCATAAATTATTCTATTATTTCTTTTCTTTCTAAAATTTCTCTAGACTCTCTTAACTGTTCGCAACTTTCAAACTATTTTTTTCTTAATTCATAAATTGATATTTTTTTTAATAATTACTATACCGTATAATTAATAAATTGAATTAATCCATTTTGATATGTGTCTTAATTACTTAAAAATTTATTCAAATTGTAGTATAAAGTTAAATCTTCATACTTCGATTATGATTATAAAAATGAATAGTAATCATCTTTTTCAATTATTTAATTTAGTTATGAAAACAATTTTTTTTTTTTTTCCTCCTAATAATTTATAAAAAGGTTATTAAATAAAAATTTATAAATTGCTGATTAAGCAAAATTTTTAATTAAGTTTTTTTATTTCTCATGGATTTCCTTTTTAAATTGTTCTTTAAATTATTGGATTGGAACAAAATATTAAATTAAACTGCTTACAAATTTTCCGTGGTATAATCTTAAATAAAAATAATTATTCTCCTCTAAATATCCTTATATACATCCATTTATGTCATCAAAGTCTTAAATTATGTTGTTGAAATTAAGTGTATCAAAAAAATTCCCTAATCCATTTTACCCTTCATCGTTTAATTATATCTTGTCAATGTTTTATAATTTAGGCGATATAAATTCCTTATAAATTACTTCAGGTTCAATTTTTTTGTCCTTAAACAAACAAAATACATTCAGCAATTAAAATTTTGAATTTTTAAAAGCTTCATTGTATATTGAATCTGTATATTTTTTATTTTACTTCATATAAACTTATTCACAAACCTCAAATATTTCCTAAGCCATTTCTTATTGCCATAATTAATTATTATTGTATTTTATTAAGTATTTCAATGTACTCTAAATTAAAAAAATATATGCGTCTTCATTATATAATTGATGGTTTTTGGTTATTAAGAAGGACATTTTCTTCTTGAATAGTTCACAATTTAATAATTCATCATTTTTTTCTTACTTTTTTAATAATGGAAGTATACAATTTGGCCTGTCTCTTGTGTAAAGTTGCATTCCTAATTCTATTGTTGATAAATCTATTATTTTTTCCACTTGCGAGATAGATATAACTTTAACGCTAAAATCAGGTGTATTAAGAAACTTAACTTTTAGCCCATATCCCACTATGGGAAATAGAGCAATTTTTTCAATATCATTTTTACATTAGTTTAAGTCTCTTCTAAAATCAGGGTTTTATAATTAATCGACCCAATTCTCAAACGTAATGCAGGATGGCTCTTAGGTAGAGTTATTTAGATTTATTTCAATAAAATTATTATCCATATATTACAACATTCTTTTTGAAATTTAAAAATTGCTTCTAATAGAATTATCCTTTCTATTAATTTAGACAAAATAATTTCTTTTCCCCTCCAAACAATTTTTTGTTTTTATGAGTTGTTTTGAGCAAATTATCTCAGATTCTTAAATGATTCAACTAGGATGTTCTGTGTGTAATTAATTTTAAAAGAGATTTAATAAACAATAGTTTAGGAAAAATATTAAAACTAGTAAAAATTGAGGTCTTATCAATAAACCAAGACTTGAGAATCATTATTCAATTAGAATTGTGTTAATTAGAATTTAATTAAATCATCAAATAAGCACAAAATTTTGGCATGATATTTTCAATAATCTATATTAGATTCATAATTTTGAGGACACCAATGAAAGCCTTGAGTTAGTACATGAGATTTTGGTTCATATGGTTCTGGTGTAGCTTTAGGTTAAGTTTCTTATTGCTATTGTTACTCTTTTATTTCCTCAGAGCTGTCAAAATCACTCAGATTGATTTCTTATAATTCATATTTAGGGGCCATCTATTCTAGGAATTGATTAAGTTTGATGAGGAGCAAATTTTTGAGTTTTTTATCATCCAGTTGTATTTTAGGCTTTTTTCTAGTACTATTTTAATAAGCTTCATATTCTTGAATAAATGAAAGGACATTTTAAAGGTTTTCTACAGGTTCCCAAGTATTTTCTTCATCGGGATAGCCTTCCCATTTGATACAATATTATAATTCATTAGTTTCAGGATCATATCTCTTACCAACGACTTTTTCAACATTAAAAAATTAATACTCTGGTTTAGACTTTTTTTAGTGTTTCATTTATAATTAATTAAAAGGGATATAAGAGTTAAATAAATTCCTTTTTAAAGGGAAGTTATGAAAATAGGCAGGGCAGTATTATTTAAACATATAGTTTTTGTTAGCTTAGGATATAGGAAGATGAAGTTGAACTAGAAGGATTTAAATAGATTTGGATGATATGAGGATGAGTGGATTGGGTAATAATTTAAAAATAAATTAAAGATTTTAATTATTATTTGAAATGACTAAAAAGACTAAGAAGGTTGGAATTACAGGAAAATATGGCACAAGATATGGTGCATCTTTGAGAAAGATTATTAAGAAGTTCGAAATTTCATAGCACTAAAGATATTTCAATACATTTACTGGAGCCGTACAGATTTCATCTAATAATTTAGCATTCACTCAAGAGATAAGCTATTGGTATTTGGAGATGCACATAGACTGGTTTATAAATTGCTGGTGGTGCTTGGGAAGTCAAGTAATATTAATAACAATCGTAGTACTCCTGCTGGATTATCTGCAAAATAAGGCATGTTGAGAATCAAGAAGTTGAAGGAGGATGCTGAAGTTGAAGTCAAAGATGAGAAGAAGGAACAAAAGAAGCAATAACCCAAGGAATAATAAAAGGAATAACCCAAGGAGAAGGAAACTAAGAAACCACAACCAAAAAAATAATAAGCAAAGAAACAATGAGTATATTAATACAATAAATAATAATTTAAAATAATATGAATAAATTAGTATCTACATTTGTTAAGACTATGCAGTCTCATGCTCCTCTTTACTCATATCATTTTCCAAATGGATCTGTTTATAATAATGTATTTAATTAACTTTAAATTAAGCCAGCTGTAACAGCTAAGAGAATAATCAAAGTGGTTGGAGAAAGATTAAGAAAAATCGATCCTGAAAGAGTATATAATGAAATCATTAATCATTTTAGTGGGAATCAACTCCAATCACATTTAATACTAATTGGAATGATGCAGCTGGATACGTTGATGTAGCTACATGTATTCATATTCATGATGCCCTTGAAAAAGAATTTGGAATTGAAATCAAGGACAGAGCCTTCTTGGTTTCAAGTATTGAAACAGCATTCTATATCGTAAACATTCATCACGATAGTCATTGAAGCAATATCAAATAAAATATATTAAAAACAAAATTATATTTAAGTCACAACATTTTGAAAATATTCCTCCTTCATTTCTTTAAATACTACATTTCTCATCCTAATTATATATCAATTAATCCAAGATTTCAAAAATAATGTTATGTTACCATATTTTGAAATTTGCTTATACTTGGTTGATATAAACTTATTATTGGGGTAGAGATCATCAAATTTATTTATATTTCTTGGTTTATATTAAGGTCATATAATAATTTATGATTTTATTAAATAAAATTATGATGGATGAAAATGATGAAATAAGAAATTATGAATAACAATTAATTGAATAGCAATAGTTTTAAGAATAAAGAAAAGGAGTTGCACATTAAAAATAAAAAGAAGATGAAGAATAGACATAATTAATTCGTAAAAATAAGGAGAAGAATATCTCTATAAATATAGAAGAGTGAAGCAACAAAATAAAATCTACAACATTAGAATTGGTCTCATTTGAATCATTAAAAACTATTAATTGAGGAAAAAGTAAAATCTTATGTTATTAAATTAGAAACATGAAACATTAAAGATAGAGAACGATATTATCAATAATGCAATAAATTGGTAATCTATAGAAGGGGAGTTGAGAAATAGAAAAGAGAAATGCAATATAATATAATTAATTGTTGAATAATAAATGAAGGAATTGCAACAACAAAAAAAAGAGAAAGACTAAGAATTCAAATAATTAATATGCAAGGGATATTTAGAAATATAATTATAAATCATATCATCTTCCAAAAACTTTCTATTATATTAGGGATTGCCAGGAAGATAAAATGCTTTGTAAGATATCTATTGACAAAAAGGTTTTTAATCCAAAGCTGAATTGTAAGTAAAGGAAAGGTGAAATAAAGAAGATAATGAATACTTAACAAAAAGATAGCTATAGTAAAAGTAGAAGGAAATGTACCAAAAGGGATTGCCCAACTAGATCTAGGAAACAATGAATAAAGAAATATAAATATAATATAAAGAATAATAAAGATTACTAACACTACTAGCTCAAAAAAAATTGACCAATTAAGGAACAGAGATTCACTTTAGTATATAGTCAAAATTATTAATTATAGGGTTTATCTTAGAGTTATAGTTATGGAATCATGAATACTGAAATTTCTTAATCGAATATCTATTATCAATTAACAAATCCAATACCTAGTTAGATTCAAAATCTATAATTAGATGAATTTAACAAATTTAATAAATTTGTATAACTATATATATCTTATATATAATTACAATTATTATATTAGTAGTATTGCCTTTAGACTCCTTTCAATTAGCTAATAGAATAACTTTTAAATAATATCTTACTTTTGTTAAATTCTGATGATTCATGGAGTATAAATACTCTTTATTTATATAAAATAATAATATTTATATATATTTCTTATGAACAATGAAAAAAGTTCTTCGTTATGCCCTAGCGATAGTATCGAAGACTAATATAAATCTGGAGAGGTGAAGGTTGTTGATAAAATCCAACATCGATCAGAACCAATATTTCCAGGGAATTAAAAAGAATAACCTTAATTTTCAAGCTAGTAGGTCAATAGAAAGGAGGTAACATTGAATGTACAATTTAATCAAAATTCCTAATAATTTAACGAATTAGAGGCTAAACTAAACAATTGCAAATATTAATACGATTAGTTTGTATATTAAGTAAATAAGAATTAATGATTATAGATAGTCTCAAATGTTTATTCTAATCTTGATGGAATCACAACGATTAAAGATTATAAGCTTGCTATTTTTCCTTCTCCTAACGATGTTCCTATACCAGAATAAGTTGAATAACAAAATGAGCTTAATAAAGAAAAATTATACAATTTTTATGATAAAGTAAAAGTTTAATAGAATTAGTTGAACCAATCTAAGAATTAGAATGGAACTTTTAAACTCCCCATTTAAACTCTCTTATTTAAAAAATTATCAGATCTCTTTCCCAAAAATTCTATTGATGAGAATTCTTGCATCACATTAATCGTTGATGTAACACTTAGTTGATAAAATGATTTTTCATTATAAAAGTTCATAAATTCATTTAATTATTATTTGTTATTAAATTATATAAATGTAATAACGAGATTAAGTGGAAGTAAGTGAGAATAACAAATAAATTAGGACAAAAAGCCATTAATGGAGGGAATATTGGATATATTTGTTAGAAAATCAGCTATAAACAATACTACATAGTAAGTCATATCAATCACAGAACCGATTAGTAACAGAGGACCTAGTATTGAAGAATAGCAGAACTAGATCTAGGAAAATTAATTCAAATATATATTAGTATTGTCGATTCATTTTGGTGTTGCATTATTAATAATTGGATTATTAATTCATTTTAATTTAAGCGAATAGATCTTGTAAATACCATTTATTATTTGGGTTGTGCTTTTGATGCTTTACATCTTATCATTGGCATTAGCATAATTTAGTGATTCATAATCCTTAAAGTAACCTAAAAACGTATTTTTGTTTGTAATTTTTAATAATTTAATAAATAGGGAGTAAATTCTATTGTTAGATTATTCTGGTTTGTATATGCAGTCATTTTATATCCAGAATTGAATTTGGGTATTTTTATTGCCGTAATCTTCATCAATTTAATAATCATTTTAATCTGTTTCCATTTTGATAAGGAGGATGGAATTAAAAACTGCTTCCTCGTTTCTGATTAACCATGGAGGTACTTACTTTCAAATTAAATTATTTACTAGAATATCATTTGTTCTTTTATTTGAAATATTATTCGTGGGTTTATATTTGAATATCTAGGATATGATGACAGCAATTATTTGGTAGATTTTAATTTAATTTTAAGGATTTTAATATTGTTTTTTATTTATTCCTTCACATTGTTGAATGTGTAATTGGTGGAATTTAGAAAACATCTAGGTAAGAATGGAAATCTATACTTTTTATCCTAATTGTATTTTGATGGTGACATTATATTCCCTTGTTATTTCTTAGAGCATCAGTTGGCTTGTACAAGCGAAAGAAGTATTTTAAAATGATTATAATACAATAATTCAATAAATAATTAATTATTAAATTTATTACAGTTGAAATATAAATGAAGTTATTGATTTTAATTGAGCAAACTATCTTCAAATGATGTCCTTAAATTTCTAAATTTTTATGAAGTATTAATAGATGTATAAATAAGTGATATTAACCTTGATTTTATCAACCAATTTTCTTAATATTTTTATGTCATTAAATGCAACTGAAATAACATTTTTATAAAGAAAGATTACTATCTTGAATGAAAACTTCCATGAATTTGTTAAAATCATATTTTTTAAACTAATAGTAAATTCTTTGATATGTTATTCACTCGTATTCTAACTGTTCCCTAAATTAATTTAAATGTTTTTCATGTCAATTTCATTTAATTTTTTAATTAAAATTTTATAAATTTTAAAATCATTAGAAAAGGTTATTTAATTTTCTAATTATTGCAAGGTAATGGAAACTTCTTTTAACCATAGGTTGATTTGGATTTCTAAATGAATATATTGATACTTCATGTGTTTTATTTAAGTATTGATTAGATACAAGAAAAAAAAATGCCACATTTCTATATCAATATCTGCATTCACTTTCTAAGCCAAGTTTAACTTTATACTGAAAGTATATATCGGTCTTCAAAAAATCCAACAACTACAAAGCAAAGGCAGTTAACATTGATAAAGATGCAGCTAATCTACTTCAGGTAGGGAATGAATAGTTTTATTCAACTCTTATCAAATATAACTACCCTACGGTTTGTCTGGCGGAGAATAGTTGCAGTGAATGAGTCTTTTGGATTTAAAGTCACACCAAAAATTTTTATTTAATCGAATGTTAAATTTTTCACTAGATTGATAATATTAATATTTGGAGGAGTTATGAATTTATTTATTTTATTATATGAACGTAAATGTAATATATTAATTTAAATCAAGCATAAGGATTAACCCCTTAGTTTGGTCTGCTGGATCTAAACATTGCTCTTATTTGGGCAGAATATTTTCTGTAGAAAAAGCAAATACCAATAATAAAGGCAAGTTCCACAAAAATATAGGTATTCAAAACCACATCTGATAAATTCGTATAATGCAAATAATTTTATGATGCTTTAGGATCTTTAATGAAAATTTGATATTCTTACAAATCAAAATAAAACTCTTTATTTCTCATAAAAGGTTATCCTAAAAGAATGATTTTTTTGAATTTATTTTCATAATTTCTTGCAAAACCTTCAAAAGGCAAGCAATAATAATCATCCTAAAAATTAATCAAATAATCTTTGGCACTCAATTTATACTAATAGCCATTTGTAAAATTGAAATTAAACTCAGGAAATGTTTCATAAAAATTGGAGATGTCCCCATAATGAGGCCTATTATAAAAATAACATTAGTATCCATATATCTCATACTTTTAGGGACATCCTCTAGGATCTTTTTAGCATTTAGAAAATGATTTTATAAAAGATTAAAAAGTTTCAGAATCCATATTAATTAATGTGCTTCCTGTATCTACAATAATCTCATAGTCCTCAGGTTGATCTGGTTAAAAAACTATGTTATTATTATCATCCTTAAATTATTTATAAATTTACCGAGACAGTTTCTAAATCTACTTAAAAATAGGAGGAAGAATAAGAAAAAGGAATACCAATCTCATTATAATTTGGATAATCTTGACCGACAGTTAGCTTGCCATTTTCATTTGTTAATAATATTGAAAATATCTAGTGATCGCTTTAAAATTAAAATTCTTTATANATGGAAACTTCTTTTAACCATAGGTTGATTTGGATTTCTAAATGAATATATTGATACTTCATGTGTTTTATTTAAGTATTGATTAGATACAAGAAAAAAAAATGCCACATTTCTATATCAATATCTGCATTCACTTTCTAAGCCAAGTTTAACTTTATACTGAAAGTATATATCGGTCTTCAAAAAATCCAACAACTACAAAGCAAAGGCAGTTAACATTGATAAAGATGCAGCTAATCTACTTCAGGTAGGGAATGAATAGTTTTATTCAACTCTTATCAAATATAACTACCCTACGGTTTGTCTGGCGGAGAATAGTTGCAGTGAATGAGTCTTTTGGATTTAAAGTCACACCAAAAATTTTTATTTAATCGAATGTTAAATTTTTCACTAGATTGATAATATTAATATTTGGAGGAGTTATGAATTTATTTATTTTATTATATGAACGTAAATGTAATATATTAATTTAAATCAAGCATAAGGATTAACCCCTTAGTTTGGTCTGCTGGATCTAAACATTGCTCTTATTTGGGCAGAATATTTTCTGTAGAAAAAGCAAATACCAATAATAAAGGCAAGTTCCACAAAAATATAGGTATTCAAAACCACATCTGATAAATTCGTATAATGCAAATAATTTTATGATGCTTTAGGATCTTTAATGAAAATTTGATATTCTTACAAATCAAAATAAAACTCTTTATTTCTCATAAAAGGTTATCCTAAAAGAATGATTTTTTTGAATTTATTTTCATAATTTCTTGCAAAACCTTCAAAAGGCAAGCAATAATAATCATCCTAAAAATTAATCAAATAATCTTTGGCACTCAATTTATACTAATAGCCATTTGTAAAATTGAAATTAAACTCAGGAAATGTTTCATAAAAATTGGAGATGTCCCCATAATGAGGCCTATTATAAAAATAACATTAGTATCCATATATCTCATACTTTTAGGGACATCCTCTAGGATCTTTTTAGCATTTAGAAAATGATTTTATAAAAGATTAAAAAGTTTCAGAATCCATATTAATTAATGTGCTTCCTGTATCTACAATAATCTCATAGTCCTCAGGTTGATCTGGTTAAAAAACTATGTTATTATTATCATCCTTAAATTATTTATAAATTTACCGAGACAGTTTCTAAATCTACTTAAAAATAGGAGGAAGAATAAGAAAAAGGAATACCAATCTCATTATAATTTGGATAATCTTGACCGACAGTTAGCTTGCCATTTTCATTTGTTAATAATATTGAAAATATCTAGTGATCGCTTTAAAATTAAAATTCTTTATATAAGGCTTAAATAAAATAGCTTTATCTTCCCAATCCTAAAATTTAGGATGATTCTTGTGAAATGCATTCAAAGTTTAACTTTATCTTGTTTTTTTCAATCTTCATTAGATCATATGCTGAAATTGCACTAGACAATTCTCCATCATAAGTGACAAATTAATTCAAACAATCTGAGTCCCTATCCTAATCGCACTTATGCAAAGTATTTGAATTCTATATTATTTTAGGATTATTACAGTATTGCAAATAAATGAAGTCATTGGAGCGCCAGTGTCAGCAACAAAATTAGTTTTCTTTGATGGAGTACCGATTTCTAATTCTATGAGATACTCTGACTTATAAACATCTCTTTTGAGATCAAATATTAATTAAGAACTTACAATAGAAAATAATAAAATAATCATTGAATATGTGGATTAATCAATTATTAATTTGCTTTCCTCTATTTAAACTTAAGTAGAATGTAATAAATGATGAATGTAGATATGAGCAATGAAATGCCTATGTAAAATTTTGAGATTTCCTTTTCTATATACAATGATATTGTTGGAGCATCAAGACTAGTTTCTTCGGAGCAATTTTGATAATTGACAATTAATTTCTCTTTTCCAAAAATAAACTCTTTATTTCTCATAAATGGTTAACCCAGAATGATTTTGGATGCTATTTAGAATAATTTATAAAGTTACTTCCTCCTCTTACAGGAAAACAATAAGTCTTGTTATCATGTGTAACTAAATAATCTTGTGGAAACCAAAAAAATTTTGAGGATACATAAAAATAAAAGCGAATGTTAGGAAACTTTTGATAAAATTTTTCTACATTATCATAGTCATTATCATAACATATCAGTCCTTCTGAGTCATTTCTTTTTGGACAGAAAACTCCTTAACATTATATTTGTTATATTAATGGCAAATACATATAAGAAGGAAGTTCAACATATGTGTTTGTGAAATCCACTACTACTTCAATTAAACTCTATGGATATATGAATAATTATTTTATTTCTAAACCGATGAATTTTAATCTATTCTTTTAACAATTAGATTCCATAAAACAATCTAATTAGACATAATCAATTTTAATATGTTGCTCATCCTTTTCAAAATTACCAATTTTCATGTAACCTCCATTTTGAGCCAAACATAATTTAAGTTACTAATCGCTATTAGGATTTTGTACTATTTAACCAAGACCTAAATAATTATTAATTTCTTAATAGTAATTGTAGTATTATCCACAATAATTATTGACTGTAAAATCTCCCAACTACATTTTACAAGTATCTTGACAAATGTAATTTGCACTATCAGCTTGGTTTATCATTTTTTCACTTAAAGGGAGAGAACGAATCTATATAAATCTTTATGCAAAGAAAAATTATGATTTTGAATTGTTGCTATCTAGACATTCTCTGTCTTCTATAGCACCATCAAAAGCCTAATCTAAAATCCAATTTTTATTGTTCAATTCTACATAATAATAATATTAAGAGAAGTTTCCATATATTGGCATTGAACTTCCTATCTATACTAATAGTAAAACCAGCATGTATTATTGAATTATAATTAATATAATAAAACAACTTTTAAATGAAGAAAAATATAATTTGTGAATTAATATATATCATAACTTTTCATTTGAAATAGTCTCCTAAATTATAAATTATGTATTAATTTAGAAAATGTGATTCCAAGATGGCAATATGTGCTTTCCTTCCTAAAAAAGTATCAAAATCTCTATGAATAATATTATGACTTATACCCATCGTAGAACTTATAATCAATGCTAATTCTTAAGACTTCATTTTGATGCAATTGTCTTAAGATATTAGTTGCCATTTCATTATGCTTTTATTCATTCTCAATTCCTGAGACTTTCATTAATAAACTGCTTTCACTATTCACATAATGATCCTATTGAGATCCAAATAAAATAATATGCTTAAATTTATTCATACCAGGAAATAAAGATAGTTTTAACAATGTATCATCATAACAATTTAATTGAGATAAACTTTGAGATTTCTTTAGTTTCTAAAAAAACCACATTCCAAATTTTATTAAAGGCCTTTAATTAGTAACATTACCCAAATGAGGTGTTCCTAATGTTAAGAAAGTATGAAACTCAAAATCCAAATATGGTAATGCTGCTCTTACAATTAAACCTCCTAACGAATGTCCAATAAATGAAATAACTAATTTATCAGTATAAGACCATGTTGCAATGTAGTTTTTAATTTCGTCACTAAGATATTTCCCCATTTGTAATATATCTCCTTCTGTGTTTTATTGATTGCACAATGAGACCAATAACATATGCTAAGGAAATCTTAAACACATATAATTCTCCAATAATCTCATATCATAAGAATGGCCTTAATAACCATGAACCAGAACAATGAGATGCAATTTTGATCTAGATAATTAAAACGTTTATCTTGTAACATAATGTTTTTCAACTATCATTAACTTATCCTTGATTTCATCTATAATTTTTAAATCAACTATTTTAGATGGACCTTGGAGTAACAATTTTTGATACTCCAACCTCTTACTTTATAAATCTGCCTACTCTTGACTTTATTTCTATTATTAAGGAATCATAGTATATTGATGATCTACGACAGGAATTACTTCTTTCTGTGTAAATGCGGAGTATCTACTTTAGAAATTCGCTAATGACTCCTTCTTCAATTACCTGAGTAATTTTTAATGGCCTAACTTTAATCCAATAATTATTTTATGCCACAATTAGTTTATTGTACTTTATAGCACTTTGAATTCATTTGCCATAACTTTACTAATCAATTATGTGTTTTATTCATTTTTTAATAATGAATCCGCGCTAGATAATGGCAGAACCTAAAAACTTTTCGTTTGTCGAAGATGATATTGCATATTTCCGCTGCTACTTGATCTTTCCATTTCTAACTCCATATTATAATAGAATGTCTGCATGTTTCGATATGATGTTTTAAGAGGTTCCAAAACTTTGTTATATAGTTGTCTCATATTTATCTGTTAATGTTGATCAAGTGCCATCTTATCCTCACTTTATACTTACTATAGTTAAATATCAAAGCTAGTCAATGAACAAAGTACCTAATCTTTTAGCTATTCAATTATACCATAAGATTCAATAAACTAAAGTGATCCTCCCCTAGTATCACTGGAACATATTCATATATCCCATTCGATGAGTTTTCAATTTTAAACTTTGCCATCGATATACTTTAAAATGAGACAATTTTTTATGCTAAATCATAATACATTAATTCAATCTCCATAAAACAAGGTTGCTCCTTTAAATTATGTGGAATTGCACCGCTGAATCTACACCCATTTTTTATATCAAATTTTTCCTTTTCCAATTTAAATAATTTATTACTTCCTCTGTCCATTATCTCAATAAGAAAGCATCACTCATATAAAAATTATCTATTATATGTTATGGCAAATATTGTTATTCGTTTCTCTTGAATAGCAAAGTTTCTTTCGGAGTGAGAGGAATCTTCAAATTTTGGGACTGCAATACTCAAAATCACTTACACTCTATATATATAAGTTAATCCTTATTTGATACATTCCCTCATCCAATAAAAAGATCCCAATAGTTTTAAGCGAATCCACAAAAACGATAAATTCAATTATTGCCTTAGCTTTCATTTTTATTATTTAATTTGTTATCTTACTCACATATTCTTAAATTAGTAATACGAAAATACAATAAATATAAATATAAATCTATCTTATCTACAGTTTTAAGAGAACATTTAAATTATAAGTTTAAGGACTTATTTTGCTATTAAATTAATGAGTATCAATGATTTATTATATTTTCTACTATCAATTCAAAAACAATCTTATTTTATTATAAAAATTACTATGTTGCTTAAATATCCCTTTATAGTTTCAAGAATGTTAAAATGATATTCAGATTAAGGCGATGAGTTGAATTCAAAATGAATCTACTATTTTGTTCATAAAAATCAACCATTAGTTTAAAATCTCAAATTTAAGCATATTTAATTGTCAAAAGCTATTGGTATTTTAAGGATAGTTGTAGGAAATAAAGGTTAGATTAATAAATACTCAAAAATTTAACAATTAAAGTTAAATTTTGGCTAGCCCATAAAATTTAGATTAAATAAAAAAGTATCTGGCAATTATTTATTAAGATTTACAGTCTCTGAGTTGAATTTATTAAAATAGAAACCTTTAATCTTTAAATTTATTTACAACAATGTACAATTGATTATATAATCTGATAGAATCAGATATTCATTACACTCTTAAAAGCTTTAATCCTTTAGTAAATGTTCTTAAAATTCAACTTAAAGGAATATCGAATTTTATGACAGGAATTCAAAGTCTATATAGAATAACATATTTAGAAAATTAGCTTGAATAATATCAGTTTATGTTTTCCCTAAACAGGATTAGTGATTATAATCATAAAACCTAAGTTCATGGTCGAAAGGGAACTAACACTGTTAGTGCTCTTAATCCAGATCCATTTAAGGGAAAAGGAAAATGAATGGGTTTTGATTTTTTAGATTTATTATTATGATTAATATCTTTTATTTATGAGTAGGAAAGGTAGGCGAAGAGGCAATTCAAATCATGTAAACTAATAAGAAAAATCAATATTTTTAATTGACAATATTTCAAAGAAAATGAATTTTTATATAACAATAACACAAGATCTTATGATCCAAAAAGTTATTTGTTAACTATCAGCAAAATTAAGATAAAAATTCTAAATGAAGATTTGTATAATTAGATAAAGATTTCTATCCATTAAATTTTAATAATAATCATTATAAGATAACTGAATTAATACTAAAAAATTTGAATGAATCTTAAATAAAAAAGTCTAATGCCTAAAATTGAATAAATCTTTACACATTTTGTGAAAAGATTTTCATTAAAACAAATCCTATCAATTTTTACAAAACTTTATAATACTATTTCTTAATTATCAAACATATTTCTAATCTTCCACTGAAAAATACAAAATTATATTAAGACTTAGGACAAGTTAAAGGTATATATTTTTAATTTTTAGCTACTGAAAGAAACTGAAAAAAGATGATATTGATTTCTGATTTATAAATAACATAATTAATAATATGAAATTAGGAACACTTTTGAGGCTCTTCAATTAATAAGATGAATAGTAAGTTGGATTTATATCACAAGAGCAGGTTGATAAAATTTTAAATAATATTTATGAATGCAATAAGGAATGTAAATAATTGCAATTACCTTAGATTAAATTTACTTCGATAATCTCTTGCTCAAAGGTGCTAAAGAGTTTACAATTGAAGATATTATTATGATAATAACAGAAATAGATTATTATGAAGAACTTAGACAATCTGTGATGCAACAATAACAAGAATAAAGTTTAAATTAAATCTAAAGTGAAATGCTGATAGCTTAAATAGAAGGGAGTTAAAGAGATAGAAGAAGAGTTGATTACTTGAATAATCCTTACATTAATAATTTGATTACTATGCTTAAAGATTATTATAAAATTTGTTGTAAGAGTGGAGATGTTAAAGAAATGCATAGAATAGAAAACAGAATATAGGAAATAAAGGTAAAGTAGCAAAAGCGATGGAAAAACTACATTACCTAATTGCAAAAATATTAAGAAACTTTGATTTAAAAAACAGCTTTTGAACATTAATATCATTAATAAAAAAAATGGAATGAATTTGTTATTGATTTTCAGAATAGTAGATTTTATAAATTTAATATGCTTCTAGTAAGAATTTATATATGTTAAAAGGAACAACAAAAAAAAACCATTTAGGAGATGAGCAAATAATTTTAAGAAGAGCTTTAACCAAAAGTTTTTAAAGTCTCTAAAAAAGTTCTCGATATGAGGTCAAAACAAAAATAACTTTTAAAGTTAAAGGAATTTTCTTAAGCTGAGAAAGTGAAGGAAGAAGCAGATATGCTCGAATACCTTGAAAAGAAATAGCAAGAAATGATTGTAATAATAACTTAATTTTGATAGTTAAAATCTAAAGTGAAGAGGAAGTTAAAAGTTTTAAAAAAAAGATAATCATGTCAGATATCAGCATTTATGTAAAAAGTAGCAAGTGAATAAGCTTCTCATCTTTTGCAAAAATAAGCTAATGAGAATAGATGGGTTAATATTAATAAGCATTGCGTATAAGATATTAATGAAAGATTTAACAAGGATAGAATCATAACTTTAGCTTCAAGAAGATCCTTTGATGCTTGCAGACTTAGAACAAAAAGTGCTAATCCATAAGCTGCTAGAACTAACATATCTCATCAACTGACTTCACAATTTGAATGAAAATAATCCATTATATTTACTTATTATTTTCTTACGAAATCATGATAGAATTTTATTATAATCAAGCTTCAAGTAAATTACAAATATAACTAAAATGAATTAAAAATTCCCTTTTATCATTTAGTTTATCTTTAAACTCTTATTCTTGATACTTTTAGTTATTTCATAATGCAAACTTCTCTAGCTGTTTAAGATTTGATTTGTCTGATGATTAAAGAATCAAACACAATTCCTTTGCACAATATCTTAGTTCCTATTCATTGTATACTGTTATATTTTACATCTCTTCATTCCAAGATTAAGGAGTCTTTCTATGAACATATAGACCTGATACCTTATTTATGGACTAGATAAATAGCAGTACAATTTAATAATGATGGTTTGTAATTCATACATTTGATGTCTACTATCGATAGTTCTAATAAGTATTGAGCTAGAAATAAATTTCTGTATCTAATCCAGCAACTCTCCGAAATCTCTACAGAAAGCAATAAATCGATGGTTAAGTAATTGAAAAATCTAAAGCCTGTAAAATTTGACCTTCCATATCCAAAACATCAGATTTAGTATAAGCAATATCGGTAATATAAACAAAGTCTTTTAAATCTGGAGGATAAATTTCTTCATATTTACACGCTAAAAATAACGAAGCATAGCCTACTAATTACAATTGCTATCTAGTTGTTTTTTAAATATTCACAAATCTATCGATTAAATGTAATGTAATATAGAAGGTTTCATCCCTTAATTTAAAGTTAAGGTGAACATCTACTAACCAATCAGCTAAAATAGATCTCATTCTTGCATTTAAGTCTGGTTATTGTTATTCATTCATATAATTATTGCTAACTAAGAATTTATATTCTTAACTTAATAAATATTAAAAAAATTATTAATTGTATACTGGTGTAAATTATGGATCCTTTATTATTGACGTCATTAACTAATATTAGGCTCTTCTTCTATCTAATTTTCTTTTCCTTCATCCATAAATTAAGTCTTAAATATGTTGGTTTATTTCTGTCAATATTTTCCTTTTAAAATTCACCTGAAGAATTGACTTATTCTTACTAAAGAACCTATACTATTCTTGAATCATATTAATTATAAGTTAAAAATTATAAATCAAATGTTATTTTTCCAAATAGTCTAATTATACTCTATAATTTAAATTTCATTTTTTAATATCTTACAAATTTAGTGGCCATTTTGACTAGTAGTTTCCAAGAAATGTCTCTCAATAATTTCATATAAGAAAATTTATCGAATGAATTTTTCATTAAAAAGATTATATCATGACTATCAAGTTTTGAATCTACTCTAGAAATATAATTCAAATTTCAACTAAATCTCTTTTACCTTTTTATCCAATAAATATTCAATACAGAGTTTGGATATGGAAATATTTTAATCTGAAATTTATATTAGTTTTGCAACTTATTTTTAATAACTTATTATGGCAAAATAAGGTTCCATAAATTTATATTTAATGTTTGAAAACCAAAATCAGTTTAAATTAGAGAAATCCATCATTTCATATAATTGCAAGTTACTTCCTATATTATAACTATGATTGTAAGTTGATTTAATAAAAATTAGACATCCTTTTTAAATGAACTATGTCATCAATATTAAATATTTAGATTAAAATATTAATATAATTATTTTATATAATCTTAAAATAGAATATATCATTTTATAATGGATTCAAATAGTTTTTTTGATAAATTCATCTAAGAACCCACTATAGCTAAATCATATAAAATTTGATTTCTAAACTCAGTTGCCCTCTGCTGATTATAGGAATATTTGAAGTCTTTTTGGTATGTATATAACAATGATAATAAAATAAAGATACCACAATCATAACTAATATAGAAAATAAACATTTACCCATTTTATTATTTATTCCACTTTTCTTAAAATATAAAACTATCACGGTTAAAATTTAAGCTTTTTAATATTATATAAATGCCTTCTTTTACATCATCCTCTACGCTTTCATAGTAGGAATCAAAATAATAAATTATTTTTTTTCTTAAGTCAACTACTACGCTTATCCAATGTGCTTGACTAAGATTGATTGGAAAATATAAGTAATCCTAATTTTTTAAATCTTCTTGAGAGTTTAGTCCATTCATTTACGCTACTTAATTTAGTAAATCATATAATTTATTAATTTAAAACTTCTCCTTTTTTTTTGGTTCCTCATAAGTAATGCTGGTAATTTTAAATACAAACTTTTTTTATGTGGTTTGTACGGGCATAGGATTCTATGACTAGTATTAGGTTGGAGGCTATTGAGAGATCTCATTTTTTATGGAAGTGTATCCAGAAGTAGTTTCAAGAATATCCTTATTTTCTAATTATTAGTTCTTATTATCTTTTGCTTCTTAAGTTTATTCAACATTTTACACTGAAATGTTAATGTCTTATACTTATAAATGTTCATTCTTAATTGATACATTACTTTAGTCAGCGTTTCTTTCTGAATTGTTATTTTAATATTATTATTAGTTTTCATTTATTTATTAAAGATGAATATCTTAATTTTTATTTTATTAATATTATTAGTTTGTATTTATTTATAACAGAAGACTTTCTGAATTGTTATTTTCATTTGTTGATTAAAGAGGAATTTCTGAATTGTTATTTTATTATTATAATTATTATTATTATTATTATTATTATTATTTGATTTCGCTTGTTTATTAAATAAAAATTTCAGAAGTTTTATTTTATTATTATTATTAGATTTCACTTTATTATTAAAGAACAATTTTATCATGCTTTATTGTTTAATTTGTGGATTAACCATGGATTTCTGAATTGTATTTTTAATATTTTTATAAGGGTTCCTTATTTTTTTGAAATTGAATTTCTGATTTGTACTATTTTTATTATTATTAGTTTTCATTCATATTTGTTTCAGATGATTATTTAATATTTCCTTCTGATTCAGTATTATTCTATTATTAGTATGAGTTTTCATTTTTAATTGTTTCTTATGTGTATTCAAGATTTCCTTCTGAATTATTATTCACTTATTATTATTAGTTTTCATTCTTAATTGGATCTTTTGTTTATCCAATATTTCCTTCTGTATTATCATTCACTTATTATTATTAGTCTTCATTCTTAATTGGTTCTTTTGTTTATCCAATATTTCCTTCTGAATTATCATTCCCTTATTATTATTAGTTTTCATTCTTATTTGTTTCAGATGTTTATTCAAGATTTCCTTCTGAATTATTATTCACTTATTATTATTAGTCTTCATTCTTAATTGGTTCTTTTGTTTATCCAATATTTCCTTCTGAATTATCATTCACTTATTATTATTAGTTTTCATTCTTATTTGTTTCAGATGTTTATTCAAGATTTCCTTCTGATTCATTATTATTCTATTATTAGTATGAGTTTTCATTTTTAATTGTTTCTTTTGTTTATTCAAGATTTCCTTCTGAATTATTATTCACTTATTATTATTAGTCTTCATTCTTATTTGTTTCAGATGTTTATCCAATATTTCCTTCTGAATTATCATTCCCTTATTATTATTAGTTTTCATTCTTATTTGTTTCAAATGTTTATTCAAGATTTCCTTCTGAATTATTATTCACTTATTATTATTAGTCTTCATTCTTAATTGGTTCTTTTGTTTATCCAATATTTCCTTCTGAATTATCATTCACTTATTATTATTAGTTTTCATTCTTATTTGTTTCAAATGTTTATTCAAGATTTCCTTCTGAATTATTATTCACTTATTATTATTAGTCTTCATTCTTAATTGGTTCTTTTGTTTATCCAATATTTCCTTCTGAATTATCATTCACTTATTATTATTAGTTTTCATTCTTATTTGTTTCAAATGTTTATTCAAGATTTCCTTCTGAATTATTATTCACTTATTATTATTAGTCTTCATTCTTAATTGGTTCTTTTGTTTATCCAATATTTCCTTCTGAATTATCATTCACTTATTATTATTAGTTTTCATTCTTATTTGTTCCAAATGTTTATTCAAGATTTCCTTCTGAATTATTATTCACTTATTATTATTAGTCTTCATTCTTAATTGGTTCTTTTGTTTATCCAATATTTCCTTCTGAATTATCATTCACTTATTATTATTAGTTTTCATTCTTATTTGTTCCAAATGTTTATTCAAGATTTCCTTCTGAATTATTATTCACTTATTATTATTAGTCTTCATTCTTAATTGGTTCTTTTGTTTATCCAATATTTCCTTCTGAATTATCATTCACTTATTATTATTAGTTTTCATTCTTATTTGTTTCAGATGATTATTTAATATTTCCTTCTGATTCAGTATTATTCTATTATTAGTATGAGTTTTCATTTTTAATTGTTTCTTTTGTTTATTCAAGATTTCCTTCTGAATTATTATTCACTTATTATTATTAGTCTTCATTCTTATTTGTTTCAGATGTTTATTCAAGATTTCCTTCTGATTCATTATTATTCTATTATTAGTATGAGTTTTCATTTTTAATTGTTTCTTTTGTTTATTCAAGATTTCCTTCTGTATTATCATTCACTTATTATTATTAGTTTTCATTCTTATTTGTTTCAGATGTTTATCCAATATTTCCTTCTGAATTATCATTCACTTATTATTATTAGTTTTCATTCTTATTTGTTTTAGATGTTTATTCAAGATTTCCTTCTGAATCATTATTAGTTTATTGCTAGTCTTAGGTTTTATTCTTATTTTTTTCTTTTGTTTATTCAAGATGTCTTTCTGAATTATCATTCACTTATTATTATTAGTCTTCACTCATTATTTTTTTTTTGTTTTGGACCAACTCATTTTAATTATTGGATCTTATTTAGTAATCTTATTATGCATTTTAATCATATTGATTCTAAATTATTTAGGTATTAATAGGATTTATTCTAAAATGCATATCTTCTGCTTATTAAGTCCAAAATTCTTAAAAAAAATGGCAAGATGCTGCTGCCAACTAAAAAATAAAAGTAAATTTTACTTTAACATCTTTATAGACATCCTTAAATAAATTCATATAAAACTGTATTTGTTGGCTCTCCAAAAATTCTTGTTATATGATCACCTTCGCAAATTTATAGTCAACTGTCACTCCATAATTTCTTTGATTAAAATCCCTACCCTTTTATGAGAATTAGTAATTCTCTATATATTCTAATTTTCTTTATTTTATAATTTCTTTCCAATTATAAGGTTCGACTTCACGTTCTTCATCTTATTATTGACTATCTTCCTAAGTTTTTGAGCTCATATTATCTTAGAGAGTGAAAGAATATTTATCTTATTTTAATTTCTATTAATTTAGATATTTCTAATTAGCTTTATAATAGTAAATATATAAAAATCTGAGTGCATAAAATCAAAGTAAGGCATTTTTATTAATAAGTTAGTGTACATACGAAATTTATTGATAAAATTTCCAACTTTCATTATATTAGTTAATCAATCAAAATTATTATCAATTTATATGCCTTAATCATATAGTTTTAACTAAATCCTTATTAATAGTTAAAAACTTGGCTTCTTTTTCATAATTCCTGTGTTAAATTAAATAGAACTTTTTTTATGTATCTTTTTTCTAAAATTACAATATAATTTTTTACTTTTTTTTCATTTATAATTCTATTAAACTAAATAATAGTTTTAGCTCTTTCGCCAGCAATTTTAGTTATATTAACTTAATTGCTTGAAGGAATAATTAATAATGCGAAAACTTAGTTATGAATTAACAATTTTAATTAAGTAATTTTGTTAATACTCTTCATAATAATTATGTTTCATTGATAAAAAATTCTCATACTAAAAATGGATTTCTCCATTCTTAAATTTAATTAGCTATATTAGTATAAATAACATTTTTTCAGCTGTTTGCATACAATTATTTGGAATTGTGGTTTCAGATGATTATACTTGTTATAAATATCTACACTTTCAGAAGAAAAATTAACTAAAAAATAACAAATTCTTTTGAATTTATATTTATTGAAAACTAAAAATGCCTTTAATATAATTATTTTGTTTCTTAATTTTATAATTTAATAATAAATATTTTCAATTTCTTATAATCGATTTTTTTCATCAATAAACTTAAATAATGAATGGGTAACTAAAGTGAATATTTGAATTCTTTATTTTAATTATGAGCACATTTTTTATTTATTATACTTATTTATTTTTTACATACATTGTAACTAAAAATTAAGAATTACTTTGAACTGATATAGCTTAAGGATTAACAATTATTTCACAATTATTTTTATCTAGAATTTCCAATTCCAATGGCAAGCCAATTATACTGTTATTTCTAAATTAAATCTTACAATCCAATTTCTTACCTAATTTAAAGGCCATTTATATTATTGGTAGGTTATATAGATCTATTAATAAATTTATTAAATTACTATTTATCAATCGCTTAGAACATTAAATTAATGGTAGTAGTACCTAACTTTGTATAATAGTGTTAATTTAGCCTTAGATCTTTTATTGATTTTAATTTAGAGCTGTTATAATTATTGATCCGAATAATCCTTTTTAATCCCTTATATTTGGCACTTTCAATGCTACTTTCATAGAGAATTGTTTTTATCCTGGACAAGCAAGCATAAAACGATCTTTATAATCATATCCATTAAGCTTTCTAGCAGAGTAGACATATTCATCTAAATCATCGAATTCTGTGTTATTGCAAACAACTGAAATTTCGATAATAATTGTTTCATTTGAGATGTTTTGGAATTAAATATCATCTTCACATATGTTTCCAGGTAAAACGAGACCAAAATTCACTAATTATTTATTCACATTTATTAAATTCTTTATCTCTACATTTTCCTATTAATTATAGATCAATATTACATTTTTCAATAGTCTTGAAGTATCTTATCCAGATTTTTATGTCAACTATTACTTTTACATACAATATTGATCTTATCTATTTTCCTTATCAGAGGGTGATTATGGTTTTATGAGAGGTTTTTATTTAATAACTTCTTTGTTTTATTCACTCTGTAATATCTGTTATTCATTCAAAATATTTTGGCTCTCTACGAATTAATTCATTCTCTAACTAAATTATTTTTATTTAATGTATTCGGTTAAATATGATAATACTATATAACAAGCGATGAATAAATCTGTAGGTTTTAAGGCAGGTGACAGGATGATAACAGTCTTATAAAACGAGATAATATATTTATAAGTCTTATTTATTATTTTTTAAATGGAGGTAGAATAATTTAAATCAAGTTGGCAGGGATAATACTCTAATGGGATAAAATATTTTGTTTTAATTTTATAATTAATATAATAATTCTCATAATTTGAATATCTCTAAGGCAACTATTTCAAATTCAACCGCATTTGCTAAATGCATTTCATGATTGGCTATCGAATAACCACTTAAATCAAAGAGACTACCTAATTTTGACCTACATTTTGTAAATGATGATTAAATGATTAGATCTTAATCTCCTAAAGAAAAAAGCTCACTATTATCATTAGCATCCTTATTATATTTTAAAGGTTTTTTATTTATTTTTAGAGTATATATTTATTCTTTACTCAATGAAAACAGTAAACTACTTGTTAAGGTAGGTGAAATATATGCTCCAAAAATTTATGAATTTGAACATTTGAATATAAATAGCAATTTTGATGATTCTTCTTTTTATAGATGGTTTAATACTACATCATACTTAAGTCCCTCATGAATGCTAGAATATAAGTTCTTTATTTTTTCAACTTTTGTAAAGTCCACATAATCTTTGTCAATTTTTTTCAAGACTTCTGATATATAGTCGTTTGACAATTAAGATTAGGTAAAGTTATTTGGAGAGAATGTTTTTTTCATTTCCTCAATTATGTTTTAAATGTTTTCCATTCCTTAGTCAAGTTTGTGGATATGAAAGCTGTTATAATAGCAATAATTTTTACCAACTTTTCTTAGTAAATTCATTAATCTTTGTTTTAAGCGAGTCTAAATCTGTCTATTTTTTTTCTTGTGTTACTTCTTCATGCAATTTTTTAACATAATCATTAAGAACATTATTTATGTTCTTTTATGACTTAGGTGGGGGATTGGGACCTTATTTGGCGTAATTCTCTAAATGTCCTTATAATTCAGAAAAATCAAAAACCTATTATAAGAATTTCTATTACAGTTTTTAAATTGTCTACTTATTATTTTATTTTATCATATAATTCTTAATACTTGTCATAGTTTTAAAGCAGATCTTATTCGAATTCTTGAATTAAGTATAAAAACTATTTTCTTATTGTTGCACATTTCTATGATCAATATATACAATTACAAATTTAATGTCATCTTTACTTATATCAAATTTTAAAGAATGATAAAGATTAGAAAATTCTTGGTAAAAATTTCCCTAAAAATGTGTATGTTTCATAACATTCATGCAGTCACTTAAAACCTAAAGGTTTATATAACATTTTCTATTACTTCTTCGAGCACAGCAACTTGTTACCTAAAATGTGAGTAAGGGCCATTAATGCACTTAATACATTGTAGCCTTGATTTTATCACATCAGTTTCGGGTGTTAAGCTTATATATTCTACTTTTTAATCACTATGGCCATATTCTAAACAATGTATTGTTATTTTTTTTTATTTTTTAGTAGGCAACTGTTAATACGGTAGATGTAGATCTATATTCTTTGCTTGTACTAATGCCATTTTATTAATTTAATTAATGACTTCCTGCAATTAACTTAACAATTAAACTCAAAACTTTTTAATAGAATTTGATGTTAAATTATATTCTTTATATAAATTACATATATCGAAATTGAATTCCAATTTATATTCATCAATCTCTACGCTGAAAATAATTACACAAATTTTCTAAATTGAAGTAATTGAAACCTTTAATAAGGTGTTATAATACTTCTAATATTAAATAACATTCTTAGATGTGAATAAATTGATGATATGTTAATAATCAAGAACATAGATTTCATAAAAATTATAGATCCTCAAATTGGAAAAGCATTTTTTGATTTTTATATAAAAAACGATAATATTATGGTAAAGTTGAATCGAAGATAACTCAATTATTTAGTTGTAAATTTATAATGAATCACCTTTTTTGCAGAATACATGAAAAGATTAAAATGAGTTACAAAATGCTAGTAAAAATCAAAATATGATGCCCAAGAGCTACGGATAAATATTTATAAATAATTCGATAATTATTACACTTTTGAGACTGAATCAAGACAGATTCGATATAACATTAATAAAAAATCTCAAGTTTTTAATTCAAAAGGGTTATCTCCAAAATAATAAAGATGATAAAAATATTAATAATTTTTTTTTTATATAATGCTATAATTGATATAACAATACATCTAACAACACAATTAAGCAAAAGAAAAAAAGATTGGTACTATTGTTTCTTATTAATTGTAGTTTAACATTTAGACTAAAGTTAGTTTTCTTTATATGAAGATCTGCTGATATTAGAAAAAATGTTAAATGAAAAATTAACCTATTAACATTTTGAGCAATTATCAGAAAAATGTCATAAAAAGACACCTGATGAATTAAAACTTAGATATATAAATTGTATAAAGAAATTAACAGAAGATGATTTAAAATCAATTATTGAATTTATTAAAAATAATGGTTTGGAGGGAACCTTAATTTATGAGAAAAATGAAATATAAATTTGTAAAATAAACGAAGAAATCAAAAAGAAAAAGGAAGCAATATAAAACAAAAAGGAAATGATACAGTTAGGAGAGCCTTTGTTAAAGAAAAAAAGACGCATTTAACCAGAAGTATAACCATAACCTTAAAACTATTATTAACTTACTGACTTATAAAAGTACATTCTCTATTGCTCGGCCCCTGCCTATTAGGAATAAAGATTTCCAACTAATCCTAACTATTAATAATCCCAAAGATTAAAGTAAGAATAATTTTAGAATGCTCTCCATGATTTAAGCTTATGGTATGATATCCCATTTGAGAAAATGATCTCTCTACTTAAAGCTTGCTCAGGTAGCTTTACTAATTTAAGATAATTTCTTGAGAATTAAAACTACTTTATCTATTGGAAACCTGAAGAGGATTAAAAGTTAAAGTCAAAAGAGGATATATAATCGTTATATTTAACTAAAGGAGTGGCAGAAGTGGAAAGAAGAAAAAAATGGTTGTAATATGAATGAGATGAATAAAATGTATTTGATCTTAAATTATGTTATGTTAATTAAAATTCTATCATATTAAATTGATAATACTTTTAGCTTAGAAGCATAATATTGTAATTTAAATTTAATTGTTTAATTGTTAGTTCATCAGATGCTTGAGTTTATTTCTTATAAATAAGTAAACTTTTAATTTTAATCAGTTTCTTTTTTCCTTATCAAAATAAATATTTAATCTCTTAGTAATTTTATGATATTATCCAAATCAAGTGAAGATTATTCTAATAATTGTAAATACAAAGGATTCTGTTGGAAACTTTTTCCAATCTAAAAAACATAAAAGTTTTTTCCTCCCTCATACAATTCCTTAATAATCCATAAATAACCAAATTTACTATATATTAATATTTATTAATCTATCAGAGTATGATAAAGAATTTAATTAAATGTAATATAGTATGAAGAAATTAATTCAAAATATAAATAATTAATAATTCATCTATTTTTTCCTTTGATAGTATTCCAAATAGAGCCTAAATTTTCTTTTATATCACCTAAGTTCTTAGAAATATTTTAAAATCCATCCATAACTTATTGTCCTTTTTATTTAAAATCTTGCTAAGCATATTTGATTTAAATACAATCTTTTCTTTCATAGATTCCTCAAACTCTCTTTATCGAACGAATGCTTCATACGCTTCTTTTTCTTATTATGAAAAAAATGTTTTTCTTTTATTTTCATTGTAATATCTTTGTGCAAACTCCTTATATTATTGATCTTTTGCTCTTGCATACCTTTCTTCCTATCTGATTCTCTCTTCATACTCTTACTGAGCCTTCATTCTCTCGTATTATCTATACTACTATTATTAATGGAGGTGCTCTTATGCTCTTCTTATTGCTTCGTCAAATTGATTTCTAGCATTTGAATTTTGGCTATCATAGATAAAAACAATGAACTTACTAATAATTCTAACTTTATCTTTGCTAAGAAGTAGATTAATATTTTCTAGAGTCTTAATATTATTGCTATGAAAAGGTTGAACTATAATTATTTTAGGATTATGGCGTTCTCGCAGCATCATATTCTTTTTTGGTATTTTCATCAGATAAGACCTGAGAATAGAGTATTGATTACTTCATATGCTTCATTAACTTCTTTAAATTTATCCTCCTTGCCTTGGTTAACATCTGGGTGAAATTTCTTAGCTAATGCATAGTAGGCTTTTTTGATTGTTGGTTGGTCGTTAGTTTTAGTTATATTTAGAACGGCATAGTAGTCTTTGAGTTAGTTGAATTTAGCAATTCCATACAAGGATTTATAGGATAACATATGAAAAATAAAATAAAATTAAAATTGTCACTATTAATTATAAACACTTCTAACAATAAGTTCATTGTACATCTCTGGTAGTAGTTCTTAATTCTTATAGACATAATCATAGAGCAAGTCTTTTTCGTAGAGTTAGCATTCAGCTCTGGTGACATGATTGTATAAAAATGTTTTATCTCCTTCTCTTCTGAATTTCATAATAAAATACAACTAAACATTGGCCTTACCAGTTTCATTAGCATTTACACCATAATAATGTCCTGTTATTTCTTCTCCAATTTGAAATCCAATCTATCCATAGAGGTTTTTGGAATCAACTTCAGTTGAGACAACTCCGAATTAAGGGAATTAATTTATGGATGCCAAGAAATCTGCAATATAGCAAGTATCATCTTTCTTTTTCATACACTTCTTTTTTTATTCAAATGCTGACAATCTAATCAACCTTTTAGATTAGGGAGGACAAGCAATATCAGTTGATCTTTAGGATTCCATTTTGATGGATGTCTTCTATAATTTCTTAGCCCTTTTGCTTTATTTGTTAGGTTAAACGGCGGATTCTCCCTTTAAGGGGTAGATATATTCTTGTTATTTAATTTCATTCAAGACTTCTTCTCTTCTCTGCATATAATCCAATACACACAAGGCACCTAGATGTTCAAAGATATTGTCCTTCATTTTATCATTTATATAGGATGCAACAAGTGATCTTTCATCTTCATTTAAAGTTTAAATAAGTTTTCTAATTTAATTGAAATAAGCTGGAGATTTGATCTATTCAACTGATTTTTCATTCCTTGTATTTCTTAATCTTGTCTGTACTTTTTATTATTCTTTATGGGACTATGACTTTTCACTTAAATTTTCCTCATTTGGTTAATCTTGATCTAGTTGTCTTTCTTAAGATTTTGGTTGGACATGATTGATTTCATCAGTTTCAACCTATTCCTGCTTAACAAACTATGATTTCTTTGGTTAGGTTTGATTAGACTTGTCTCCTGAAGTTGGAGATTTCTTTCTTGATTGTGTAGATTTAGCCTTTGATTTAGATTTCTTGCTTCTTTTACCAAAGTCGGAATCCTTAGAATCAGAATGAGACACATCCTCTTCTTTATGTTAGATTTACTTTCTACCAGATCTAGTCACCTTTTTTGTAGTTTCCTTGGGTGTGGATATTGATTTGATATTCTCCTAGTTGAGTGTCTCCTTGATAGTCGTGTTCAATTTATCTGTATTAGCTTATTCTATTTGTTCGTCTTCCTCCTGTGAGTCTGGTATGACTTTAATTTTTTCAAGTGTATTTTATTTTTAATGTACTCTATATCCTTCTACCTAACCTTCGTAAATGAACTAATAAAAGAGAAAGTAATCAGCATGTCTTTGGTATCTTCGAACAGAGGATATGTTGTGAGCTCCTAGATTCTCAATAGGCTCCCAAGTTCTTTGAGATTTGGGATAATTTTTCCACTTGACACAGTATTGCATTTTGTTATCCAATATTTGAGAGCCAAATATATATTGTATCTCGTATAACTCAGAATTGTCCATTAATATAAATAATGAATAGCTTAAGTAATATTTGAAAGGATTGTCAAATAATGGCTTGTTTTTTTTTGATTATTTTTATGTGTTAACAGCTCATTTAAACTATATCAAATTACGCACAGAACTCCTTAGAACTTCTCATAGGATCATACTGAATCACTTCTCTTGAAGAGAGAAACCCTTATACTTTCAGGAAAGAATTTTATTTTACCAAATCAAAACAATGATTATTTTATTATTAATCTTAATACCTACACTATTATCAGATAACATTTAACTAGCCAGAGTTCAGTATTGCGGTTGTGGAGTTGCTCTTATACAATCCTTATGCATCTAATTAGACGATTGCAGATGGCAGAATTACACTTGTGTTAACATTACAGGTGTCCCCTAAACAATTGTAGTCACACCCAATAATACAAATACCGATAACAACTCTACTGATAATAATAGCACCGAAGGCAATAAGACAGACACTACATAAAATGAATATGATTTTACTGATCCTGATTTTGACTATGATTCTGTAGCTGTAACACATAAACAATATGAAATACCTGATATCATTGATGAAAGTGGAAATACAGATGAAGGTATAAAATCATTCTTTATATTGTAAAATAGGTACTGATACAGGTACTGGTACTGGTACAGATACAGGAACTGGTACAGACACAGGTACTGGTACAGACACAGGTACTGGAACAGACACTGGTACAGGAACAGATACTGGAACAGGAACTGATACTGGTACAGATACAGGAACTGATACTGGTACAGGAACAGATACTGGAACAGGCACTGATACGGGTACAGGCACTGATACGGGTACAGGCACTGACACAGGTACTGATACAGGTACTGATACAGGTACTGATACAGGTACTGGTTCAAATACTAATAACACAAATACTAACAACACAAATACAAATACAACATAAACTTATACGTAATCCACGTCCATCACATACACCAAAACATATATTAATAAAACGTTTAATGATAAAGTAACATGTAGTTAATAAAGTGATGAAGCTGGATGTAATAGTAAAAGATGGCCTGATTAAATATTTTGTATATGGAAAAACAGCACATGTATTTCAGGATCATGCACTGATTTAGATTTACTAGAATGCGAAAAAACATTCTTCTGTGTTAATTTTGGCTACTGCTAATCCTGCGTAAGAATATAACAATATTTTAGAAAGCAATAGAAGTATATGCAAACGCACTTTTAGCCTGGATATTAATAATAGTATTTGTAATATCCTGAATATTTATCATTTAATGATATCAAATTAGTCATATTCTAATTCATCTATTATTTTGTCGTTTTTAAAATCTGTTTTCTTTATGACGCTTTTAGGACTTCCTGTATGTTTCAACCATTCCTTGAGTTCATTAGTTCTTCTTCCTTATGCTATTCCAATAACTGTGCCCTGTTTTGTGTTTTGTACCCAACCAACCAAATCCAACTCTTGGGCTTTGAGTTGAGTGTATTTTCTAAAGTAGACTCCTTGGACTTTACCAAAAACTTCAAATTAAAAGGAATACATTTGACTTGCGCATTCCTATTGCTCAGACGAACATGCTTAAACAAATGCTGAGCTTAATAATATATATATTATTTAAATCATTATTCAATCTAATCTCTAAATCGCCAAGTTGCTGCAGTACCAGCACTAAAGCCTCTCAGTGTTTTACCTTTGAATAAAGCAAATCCAACTCCGTAACCAATAACTGCAAACAATGCCCCTTAAATGAATCCTTTTGTTATCTTTTAATCTTTTTCAATAAATTCTTTAGTGGTTTTGAATGGTGTCCATAAAGCGCTGCCTTCTTTAGACATTTTTAATATAAAATAAAATTTATGTTTATATTATATAATATACAATCAGCCAGCCTTAAAATAGATTTTGTCATTAATGTGCAACTAGACTGGGACAGAATTCTAGATAAGAAATGATTGATTCTAATCTGTCGACCACTGAGGAGAGAAACAAAAGCCACTCTTCTGTATGTTGTCTTAAAATTAGCAAACAAAAGAATACCCCAAGTTGCTTCTCTATAGGTAAAGTCTCTCAGAATGTAATCCCACTCAAACTGATGGTAGATGCGAGTATCAAGAATTCTAATTAGAACATCGTCAACTCTTAGGTAGGTTCTGATCAAACCGAAAAAGCAATCTCCCATAACTCTGAATCTGAATTCACAAGTGACTAATCCATTATCTCCTAATTCATCCTCATATAGGGTAATGAAGGATGCCCATTTGATGGGATTTTCCTTTCTTATTTTTACATATATACTTAAGTCAAATTGTTCAAGGGTATTTCCTCTTCGGTATGTTCACAGTAAAATTATTAAGATTTATTTTTAAAAATATGAGTAAGGTAGTCTAATTCAGTTTTGATTACATTTTGGTTCAATTGATTTTCAAAGATAGATTTTCCTTTCACTCCTTCAATGGTTTTGAATCTTTGAAATTGATATTTAATTTGATCCTCGTCTACAAGAGTACCTTTGTAGGGAGAACAATAGAAAGTATCAGATATTTTATTTAAAATTTTGATCTCTTCATTTTATTTCTATTTCCAAGCATTTGAATGTTTGAGTTGGGTCTATTCTGGTATGATAGATATGTAATTGATTTTGTTGGTTCTGAATTGACTCTTGATGTCCAAGTAATTGTGTTATCTTTATTAATAGTTGCATAGATAGAGTGAATCTTTGGGATTAACAAAGAAACCAAAATTGAATTATTTATTATAGATTAGAGCACAATTATTTCCATTGGTAATATCTGGTATACCTTGTAGAGTCAATGCATCTTGAAGCATATCCAGATCAGAAGTGTTATACATACCAGCTTTTGTGAAGATGAAATTCCATCCATTTTGCTCATATTCTTCAACTTTCACATCCGTGTAGGTTTTGTTAGAAATAATATTCATATTTTTAAATAAATATAGGAGAAATACTTATAATAAAAAAACAATAATTATAAAATGTTAAATATTTCTCCAATATAAAAAATGTGAATATAAGTTATTTAATCATCATTTTATTGCTAGTTACTGCACCTTCTATTTAGTATACGCATCTATCTTGTAATCTAAATTCTGTTGCACAATTTCCAATCTTTCAATAATAGATAAGACATATCCTTTAGTCTTATAAACTTAAACATCTAACTAATCTATTGCTTTTTGTTTGTTTTTAAAGTCATTCAATTTCATTCTCATTAATCCATGATTGTTAATTTAAACATTAACTAATTAATTTGACAAATTTCTTATATCGATAATTTGACAAAATATGCTTCTTTGTTTGTTAATGATAGTTTCTTGCTGTTTATCAGATTTCTCCTTTATTTACTAAATGATGGATTGTAATGGACCAGTCTCTTTTAATCAATATAGAATATTACCTAATTGATGCTAATTAATTTCAGGATCGGTCAATAATTTATTTTGAATTTCAACTCTATTCAATAATTCCATTACTGGATCAACTAATTCCTATCTATTTTAAATTGGATGATCTCTAACAATTACAATGGATTCGCTAGGACCTTATTACAATTTTTCAATATCCTAATGCACTTCTTATGCTTTGCTTAGGTTTCTGCTTCATTAAGTAATTTGCTCATTGTCGAAATTGGCATTAATGCTAGCTAACAAAGCTTGAACATCAATATCATTATTTTCTTCTTCTTAACTCATATAATATGTTAGATTATAAAAATATCATTTTTGTTTTGCTTCACTATTTGTATTGCTTCCACTTTTCGATGATGTACTTCCTCCAAAAATTGACATGAGTCCACCCAAGAGGCCATTGTTTCTTGGACTCTATACTTGAGTTTGCTACTAACTGATTTAATATTGCTAAACTTTTAATAGAAAGTTTCTATAATAGATATTAATTAATTGATACTTAATTGATTTGCAAATCTTCTTTAAATCCTGATTGGGCATAATTTTGAAGACTTCATCTTTGCTTCTTGATTTAACAGTCAAAATAAATGAGGATTCATCCTTAATCTTCAAGTCTGTAATGTCAGTCGCCTTATATTAGAATTTCTAAGCTGCTGTTTCTAATTCGAATATGTAATCATTAAACAGATTTTGTCTTAAGATAAATAGACAATCAAAATCCAAAAATTAATTCTGCAAAATGAGTTTATACTAAATAAACTTGCCCCTTGTTTCTTCAAGTTCTCCTTATAATTGAGCCACTGTGAATCTAGAATCATCCAATCCTTTATGTATCACTCTTAATTCTTCATCCTTCAATTGGATATCCTTATCTAAAGTCTTTAATTTCAATTGAATTTCCATCTTCTCAGCTTTTAAATCCTTAATTTTGTTAAATAAATCTCTCTCAATATCTTCTATATTCTTTTTGAGTTAATTATTTAATGCTGTCTTTTCTTCAGCATCCTTCGTCAATTTCTAATTTTATATCTCTTTGTTCTTTAAATCACGTTCTATATCCTTATAGGCAGTTTACAAAATAGAAAATCGAGCTTCATAATTAGCAATGGTTGACTCTAATTCTCTTGCAATATGTAAAATATTTACTGTTTCAATTTAGTTATCTATTTAGATTAATCCCCACTAGTATGAATAAGTTCTGTTTGACGAAAAGACTGCGTTAAACTAGTGGAATTCTAAATTGAAATAGTTTATTGATTACCATTGTTGATTAACGTTATAAATCCATCATCATAGTATTATGCTTCTCTTCCTATAATTATTAATTTTAATCATACTATATCTTCTCTTTCCTTAATTAGTTGATTATTTTTGAGTGTTAATTCTGCTATCTGCTTCATTAATTGAGATTTCTCTTCCCTTAAATCCAATACTGCTTTCCTGAGAGTAGATATCTTTTGTTTGTCACTGATTTTGTTAGCACCACCATTATCTGATGCACTATCAGTTTAACTTTTAGGAGGTTTTAAATTCATCATTTTTATAAAATTAATTTATTTTTATCATTATAACATCAATCTATAATTATATTATTCACTTTGATATCTAAATCTAATAGTAAATAATAGAAATACCCGATTTTAAATTTAGATGGCAATCATCGGAGTAAATAATTCAGTGTCCTTAGTATAAAATAAGATTTTAAACTAAGTAATCTTATTTTCATATATATAGTTCATAATATTAAGACCTGACTATCTTAAAATTTCCAATAAAATCTAGATATTAATTTAGATTTATTAAAGAATTCTGATCTTAATTTATACAGATCATTAATAGGATCAATCAAATCTCCCATCTATTTTATATAATTTATCAAATCTAAATAATTCTTTATATAATCTTCTGATATCTATCTCCAGATTGAATACAAAGTCATATATTCTAGAATATTTCTTAATAAAACATAACTATGTAAATTATTATTTGATACAAAAAATATTTTTTTTCTGTTATTACATTACTATTTATAATAAATATTTTATATTTATGAATTATTATACTTCTTTAGATGGAGGCTCAAAAGTCTAAGATTTAATTGAACAGATTAGAAAAATGGATGCGACTATTTCTGAGGCTGTTAATTAGAGAAACTTAAAATTATAAACTAATTAATCTGTACAAATGGTATTTTGAAATTACATTTTCTTAGGTAGATAGGCAACTGGCAACATAAATTGAAGCAATCAATAATTCGATTAATTAAGCAAGGATCTTATTAAATAAATCATCGAATCTGTATTCTATTTAAATGAACTAGTTCTCAAACTGATATCTAGAAATCAAAGGATTTATTAGATGAATTCTAAAATAAGTCAGAAAAGTTTAGAAAAGCATTAGATATCAAATAAGTTTTCAAATTAGTAATAAATCATATATATTTAATCTTAATTATAGGATACTCCATAAGCAAACATTGATTTTAGTTCTAAATCTAACGTTGAAATGGTTTAGATGTAATAATAGCTAGTTGAAAAGCAAAACAATACCATAGACTAAATGATTGATACAACAGGGAGAATGTAAGTTAATGCCAAAAATATTAATAATGCTTTAAAGGAGGATTAATTTATTTTAAGAAGATTGAATGAGAATGTAAAAGTGATTTTAACTTTAGGTTGAAGAAGCCACTCATGAAATCAAAGTTACTGATTCTAATCTTAAGAGTCTGTTATCATACACTAATGATTGTTGTTTATGGACAACCATCATAATTGAATTTATGATTTTTGTTTTTCTTGTTATATATTGATGATGGTTTATCATAAATTTGATAATGAATCAAATATAAAGCTATTATAAAATTTCAACTATCCAAAAGTAGCTATTACAATATTTTTATCTACCAAATTCTTTAAATCTCCGAATTGATAAGTTCTATTAATTTATACTCATATATACACATCATCCAATCTGACTTCTTAATTCTCGCATTTAACTTTGCACATCTAATTTCTGATAGTCTTCATCAATTGCAATTCATTTTCATTAAGTTCTGAAACAAACTCCCGTTATTTTTGTAGCACAAAATCTGTAAATCATACAATCAATCTGTTACCTTCATATCTTTTATTGCTTTTTAATGATTGTTCATACCAATCAAATCTGAAATTGTTTTACTTTCCATGCTGATATTACTTGATTTCCATTACATTAATGTTGTAATCATCTAACATTAAATTAAGTTTCTTTAGATTCTTGGCACTTGCAATAATAGTAGTTGAATTAAATTAATGCAGACTGCTTAAGATTTGACAGATGTAGCATTATTTTTTAGTTAAGGATAAATCTAGATTATCAATGGCAATTAACGTTGGTTTTATTTTTGTGAATAGAATCAATTCATTCAAATTTGGAGCTTTAAAAAGTTACAAGGCCTACTCTTATGTTTGCACTTCGGATTGAATGTCTATATAGATGGCTTACTTCTTTTCTTTTAATGATTTATTGATCATAAATTTGAAGAAGGTTGAAATTCCCTCTGAAGGCATCCCATAATATAAATGAAATGAGTGATTTTGTAAGTTGTTTTTCTGTATCAATTCATCCAATTTATATTCAATAGGATATTGTTTTTGGAATGCAATTTGCAATTACTCTGCGAAATCATCAAATTTGTAAATTGACTCATCATAAATTATCATTCCAACCAATACTACCAAAAATATATCTATTAGAAAGAACTTTTTGCCAGGATTCAGCTTCGTTAATTGAATGATGAAACACAATGAGAGTATGATTCCTAATGCAATTATTATATACATTTATTAATATCATTGTATTTTTGCAATAATTCACGAAATCAAATATTTGAGTATTCAAGTAATATAACAATTATGAATAGAGGGATTTATTTAATTGTGAATAAATTTAAATATATTTAAATCTTTTTATTATGGGCAAGAATTACAGAAATAGATCAAAGACTTCAGCTACACCAAGAAAGCCTTTCGAAAAGGAACGTCTTGACAATGAGTAATTTTAATAATCATCCATTTTTAGATTGTAAATTATTGGTAAGTATGGATTAAAGAACAAAAGAGAGGTCTGGAGAGTCTAACTTACTTTGGCTAGAATTAGAAAGGCTGCAAGAGAATTGTTGACTCTTGACCCAAAGGATCCAAGAAGATTATTTGAAGGAGAAGCATTAATCAGAAGAATGGTTAGATTTGGTTTGTTGTCTGAATAAGAAAGAAAGTTGGATTATGTCCTTGGTTTGACAACTTAAAAAATGATGGAAAGAAGACTTTAAACCTTTGTGTTCAAAAGCAATCAAGCATCATCAATTCATCATGCCAGAACTTTGATTAGATAGCGACACTTTAGGTACTTAATACAATTTATTAATTATTAGAGTAGGAAAAAGATTAGTCAATTCTCCATCCTTTTTGGTAAGAGTAGAATCAGAAAAATTGGTTGATTTTGCTGTCACCTCACCATTTGGTTAAGGCAGAGAAGGAAGAAGAAAGAGAAAGAATGCAAAGAGAGTAAAGCCAAACAAAGAAGAATGAGAATAATATTTTAGCATAAAGTACAATATTATAAATCTACTCTGTTTGCATTCTAATACTAATATCATTATTTTAAGTTTAATAGAAGTATAACTTCTAATAATTTAATTGATTGTTCTGAAATTTACCCATATCTATAATAATATTCTTATCACTTTCTACTCAGAATTGTATTGCAATAAGTATCCTAAGCTAAAAGGTCTAACCTAATTTATAACAAATGAATATAAATTTATATGTAAATGATAAATTCTTTTAATATAATTCATTTTCTTAAAGGAATTTTTTTATAATTATCGTTAAAGGTGTTTGTGAACTCTTTCTTTTTGACCAATCTTTCTTGATTAGCTTATTGCAAATCTGGAACTACATGTTGCACTTTATCTGTCACTTCTACTTTTTTTTATTGTTATTAAAATTGAGTTTTGTCGGGTTCGTATTTTGAATATATTTACACTTAAGGTTTGACTTGCTAATTATGTGATAGATCATAAGTCGAGGTTAATTATCTTGTTTCAAACTATTTATTTAATTCAGTTGTTTACGTAAGATTATTAACCATGTCCAAGCAATAAATGATTCTGTAACCCACCATGACTGAAAGTTGTTTATTCATAATATTCTTTCTCTGCTTCTGTTTCTTATTGTCTTGGCATATTAAGCAATGTGTTTTATAGTCCGAAAGTATCTTTCATTGTACTATTGGGTATTTTATGTGCATTCTAATATTTGTTTAATATAGAAATGTACTTATTTCACATCCATCCCAAAGGTTTCCTCATTATAGTTACCTATCTTCACTCCATATCGATATTTATTGACATTGTCTTAAATCTTAGTGTAATCAAGGTTCATCTATAATATTAATATTTAATAAAAATAATTGATTAATTCCTTAGCATTGATTTAAACTACAAAGTATCAATATATTGGTGATCAGATTACAAGTTTACTATATGAAATGGCGAAAATTGCAAAATGTTAACCAATCTTAAAATAAATTGAAAAGCAGAATGGAATGTGAATGCAGTCATTTATTATAATTAAAATAATATGTTGATAGAATATTTTAAAACCAAGGATCTAGACAGCTACGAAGCTAAATTGATTTTAAATATTAAAGAATATTGTGTTTATTTATATCCCGATTAACAAGTTTTAATTTCTGAATTAAATGAAACCTTCAAAATAAACTTAAAAAGTGGAAGAAAGTTAAGAAGCAACGAATATTGGTATTTGTAATCACTAAAAGAAGTGCAAGGCATAAAGATCAAATAACTTGATTATGGTGAACTAGCCAATACTGGTTTATATAAATGTATATGAAAATGCATTCAAACATATTAGAATTTTCATTTATTTCGAACCATCTGCTCAAAGTCATCTCAAAGGATGAGTAAAGTTATCGCTACAAAATACACTTTGGATTATGCAAGATGATGGAGTTCAATGAATTAGAATTGGTGTATTGGCATTTATTGAATCTGCAATTTGACTACGGCAAAAAGTTACAGTCCAATTATTCACAAGATATTAAGTAACCTTATTAAATCGAGTTAGGATTTGCGCTTTTCATTATTTTAAAGATTTTCTCAAAATATAGGCAGAGTTCATTCCTGATATTGCATTATATAAAAGGGAGTTGTTGTTTTTAACTTTATCAGCCTTCTACACAATCAAATTGTTGAGAAACATTTAAAACTTCGACAAAATAGGTGAGTTTATCAAAGAGGACAAATTTTGCGAACTTTTCAGAAGAATAGAGCCAGCATTTATAAATGTATCTCACAACTTGACCTTGTTTGTAGTGAACCAAAAATACATTGAGTTGACTAAGTTTGAGTAACAATTAGATTAGTAAGAAATCAATTACAACTTTATTGTTGAATAAATTCTTGAAATGGCTCCTGCTTATCAAAAAGATGAAGATTTGCCTATCTCCAAAAAAGTGAAGAGATAAAAAAAGATGATGGCTAAGAAGATTGAGAGTAATAAGAAGCTAGAGCAAGAAGCTTAATAAAAAATAGAAGCCTAATAATAATAACAATATTAGTTTTCACAACAATATCAGATTTAGTTAATGTCATAAAATGACTAACAATATTTAAGTTATCCCATGGGTTCCATTTAATCTTCAAAATAATTAAATTAAGGTTTAGCATCTTAAGGCAATCAACAGATTTAATAAGATAATTATTATTAAAATGATCTATGTTCCTTTCAATTGTAGGATGGGCAAAACTCTTTTGGACCTAAATTGAGATCTCATAAAGGTTTCTTCAATAGTCAAGAGAGTCTCGGCCTAAGGTATTCGAATTAATTCACTTCGAACACACCAAAGGAGACTTACAATTAAAGAAACTAGACATCAACATAATGGTCAAGTAGGAATGGAAAATGAATTATAAATACCTATATATATTATCATGAATTATAAATGACTTGATGTATAATATGGATTCCAATCTATTTATAGTAGAATGTTTGAAATACAAGTAAATTCTAATTCATTTCAATAGAAAGATAATTAAAATGATTTAGATTTCCTGTTATTTATTTGTTCATTTGGATGCAAATTATTAGTTGATAATCATAAATTATATAATGTATTAATAAAATTGGTAAGGGGACAGATATTAAGATGAAATTTTTCTTGATGATGCGGAGATTTTTTAAAAAGATGAAGAACCATCAATATTTGATATTGTTTATAGAGAAGTGGGGTGTATTCTACTCAAATATACCAACCTAAACCTTATAACTTGTCCTAACACTCTCCATTATATTACATTAAAGTTCAATAATGATGAACCTTTCTCCTTTCTCTTTCAACCAAACTATATCTTAGTGGAACAAATGGCAGTAAACCCAGCTTTGAAAGAAATAGCTGAATAATTGTAAATTGAGGATCTGATAAATCATAATTAGAATGATATTGAGTATTTTTCAGACTACTATTAACAGTTAATTGAGGAAATATTCAAATCTCATTTGAATTAAGCCTAAGAGATATTTTTAAGATAGTTAGAGTTACTGCAAGAATAGAGAATAAAACCACAGGTTGATTAAGAACTTTAGTCCATATTTTAAGATAAATAGTTTTAATTTCCATCGAAATTAGATTTTCAACATTCTGAACTACCTGAAAATTAAATCAAATATAAACTGTTTGAAACACTATAATAATTATAATCTAATTATTTGAACACTCAAAATAAATCTATTAAATTAGAATGCCCTGAGACTGCTTAATAATTATCAGGCCATAAAACTCAATAAGAATTTCATGGTATTACCCAAGTTACTCAGGTTGATTAACCTTTAGTTATAAGTTCTTTAAATAAAGAGAAGATTAAGATGATCATACATTGGTTGATTTAAGAGAAGATTGCAATTCCTGAAATCATACTGTGTGCTGAATTAAAGAATAGAGGAAATGGAATGAACTTAACCTTTAATCCTAATTAGCAAATGTTGAACAGGTGTGCATTTTATTATGGCTTATTTTGTGAGGCTTAGCAGAATTAATCGGAGGCAAAGAATATTAAAGAAGAAAATACAGAAGAAGTAAAAACTTGTTAGGAATTTAATATAGGGAAACAAAAACTGAAAATTACTGAATATCATCTGTTAATTAAAATGTTAGATCTAGTTGATCAATAGAAAGAATCTCTTAAACCAAAAATCATTTAATTGGTCAAATATGCTTAATTAAAAAATTAAATTAAAAGATTGTCAAGGGTTTAAGAAACAGATGCTCATTTTAAGATTGTCAAGTAATTTATTGAAAAATTAGAGACAATTCTTCATATCTATGATGAATATGAAAATGATAAATAGAAACCATTCAAAAACCAACAAGAAAAGAAAAGCCAAATTTAATCAGATAATTTGAGCGAAAATGAAGAGGAGAACAAACCTATTAAAAGCTAAAAAAAATATTATAGGTTGCTTAAATTAGTTGTAAAAATAATATTGATTGAATCTTTAGAAAAAGAAATAGCGATTCCAGAAATTTTGACATGTTTATGGTTTAAAAAACATAAGGAGAAAATAGTTGAAGGCTAAATAATCAATTAAAATTCTGTCCAAATATTACCTTCGAAGTAACGATTGATTCCCTCACTCCAAGCTGAACAACAATTGAAATTCAAGCAAGAATAAGTTTAATTGCAAACTCTTTTGGATTTGCCTGATACTGCTACTAAAGAATTAGACAACTTTGAAAATTTTATATAATAATTCCCCTGTGATCCTAAATATGGGAGAGATGTGGTTCTAATAGAAAAAATACTTATTGTTGTTAACGGCAAGAAGGATAGCATCTAAAATCAGTTAATTCAAGTAATGAGTGATTATTTGAAAATAGAAAAAGTGAAGGAATAATTGAGGGAGAAATTAGTATTGCTTCCTAAATTAAGAACTACTAAGACTTAAATTAATGACGAGCCTATCTTGGAAAACATCATAAGAATTATAGATAACTTATAATTATACATCAGTTCAATTTAAAAGTGTAAGCCTTGTTTATTTACTAAATAATTTAGTAATCGTTCTAAGAAGTCATTGTAAACATCATAAAATTAAAAATTAGATAAGGAGGAAATGAAAGTGTTTATATTATCTGGATTAATTACTTTAATTGACAATGAAGTGTATTTACCAGAATTAATCTTATTCTTGGGAATAAAAAATAAAACGCAAAAGTTCAGTCTTTAGATTAATAAGAATTAGAGATTATAAGAGTATATCATTACATAGATGCAATTGAATCAAGTGGAAATAACTGACTAAGTAGAGAGTAAGTTGCTTATTAAGAAGATAAAGATTTAAGATGGAGAGAATATACCTATCATTCATAGCAGAGATCAGGTTTCAGAGCCATAATTGATTATAAGAGCCTTGAGATTACTAAGCAATAGCGATATGACGAAATAATTGTCTGAAATTTGGTAGAAACCTTCTATAGTAAGTCTTAAAAATCAGGTTTATAAAAATTGTTTAAAAAAAAATAAAAATGATACTACAATTGGAAAAATAAAAAATTTATTTTATAAAATTGATAACAAATATGAAATATTTAATGATAATTAATAATGATAATTTCAAAATATGAATGGAATAATCTTGAATTTGGCAATCTCGCAATATTCTTACCACAACTTACCATATTTTTCTCTACAACGCTTGTCATCTCTTGTTGCCCTGTGTGTCAATAGACAAAACAAACTCAAAGGCAAGATATAATTATTAAAAGCTTTGAATTCCCCACACATGGCAATAGAAAGATAAACTAAAATTTCGCCTGTGTAATTGAGATGTCTCCCTATACCCCACCAACCACTAATTAATAACTTATTCTACAAAGTCTAAGGCTTTTTATTCCATATTATTGCTTTATCCCCTTGTCTTCGATATCTATCCTTCTGCCAATTCGCATCTCTGTACATATATAACGAAGCAAAGTGCAGCAACGTAATGAAGATCAGATAGGCAGTAGAACTATTCTGAACAAAGTCACCTAGGTACCAACCACCAATACAATATAGGTAGGGCAAGTAAACGATGTCTCCCCAAACTAACATAAATCCAAAATTTTCAGCGATAATATCCCAAGTGGACAACATAAAATCCTCTCTTATATAGTGAGTGATAAGCCACATAAACCAAAAAACTTGAAATAGTATCATGTTTATTGACAATATGGAGTAAGTATTGTATTAGTATTCAGCAAATGATAATAAGAATATTTGTAATCCGATCAATGATGGTTCGTAAAAATACATTTTGAGGTCTACATTTAAAATCCTTGGATTCTATTCTGATCCAAACCACCAATCATTCAATAGTTGAGGTGTCCATGATTGAATATGGGGTTTGTAGTGTGGACTCAATTTTCCTTTTATCAATAAAATGAATGAAAAAAGAAAAGCCAAAATATTTGAGGCTATAAAAAAAGACCAAAAGTGTTCTATCAATGGTATCAATGTGAAGCCAAAAAACACTTTACCCAAGATTATGAGTGTGAGTGTTAGTATCAATGTACTTAATCCATTGATTTTATACGTCAACACTTTCCCTTTTGGATCTGGAAACCCTTTGAATTCTTTTCCTGGCAAGAGCTTTGTGGCTGCAAACATGTAGATAAAGTATCCTATCTGCCATTTGAGTGCAAAACATACAGAATCCCAAGTGGATTCCTACATTATCCCAAATGTACTATTCACTTGCATTATTATGATATTATTGAGAATATTATTAAAAGCACAAATATTTAAGAAATAGACAGTCATTATAAATTATTATTAGAAAAGCTGACATTTCATAAGGCCGGTGAAAGAGTTGCATCGAAGGGGCGAGAAACAAGAAAGCGTATATTAGTGATTGTTAAATCAAGAAATAAATATTATATATTATATAAAATTTAAAATGGCTGAAGCTACGCCAGAAATAACTCTTTAAGTGTATGTAAAAGCATTAGAAAATTTACAAAATGCTTATGAAATCCTCCACACGCCTTATCCCAATTTTATGGTTGAGAGTACTAAAATGATGGTGTCTCCTGAATATCCAGTGGAAATAAGATTGAAGATTGGGATACTATTGAAGGGTGTATTGATTGAATAATGGGAATCAATATAGCCATCACGAAAAGTGATACGCGAACTCTTATTGAACGGTCTTGTAATGAATGTTTCAAATATGCCAATAATTGAGTTAATTGTAATTTAATTAAAATACATCTTAGTCATCCATAATAGTGTAAATAATATGTCTTGACCCAAGTCATATTTGGCCAAATCCATTGGTTGAATTGTTAAATTGGATGGATGACTTTAATGCCATAGAATCAAGCTTAGAATTATTTTTGCAATTATTTGGAAAACTAAGCGAAACCAATGGTGAATAACAAACCTTATGTAAAGAGATTGTCCCCTCAGTCCTTGAGAAAGGCTTCAGTATATTCGCTTAGCCAGAATTGAATGAGAAGCTAAGAGAGAAAATATTGTTATTGGTTTACTTGGTATTCAGATCAATCTCCTTTGCTGATGGAACTGACAATTCATTTGTCAACAAATGTCTGGATTCGACCTTTTAAATATGGATGGTAAGATCTTATTTGCATTATTTAGTCGTTATTTTTATCTGCATTATAAACATCTCCCAAATCACATATTTTCATCAAGAAGTTAGTGTTAAAGATATTGATTGTTGTCTTTAGAGACTTTGGAGTTTACAGTAGAAAATCATTGTCATTATCATTGATTCCTGTCTGGAAATTCTTCAATTCCATTACCTAGTTATATGTTGGCCACATTGTATACCAAATCGATATTGAACACATCGACAGTTTGTTTTCAGAGGAATCCAAAGAACTGACTCAGACTAATTAAAGAATTATCAATCTGCAAAATGGTATTTAAAATATATAGAATTTAGATATCGAATACAAGTATTTAAATGAAGATGATGATTATGATAATCACATTGAGGGTCTCTGTGCCTATTCAATTGAATTGATTACTATCTTAGTTACTAAGCCTGCTTTGTATAACCTAATTAAGTTTGGCACCTTCCCATTATTGAACACATTGGCAACATTCCTGATTGCTACCAAAGATTAGGAAAGATAATGGGTGAAAGATCCCAGTTACTTCATTCTCAACGACGAAGAAGAATTGCTGTAGAAAAGTGTTAGAACCCTTGCCTTGAGATTGATCAATGATATCATTGAAAAATATGGAGACACCTTTGTTCAGTAGATATTAATGGTAGGTGAGAAATTGATATTGAATCGTGATGAAAAAGAGTTCATCGAATTGGCTCAATAGATCATATCAAAATTGAATTTCCAAGAATTGAAAGGACAACAATCCAAAGAATTTGATTAGGATAGCGTAATGTAATTCATGAAGACCTCTGCCATCTATGTGACTAATGCATTCTACTTAAAATCCTTTATTTAAAAACGAAAGGAGACTGGATATCTATTGTTAGGTAGTTTCTCAGAAGATATTATTGTTTTCCAGTAGAAACATGAAAGCACTTTCGATATTAAGAAATGTATGCAGAACATACTAATTGAATTGGAGAGATAAAGTATCAAGCCCTATTTATTTGATTCTAGATTCAAGTAGTTTATAAGCTCGAGCCATTTGGAGCACAACAAAGTACTCTGAGTTGATTAGTCATTAATTTAAAGAATTGCTAGTGCCCTTCTTCGAATCAGTACTCAATTATTTAAAATCTGAATATCCAATCACCTTAAAAATAGTGTCAGTCAAAGCATTAGGAAAGTAAGCATTTCACAAATACTAGTTATGCCACAAAAATTAATAAATACAACATTCCTTTTCAGTATAAAGCAGAAATAATGGATTTAATATTGTAAGTGTTACAAGAGGCTAGTCAAGATTAAATTATCTATGTCTTAGAATCAACGATTAATTTAGTTAGATTTTCAAGCATTCTGGCTACCACCTTAGCTAAAAATGGATCCAAAATTTTATTATCATTCTTTAGTATCTTTCATACTGAATCCATCGTTATTAAACAATTTAATGAATTGATAATGAGGATTTGTTAATGCAAGGAAGCTTATCCACATATTTTTGATGTAAATATTACTACCATCATAAGGTATTCTGTCCATTTATCATGGATTGCTTCTAAGTGTTTTATGAAGATATGAATAAAATTTAGGATAAAAGTAAGATGAAACCAACAGACATTGGATTAATGAGTGCAATTATGCATCTGACTTCCATTTTTATCAAATACTGTTCTGACAACAAGGCTTAAGAAGCATTCATTAATTTATTGCCATCTATGGTTAATCTGATTCTGATTAATGAAGATCCACAATTATAAGTACACACTAGTTAATGTCTAAAAAACTTCATCATTATTGAGACTGGACAAATTCTGAAAATGTAAGTGTATAAATTAATCTAAGGAATCTTGTCTAAGATGTTATGAAAGTCAATCTAAAATTATTGGAAGTGCCTCAGAACTCTGCTAATGAATCAGCATCATTATTTGCTGGAAATTTGGTGATGATTACAATTAACAACTTATTAGATGGAAATCCAGACATTAACTTATTAAAATCTGTTGTCTTCAAGATATACAGATCTAGAATGCCATCTACTGTCCAATCCTTGGTTTTAGTGTATGCCAGAATGATCATCGAAAAACCAAAAGAATCAATCAATTTCTTGACCTCTTGGAGCATTGATAATAGAATGGCTCTTAAGGTCTTAATTGATAAATGGCTATTGCAATAACCTTTGTTCAGAGGAAAAGGCACTAAAAATGCCACCTTCACTGCTCTAATGAAACTCTTTTTATTAAAGGATAAGACCTTAGAGAATCTATTAGTTATAGGCTACAATCCCAGTCATCAAAATATAAATAGTGGTATAACAAATGCATTTATTAATTAGATGTCTATGCTCCCTTCAAGATATTGTCCTTATTGATTAGATGTTTAGATAATGAAATCACCCCTCATACTCAAAACAATAATGATATCAAATAGGAAGATGAAAGATTAGAAGTTGAAGATGATGACGAGGAAGTGATCAAAAAGGATTAATTTTAAGATCAAGTTGATGTTGAAATTGAAAAGATCAAAGATGATGAAGAATAGGATATAGCAGAAAGATTTGCTGTATTTATTTCTCAATATTAAGTCATTGGATCCAAAGGAAAAGAAGGACAAAGGATTAGCAGATCTTGAAACTGGCTCAACATTGTATATGAGTGAATTCTTAGATTTCAATTAAGAAGTTGGAGAAGAATGCGATGAAACTACTGAAGAAGATTTAACTTATCTTAAAGATCCTTGTTTAAATATCAATTTAGTGGTATTTCTCTTAGAAATATAAATCTTAGGAAGCCCTCAAAGACTTTTTCTAAAATTTAGTAAAGAATGATCCAGATTATTTAAAATTCTGTCTTAAAAATTTGCTTAAAGAAGATATCAATCTATTATAGAAATATATCAAGCTTAATTTCTGATTAATTTGAATATTAATAAAAAATTGTTTATATTTACAAACATCATTATTCTTCTGACAAAATTCTCTCTATAAATTATTTAGATTAAGTTTATTTTATTTTTTCACTCAACAAATCAGATTGTTTCTCTACTTTGTCAATTAAGTAAGTAACAAATTTCTTCTTAAATAATCTTTGCTTTTTAAACTTCTCAAACTCTTAATTAGGTTCTCTCTCGAATTAAGGTTTGTCCATCGATAAATATTGACTTGCTTTATCCATTATATCATCAAGAGAATTAAACTTTTCCTTCAACAGTTTCTTCTCATTTTTGAAATTATTGTCAACCACATTACATTACTTTAAAAATTTATTAAATTCTATTTCTGTTTTTATACTTGTTTAAGTTTTTAGTGTTCTACTCACACTAGTCTATGGTCTTGTAGTCTTTGAAACCTTACTTGAGTTTTCCATAAATTGACTCCTGGGAGATTAATACGGTTAATTTTTCCTTCGAAAATCCTCTTATTTAAAACAATTCCCTGAATTTTCAGTAGACACAAAAAACTTATGATATTATGAATCTTATGCTTGAGTAACTCTTTTCATGGTTGTCATTTTGACTTTACTCTTAAAAAATTCAGGATCAAATTGATCAATCCTTGTTTCTTTAAAAATCTTGACTAATTCTTTATTTTAATTCAATTCTTCTTCTCGCATTATTTCCTATAACTATTCCTATGTAATTCGTTTCTAGACAATGTTTCTCCATCTCTCCATTTCATCACATTAATCTTCCTTTAACGTCAAGTCCTCTAAAATTATATTTCTAATTTACTATTTTAGATGTCTAAAACTGTACAAGCATTGATTTTTTGATCCTCACAAAGTTTTTTCATAAAAAAGTTAACCTACTCTTAGTCTTCGAGCTCCATATTCTAATATCCTTTGTGTTTTCCAATGCTCAAACTGGTAGTCTTGGGATTTTTTAAAGATTACTTTACTTCTTTGAGCTAAATCAATCATTTAGATATACATTCTGTTTCAGATTTTATCGTCTGTAATTCTAATAGAGATCGTCTAGCTAAGCTTACTCTATATTATCATTCATCATCACGGCCAATTTTTGTTAAACAGATACAGGTTTTTTCTTCCAATTCTTAGATCTTTTGGGAATCACCTAAAAATTTAGCATGTTTTCTAATTATTCTTTATCAAGAACTCTTTACATTATTTCTGCCACTTCAGGTTATAATTCATATTTTCCTTAATATTCCTTATTACCTTCTTAAGCCTTTAATTTCACTTGTAATTAAGTATTAGCCAAAGTTTGCTTTGGTAGTGTTTTAATTCCGGTTCGCTCTACAGGAAATTTAAACTTTACTTTTTAGATCTGCATATTTTTTCTAAATATACATAATCATGTTTTTATCACGATAATCATTGAAATTAGCATCATAATGTCGTAAAGGATTTTGTTATATAGTTTTTGTAACTATAAATCCTGCAATTGCTTCGTTACTCATTATTTATTATTTATGACTTTTATATATAATTTAATAAGTTATGGTATTGTACTTGGTGCAATATTCAATCAGTTGCCATAAATTTATAAGATATATAAAAGCAAAAGCTTCTAAGGCATATCATTTTCATCTATCTATACAGAAGTATTAAAAAAACTTAATAGACTCTTATGTTAGTTTTTAATGTTGCTTATAATATGCATGAAGGAACCAGTTTCTTACTCTATGGAGAAAATGTCATTTTATACATTGAATACATTGTCGTTATACTTCAATTTGGATATTACAATTAAAAGCAGAGTGATTACATAAGAAAATTGAGTTTTTTAGGGATAATCAGTGCACTATTTTTATTTTAGATTGTCCCCTCAATTATCTTCAAGCAAAGCATATATATTAACATGATTTTATGTATTAGATGCATGATTATTTTTAGTGTTTTTATCGAAGTGGCCATAAATAAAAATGAATTACTAGAGATAATCAACTGGAGAGCTTGCATTTTTAACACATTTATAGAATTAAGCTGGAGCAATTCCAAGAGCATTATCAATATTTGCAGAGTCTAGCAATAAATTATTATATGTATTATTATATTCTTAATTTAATAGTGTTTGGTGATATTAGACAATGGTTTAGTTTTAATAATCACAATCCAATTTCTGATTTATTGGAAAGCGAGGGAGATATCAAAGAAATTGTGAGAACAAATCATGAATAATAATATTATTAATTCTGGTTTTAAATTAATTAATTAAACAATTAATCTATGATAAAATTTATTGATATATTTCACTTTAATGCTTATAATGTAAATTCTTTGTCTCCTTAAACTGCTAAAATAAATTATCCATGTATTTTAGATTGATAAGTTGTTGGCATGATATAATAACCGTTCTTGGTTGGTTAGAGATCAAATTCTTCTTAAATCTCATTAATTGGTAAGAAATTAGGAACCCTTACAATCTATTATGTTGTAATTTTGTTCTCTGACTTTTCAATCAAGTAGACTCCAATCATACCTCCCACAGTATTCTTTGTTTTTGACTTCCAATTCTTTTCCGCAATGCAAAGCGTTATAGTAATATGAATGGGCTCAAAAAACTACAAAGAATATTTAGGATTCATTGTCCATGTTCTTTTACTAGTGTCTTTTTCATAAGGATCCTCATAAAGATGACATCCTCCATCTGAAATATCCTACTCCCATTTGCCTATATGAACTTAATTCTTGGTTTCATCTAACTTAGTTAATTCCACTTCCTAATTAGAGTAAACTAAAAATGCTTAAAAATAAAATTACTAGTTAATTTATAATTGGCAGAACGATCCTCTTAATCTAAAGATGGTATTATAATGAAAGGGCCTTCGGTTGGATTGAAATGGAAATACAAGGCTGCCACATCTTCATTAAAGTATGTAGACTATTTAAACTTCTCATTAGATCCTATTAAGAGTTTTCTCTGAATTCCAATCATTTTAGGAGCTTCCAGCTGTTATTAAGTCTGCTTTAATAGTCTTACTAAATCTAAAAAGAATTTATATCATAAAATTACTTGTTCCTCCTCCTTTTTATTGTTTGATGATATTTAATGAATTAGTAGGTGCTTTATCAAATCTACAAATGGTCATTCCAATTTTAGTACCCTTAGCCCTTTTTACTTGTCCCTATCTTCTCAAGATGATCTTTAAATGGGTGCTAACAGATAAATTCAAGAAATATTAAGGATTCTTACACCAATTAGGATTTTCCTTGCCATTATCATATTTCCTTTTACCACCTGCCGATGTCTCATTCCAACTGCCTTCTTATTGAATTTCTAATGTTTCAGGCATTTCGGCCACATCAATTTTATCAGAACTAAAAATTCTTAAGATGAAATTTCTTTTCTCTTCTTTTCTCATTTCGTTTACAATCATATTTGGTACAACCATGTAATTACCAAAGGTCTTACCTTCAAAGTTTTTGAGTATCAAATATTAAGTAATTTCTCTTTGGGCTGGCATGTCTCCTTTAGGATTCATATCAATAACTATGTCTTAATTTGGTGGTCTCTCCCAAATTCTACTTAGTCTTGCCTTATTAGCAATGACCATTAGATTGCAAGCTACATAAGGTTATTATGTTATCTTTTCATCTTCTAACATCAATGATAGATATAATTTAGTTTCTTTATGCACTTTAATTTTATATTAAGGATTGTTAAACCACTTTTCATCAGTATCTACTTACACATATTCTGGCAAACCTTCGGATGGCATTTTCAAAGGACATACACCTCCTAGTGTTTTACCAAACCAGTTTCCTTGGATTGCATATTATTACCAACTTTCTGGGAAGACCTTACATATATAAAATTTATTGAAGTGTTAATGCCAATCTTAATATGACATCCACCATGTTCCATCACTTTTTTTTGATTTAAATACTAATTTTAATTCTTCTCTTAGGTTTCTATGTTTATCCCACTCTTCAGAATCATCTGAAAAGGCTCCATTCCATCCGCCTTCTGGTCCCCAAACATTTCTTATTCTCATCAATCTTAATTTTTCCTTAGGAAATTCTCTTACATCCACAATTCCATAATGATGATTTTCCAATATACCATGAGTACCTGTATCAGCATTTTTTGTTCCTTTAGTTTCATTGTGATTCATGCATCCCATAAAGAATTATAATTTATGAGTCTACAATAGCACTTACCATAATTAATCGTTTTCAATCATTTTACTTAATTATGGATCTCTCAATGAATTGATTTCAGCTATACCTCCTGTTAAATCAACTAATCCTTCTCCAATATGTCCATCACATATAGTTTCATAATTTCCGTGTAATTTACAGTAAGCCTTTTCCATCAATGGCAACCAAAATTCAGAAGGATTTGCACATTGAGTAAATAATATTTATTTACTATCTTAATCAAAAGGCAGAAGAGTATCAACTATTACTTATTACCATTCTCCATTTTTAAAGAATTGGAATGCTACAAAACCACATTCATCAAATTGATCATAATCTAATATCAATTTTTCAAGTTAAGATATTTATTGTTAAGATAACTATTGAGTTTACTTATTTTATTTTTCGTTGTATTTTTTCATTTGGCCAACAATGACAACTGCTCCCACAAACCAGGATTCTCCAAAGGCTCCTTGTTTATAATCTCCCTCAAAATCAATAACGAATTTAGCATCTTTAGAAATTTCATGTGGTCTGACCCATTTAACAGATTTGATATCCTTTGCAAATTCTGGAGGTTTTTGAGGATCCTTATATAAGCTACTATTATTGATTGGGAAGTCTGGATCAGTGTAGAGGGTTTTGCTTTTTTAGCAATTTTATATGATTTCCATTTTCTTAGATTCGAATATTTAAAGTGGATTCAATTCAATGGGTTGAATCTCTTATTCTTATTCCTCATCATTTTGTTGCAACATTGGATCAATCTATTTGTTTTATGAACTTAATCATAAATGATAACTTACTGAGTTTCAGATTAATCGAATGCTTGAGGATCTTCCTCTTGTGTTTGTTTCTACTTTAAAAAAGAGTCCTCATTCATCAGTCTTTGTTCTGAGTAATTCATATAGCTTTGAATAGATTCATTCTTCTCAATGTTGTCAGCCATTTTTATTTTATTTATTAATATATTTTATACAATTCAAAAACTAATAAAATTACAACATGAGACTTTCCTCTAATTAAACAACAAACATAATCTCTTTGTTAAATCCATAGCCTTCTTTGATTGAATCATGCCTGCCAAAAAGGTCAAGAAAATAACTAGATTTCTTATGATCTTGCAAATAATTATTCAAATTACTAATTCGATTTGAGTTTAAGCAGTGTCAGATCTCAAACTGTAATCCAATCTCGTCGAAAAACCAACTATTATTATAGTCACCAATCCCAATAGAAAATCAAAAAACATTGCCAGGGTTGTGTATTCTTTTCTGAAATATCTCAGACCCGTGTAACGAATGATTAAATCTATCAGCCACAATCCCAATCTAAAAGGGAGCAGTATGTACAAGAACCAAATGGCAATTAATTCTTCCTTCAAATCATGCAAAGTTTATCTTAAGTAAATTAGATGTTTCATACTCATCATTAGCAGTAGGTCCTGTAGTATTATCGTATTCAGTCTACACAGAATCATGCTTCAAAACCAAGAGGTTATATAACATGGAATCCAAACAAACCTATAACAAAAATAATGTTAGCAAAATTAAACTAACAAAGAATGACCAAGTTGGCACTCCTTCTATCATGTTTACAGCTGTATCTATCAAATAATGCTTTCTAAAATCATCTATGTAATTAATTTAAAAACACTTTCAAGATCTAAATTCAAATCAATTATTTATTTGATTATGTATCTCTTAGCAAAATCACCATCAAGCAAACTAGCTCTGTTAATCAACCTAAATCCTCTCACGTTGAAAGGCAAAAGATCGTAATAATTTTCTAAATGATCCAACCTTCCCAAAATCCCAGGTTCCACTGTTTTGAGTCTAATTTTCCCAGCCAATATTGCTATCAGATTCTTAAAATCATCCTCCCTCTCATCATCAGGCACTCTGTCTTGATCAAACTATTGCATCTCGATTTAACTCATTTTTTCTTATAAATTATTAAATATAATAGTTATCTACTTTTCTTAGTAAGATAAATATTATTTTCAAGGATAACCAATCATAAAAGTAAATCTCACTTTGCATTAATATTTTTCCTATATTAATAATGCCATCATCAATGATTGAAGTTAAAATTACAAATGATCCAACCTATTTTGTTGAATATATTTAGTTTCAATAGAATAAGGATAAAGAATTTGAAAAAATTTATAATAAATCCTCAAAAATTCTAGTTTCTATTTTTAATACAATTATACCAGTAGTAGGTAGATTGTTATTGATTTATTAAGATATATTCAATCAGGGCATACAAAAGGAGTTTTCCAAAGACGACAGTTATAGGAATAAGCATATCTAAATATCATAATTATTTTAAAAGCAGATGTTTTAAGTTTTGATACAAAATGTAAAGTTTTTGAATCAAAATTAAACATTTCTTTTATGGATTATTAATCATAGGTGGAAGAATTGACAAATATCAGCTCGATCGAATAGAATTATAATTTTATAACAATTTTTCGTTTTAAATAATTAAATAAAACTTTTATATGTTCAAGGTCCTCCTCTTTTTTATCCTCTTCCTCTTCCTCCTCTACCTCTTCCTCTAGGACCTCCTCTGCCTCTTTATCCACCTCTTCTACCTCCTCTTTGTTGGCCTCTTTTGTTTCCGTATTTTTAAACCTTTTGCTTTTGGGGGAATGTTAACTTGACTTAGTGATGAAGAAGTTGTTGATTAGGCAAATTCTTAATTTGGTATTCTTATGGTAATGATTCTGATATCATTTTAATGTATTAATGCACCACATCTTCATTTCCTAAATATAACTTTGGGAATTTCTTCCACTTTTGAGTAGCAGATTAAATGATTTATTCTAATGTTTGCCCTTTCAAAATTTCTGCTCTTACATATTAATGGAATCCTTATGGAACCTTTCTTCCCCATGTTTAAATGTGTCTCTTGTAGTCTAAACCATTAACAACTAGATAAAATGGACATTATTTAGACATACAACAATTACTACTTAATCCTGATTTAACATTATATGCAATTGTGTTTACATCA